GCAAGGACAAGAGCGGTCCGTTTCAGCCTCGATCTTTTAATCGAACTGCCCGCTCCAGCTCGCGCTGGAGCGAGCCCCATTGCCAGCGGCCCGATAAAGACGGTCATCGTCGTCTTCTTCGTAACAATATGTTATATTCACAAGATGGTAGCGGTGAATACCTTGAGTAAAAAAAAATACTCAACTTATGAATCACCAACTAGCCCAACACTACCCCGCCCTGTTCGCAGAGGTAAGCATTTTTATGAGACCTTAAAAAGTTGTCTAAAAAAGTGGAAGCCGTTTACAAATCCCTGTAACGCCGAAATGGAGCGCAGCTCTTGAGGAGGAGGAGTGAAGGGTACTGAGGGGAGGGTAGACCCCTCCCCCTTCTCCTCCTCCTCCCCTCATTCTTTAATATGCTCCGGGGGGGTGTCACGTGACTTCGGGGAGGGGGTCACGTGACCTCGGGGAGGCGTGACCTGGGGGTGACCTCAAGGCCACGTGACCCCAAAGGTGACCCCCACGTGACCTTGGGGGTCACGTGACCTGGAGGGGTCACGTGACCTCGGGGGTCACGTGACCTCAGAGGGGTCACGTGACCTCAGAGGGGTCACGCGACCTGGGGGTCACGTGGGGTCACGTGACCTTGAGATGACCTTGGAAGGGGTCACGTGACCTTGGGGGTCACGTGACCTTGGGGAGGCGACCACGTGACCTCGGGGGTCACGTGACCTCAGAGGGGTCACGTGACTTGGGGGTCACGTGACCTTCAAAGGGTCACGTGGGGTCATGTTGGGGTCACGTGACCTTGAGATGACCTTGGAAGGGGTCACGTGACCTCGAGGGGTCACGTGACCTTCAGGGGGTCACGTGACCTTGAGATGACCTTGGGAGGGGTCACGTGACCTTGGGGGGTCACGTGACCTTGGGATGACCTTGGTTACGCCGACGCCGACGGCGACGGCGACGCCGCTCAAGCCGGGAACGGGCCCCTAAGAGCTGCGCTCTAAAAAGTGAAAGCCGTTGACAAATCCCTGTAACGCCGAATTGGAGCGCAGCTCTTGAGGAGGAGGAGGGAAGGGTACTGATGGGAGGGTAGACCCCTCCTCCTTCTCCTTCTCCTCCCCTCATTCTTTAATATGCTCCGGGGGGGGGGGTCACGTGGCCTCGGGGGGGGGGGGTGTCACGTGACTTGGGGGGGGGGGGGGGGTCACGTGACCTCGGGGAGGCGTGACCTGGGGGTCACGTGACCTTGGTGTCACATGGGGGTCACCTCAAGGTCCCGTGACCCCCAAGGTGACCCCCACGTGACCTCAGGGGGTCACGTGACCTTGGGGGTCACGTGACCTGGAGGGGTCACGTGACCTCAGAGGGGTCACGTGGGGGTCACCTTGGGGTCACGTGACCTTGAGATGACCTTGGGAGGGGTCACGTGACCTCGGGGGTCACGTGACCTTGGGGAAGAGACCACGTGACCTCAGGGGTCACGTGACCTCAGAGGGGTCACGTGACTTGGGGGTCACGTGACCTTCAAAGGGTCGCGTGGGGTCTTGGGGTCATGTGACCTTGAGATGACCTTGGGAGGGGTCACGTGACCTCGAGGGGTCACATGACCTTGGGGGTCACGTGATCCCAAGGACCCCACGTGACCTTGGGGGTCACGTGACCTTGAGATGACCTTGGGAGGGGTCATGTGACCTGGAGGGGTCACGTGACCTTGGGAGTCACGTGACCTTGGGATGACCTTGGTTACGCCGTCGCCGTCGGCGTAACCGCGCGGTGCATCATGGGAAATGTCCCATAATGCACCGCGCGAGCCCCCCACCGGGGTCACGTGACTTCGTGGGGGGCACGTGACCCCCTCGAGGTCACGTGACCCCCCGAAGTCACGTGACTCCTTGGAGGTCACGTAACCCTCCTCGAGGTCACGTGACTCCCCTGAGGTCACGTGACCCCCCCGAGGTCACGTGACCCCCGCCGATGTCGCGTGACCCCCCGATGACATCGACACTGATGACGTCACCGGCATCCACATCATCATCGTCATCATCAGTGATGATGACGATGACGATGCGGATGCCGGTGACGTCATCAGTGATGATGACGATGACGATGTGGATGCCGGTGACGTCATCAGTGATGATGCCGGTGACGTCATCAATGATGATGACGTCATCAGTGACGATGTGGATGCCGGTGACGTCATCAGTGATGATGACGATGACGATGTGGATGCCGGTGACGTCATCAGTGATGATGACGATGACGATGCGGATGCCGGTGACGTCATCAGTGATGATGACGATGACGATGTGGATGCCGGTGACGTCATCAGTGATGATGACGATGACGATGTGGATGCCGGTGACGTCATCAGAGATGATGACGATGACGATGTGGATGCCGGTGACGTTACCGACATCCGCATCGCCATCGTCATCATCACTGATGACGTCATCAGTGACGTCACTGATCTCGTCACCAGAATCCGCATCGTCATCGTCATCATCACTGATGACGTCACCGACATTCGCATCGTCATCGTCATCATCACTGGTGAAGTCATCAGTGACGTCACTAATGACGTCATCGGTACCCGCATCGTCATCGTCACTAATGACATCAGTGACGTCAGTGATGACATCATCGGCATTGGGGGTCACGTGACCCCCAAGGTCACGTGACCCCCAAGGTCACGTGACCCCCCCTGGTTAGTCTAACCCCCCCCCCCCAGCGCCCTTCCCTCCTCCTCCTCAAGAGCTGCGCTCCAATTCGGCGTTACAGGGAGTTGTAAGCGGCTTTCACTTTTTTTTTCCCCGCGAGAAAGCCTTACTATGACTTCGTTACTTACATTTGCAGCTTTGTCGCTGAACTAAATAGCGGGTATTGTATATCATGGCTCATGAGAAAACGCGCAGTTTCTTCAGATGCCATACAAATTGGAAATTATAGTCGGTGGCAGGTTAAGTGGAAACTCCGCCCCTACCCCTCTCTCAAATTTAGCACAGCGAACGCTGGAGAGGAGCCACCCTCTTCTCCAAATGCTGGCGTTCGGCGTTCGCAATGCAGCTACCTTCGCGTCTACCCTCTAATCAATCCAGTCAGAGCTCGGCGCTGTGTCGGCGCCGCCCGCCGCCCGCTCTCTTCTCCCCTTCTCCCTCAGTTTCTACTCATATTGGTAGAAACACGCTCTTCCAACTCACAAAGCCCTGCGTTCTTTTAGAGGCACTCTTGTTAGCTCTATATCGGTACGTGGACAACACCTTGAACGAAACTAATGTATTGTCACATTCTTTTTTTCTTTTTTTTTTACGGAGTCTGTAAGAACGCTTTATTCGGGACCCGGGTGCGTTTATGCACTCAAGATCTTCGCCGGATTGAGTGAATTCTCGTACACCAGACGGAGGCTCCGTGAGTTCAATCCAGTGTTTTGTCAAATACTGAAAAAGAAATAAAAAGAAATAAAACGCATTTCCACGTGGTGAATGATGCTGATTGGGGCGAAGCTCTGGTAGTGCTTGTCTGCTTAGACGGTGAGCCGCAGCATGCCGAGCCTTTCGTTCGTTTTCATTCATGTCACGCTACGGTCAAATGCTCAAATGCGTACAAACCACCACGGCCACTCGATTAGGACAGAGGGGATCGAGTGGCCGTGAAACCACGTTCCATACCATACATTCTCTTTCTGACATGGATGAAAACGAACGAAAGGCTCGGCATGCTGCGGCTCACCGTCTACGCAGACAAGCACCACCAGAGCTTCGCCCCAATCAAAACCATTCACCACTTGGAGATGCGGTTGTTTTTTTGTTTTTTTTGCCCTACACGAGCACGGGAGCACGTGCTCACGTGCTCGTGAGCACGTGAGCGCGTGAGCTCGCGAGCAGGAGCACGTGCACCCGACGCCGGACGGACATACGGACACGGCTAGCCCCTAAGGAGCTTGGCCCCTAAAACATTCAAGATACTAGATACCCATTTTAAAATGTATTTAGAGCAGTATTCAAGTCAATTTCAGTACGAACTATCTTGAGTATAGTGTAAATACTTTGAAAAGGTAATTGAATTATATTCGAAGGTACTGGACAAGATTTCCAAGCCGGTGATGTAATATTAAAAGTCATAAAGGGATGCTCTATTTGTGATCCCTTTTCTGAGAAACACATTTTGCTGTGGTCGCGATGACTTTCAAGAAGCGCCTTAGTTGCTGCACTAGTTCATAAATTACTCCACCTGCGGCACAACTGGTTCCGATGATTCGGAAGATCAAACCATGCGCGTACTCGGAAGGAGATGGAAGAAGCACTTTTGAACTTGCTACGGAGAAAACGTTAAGCCACAATAGGCACACGGGGAGATGTGGGGAAGCCCAATTGTTCTAACTTCTTTTCTTTGGCCGAGGGTATGCCTGCTCTCGCATGAAAACGTATTCAAGCATTTTTATACTCGTGACCCCTCAGCCGGCGATATGCGAAAATGGTTTATTGTGATCCTACAGCCAGTTGGCGTCACAAACTTCTGCTGATGGAACCATTCTAGCTCCAGAGAAAATGTGGGGCCTGGGTGTAAAATCCTGATTACGTTACAAACACTTTGCTAGCTCCAAGCATGTCGTGCCATTCAAAAACAACTTTAAAAAAAAAGTGGACAAGAGCGCAAGAGGACACAAAGAGGCTGGCGTAGTTGGGGTTATCCATTTGTTCTTTTGCTGGCATTTAAAGACAGACTTTAGCGCATGTCTTGTTTCTTTGTTCTTTGTTCAATCGCTTGGCTCTAAGTTTGCAATTGGTTAAGCTTTACCCTGGAGAAAGACGATCCCTAGTTCCATAAATCGTTACAGCGAATTTTTTTTTCAAGGTTGAAAAATGTATTTGAGGTACTGAGTACAAGATAGCGAGAAATGTAATTAAGATAGAGTAGCAAATACTCTAGAAGAAATGTATTTGCCCGATGCCGAAATACTACTAAAAGTATTTGAACTACAGTATCTTTAGTATATTATTTAAGATAGGCACAAGTCTGGAGCAATCGCGCTTTAATTTTCAGTTCACTACTTCTGTTTTCAGGTCCATTTATGAAACCTCGAACAGTGATAAATGAAGAATGAGTGACATGGTCGTGTGATGTGACGAACAATTCTGAAGGCCGCCTCTACACTTTTTTCTTTGATGACCCCATTGCCCTCAGATTCTTTTCGTACGCGGCACAGTACTTCTTCTTTTCGACGCATTTTCCGTTTTCCCACAGTTTCTCAGACGGACAGTAACAGCCGGGCATGCATGTGTCCATGGCTTCGAAGGAGTATGGATGACACCTCTCAACGCGTGCCGGGCCACAGGCGTCGAATGTCATTCCCTCGGGACACTGGCGTTCTGCAAGAAACAAAAGAAGGAAACGCAGTATAATTTTTGCTTAATGCCAAACTGTGTTACCGCGTCTCCTCAATCCGCAGACAAGACGCTTGAAAAAAGTAGGTTTGTTTTCGTATTATATAGCTTCGGAAGTTTTGTGGAATCCGGATTAGATATCAAAGGGTAATTTATCAGTGTGTAATAGCCTTAAAGGCCGACGACCAGATCCAAGATTCTGCAGGGCAGAAGATCCTCCTCACCATGGGGGAGGAGAAAACAGGCAACGGTGGCCAGGGTAGAAGGTGGGAAAGGAGGGAGCGGGGAAAAGTGGAAAGCGCGATCTGGTCGTCGGTCTTTAAGCTGAGCTAGTTTGTTCGTACTTCAGTTAAGGCCAGCTAAACTAGTATAAGCTAGAAAGGAAGAAATATAATACAAGAAGAGGAAAAAGAAAAGTGAGTTGTTAGTCCAGCTGTATTTATGGTCTTGTCTTTGTGTGTATGTTTGGTTCAGCTGGCCTTATCCTCTGGTTCAGCTGGCCTTATCTCAACTATCAGTGTGGCCTGTTTTAAATCTCTCCGCTCGCTTCTTCCACTTTCCAAATGTTTAAAAGATTTAGAAAAAAAAGTTTTATACAGTAATTGTAATTTTTTTGCAATTTGACATTCGATTTATTTAAGGACGTTTGCAGCTTTTCTAGAGGTTTTTTTTCCTTTCTGTACAGAGCGCGTCTGACTGGGAATATTGGAACGTCCAGGTGTCAGTTTCGTTCCTTTCAAACAAAATATTGTAGAATAGCGAATCTTGTTATTATAGGTAAAACATAAAAACTTAATGCATAAAGCAAACTACTCATTGCTTCCCACTCACCGCACTCCCTTCCGGGCATCTTATTAAAGGTGATGTTATGCCTCTCACAGGCCAGCTTGAAAGATGCAAAAGCATCGCAGTAGCAAAGGTTGTTCCGGTGGCACGAGCACATGTGGTCCATACACGCGTCGACGAAAGCCTGCAGGTTCTTGACATGCTTGTAGCACACGTGGAAGTAACGGCCCCTGAAACCAGAGGAAAAACCATAAGTGTTTTCAGGTCTTTTTTTTTTCAGGAGATATGAATCTCTTATCACGATTGCTGCAGCCTTATGCCTTCTATACAATGAATGACTTGAGTTTACCACGCGACTCCTAAATTTATGTTGTTTCTACGAACAAAATTTTATGGGTCAGTTGAAGGAAGCAGTAAGCAAACCGGAGTTGTATGTACTTATGTTGTATGTTTTATGTATGAAGAGAGTGTCATCTTAAACATGGATAAGGCTTGCAATTGAATGGCAGACGCCTCGGAAGCGCGCATGAGCTACGTTTTGATTTGGAGAGAAGGAAAGCAGGCGGAAAGGCGGAGGTATCTGCAGACGATCAACGCGTTCGGCACCTCCTCGCAGCTGGTGTTGCAAACGCGGCCCATTAACCACGTGACCCCGGTCGTGGAGTTGGAAGTCTAGGATCTCTATATGTTCTCCGTTGGACGTTCGTGCAACGAAATATCAATATTCCAAAGGCACGACGATCGTGGTTGAAACACTGTGTCGCACTATATTTTTTGCCAGCACAACGGTACGACTTCTTTTGCGCTGATCCTTAGATATTAATGAACACTTTATAACTTATTGCGGGCTTTTATGTTTCGTACGGGAGAATTGAATTTGCCTCGAAATCATAAACTTGGGAAATGATATAAAGTGCCCGAGAATCTTTTGAATGTAGCCGAGATTTCAGCTACAGAAGAAACGAGGGTCTTAATTTGCCTCCCAATCATGAACTTGGGAACTGATATAAATTGTGAGAGGACCTTTTAAATGAAACTGAGACTTCAGATGCAGAGGAACAAAGGGTCTTGATGAGATGGTGGACACGTTTGCCGTGATTCTAGTTCAGGAACAGAGAAATCTCTGTCAACCTGCCGATTTCGGAAAGATGCGGCTTTATATCTAAAAAAAAACTCGACATGTGGTATGCCGAATCCTAGTCTAGCCCATGAAATTTATTACACCAGGAAAGAATCAAAGAAGTGCAGACGAGAAACAAACTAAGGAATATAAGTGTACAACCCGTACATGCTATTCCTATCTCTGTTCAGTTTGCGATTTTAGCTATTTTATATATCTATTCAAGAATCGTAACGAATCTCCGCACTTTTATGTAAATGCTGAAATCTAATTGTGTCCAATTCATAACTAAAAATGAATTGTGTCTTATCAACTTCAACATCCGCTACTTCTACAGGGCACGGTATAAGCTCTTTTACGTTTGTTGTCTCATCGTAGCATATAGTTGTGCTTACTTGAGCGCGTTGCACATGCCCATGGCGCGCTTGACATCTCTGTGTGATCGCTTCCTGCAGCTTTCCGGTTGCTTGCTTTGGGTCTTCCTCTCATTCGGAACCTCCCAACTGCTTACATATTCCTACAAAACGGTAAGTTGCCGTCAAGAATTAAAAAAAGCACTGTCCGCAGACGCCACTCGAAAAATACAGCGTAACTGTTTCTGCGGCGGGGGCGGGGGGGGGGGGGGGTAGAAAGTTTTCTCATAGTATATAAAAAAAAGAACTAATCTATATACCGTAATCTTGAAGTAACCTGCCATGCAAAACAATCTTACTCAGTGTGAAGTTAGTGTTGGAATGTATGGGAATCAGATAGTCCACTGTACAGAAGATCCCTAAATTCACTCTCCTACAGAACACGAGGACAACCGATCATGGTGAACAATCAAAGAATCCCGCAGAATAGCAAAACTCGGAGCATCGTAAAACTAAAAAAAAAAAACAAAAAAAAACAAGAAAAAACTGCATTGCGCGAAGTGGCAAGGAGCAAATGAAACGTCGTGGTCATTTTATCTGCCCACGTGGCATTTTAAGATATAATCGTATCCTGAAGTACGTCATTCTCTGAGATCCTTGTATTGTTGACCATGATTGCTATATTTTAGAGCGTGTGAATGTATTATCGGCTCGCGGCCACACTATACACGGCAAACGTCGAAATATGTCCTTCACAGCGAAGGCTTGGTACCGCCCCCAGTAGTGATATTTCTCCGAGATGCCCGTGCAGGTTTTGGTTTTTTATATTTACACACATTTTTAAAAAGACATATTTTAAAGTCCTTGTTCTATAGACGCAATTAAAAGATTGACGTGAGCAACACAAGCACATCATTTTTCTGTCCTCTCAGTTCAACATCTCTTCCTCATTAAGTACCTTAACTTTTTTGTCTTTCACAACGTCATTACCAAAAATAATCTCACCTCAACACTTTTAGCCGGGATGTGGTGCCTGGTCTTGAAGTCGTCAGGGCCGTCGTCGTTCATGTTGCCGCAGAGTCCACAAACCTTTCCCGCAAACTTCTTCGCGATCGTGGTCACAATCGTTCCATCGGACTTGAGGCTCACAACGACCCCGTGGTGAGTTTGTAGCTCGACGCCGGCACCGTCTGTGCTGCTACTTACTTTGAGGATAGTGCTTTCCTGGTGGGGTAAGCTAACGGTCTTGTCGTTGACTAGCACAGTACCGTTATGGTACATCGTCGCCGTCAAGCAATGAATGTAGACTCGAACCGCCCTTTGGTGCCCCGTTTCGTCCAGGTAGCCGAAGTAATCGCCGTGGTAGCAGTCTTGAAACAGGCTGTACCGCCTTCTGTCGTACACCGGTAAGGAAAGCCCGTCGAACGTGGTCAACGTTTTGTTTGGAAGCAGCTGACAAGATGGTGGAGCTGAAAAATAAAATAATTGATGGTCCGAAGAAAGTGTCAAATCCAACGAAGACAAAGTACTAAACAAAATCGCGACATTTTATTGCCGGATTATTGTCCGATTGTGTTTTATTGTTTGGTCCCAGTAAAAACCACAGAGCGAACAAAATGCCAAACACGTAAATTGGCAAGGACACCCTTATTACGCCCAAGTTTAAGTACAAGAGGAGGAAGGTGACGATGCTTCGGCATCGAGCCTCCGAGGGAAGGCCACTTGAACCTATTTGAGTTCGCCTTAAGTCACCTTAGGTAATGGCAGGCGTGTCTCCATAGCACCCTAATCAATCTGCAGCCAGTCAGATTGCGGCATTAGCCAGTTGGAAAGCTAAAGAGCCAATCTCGAAGCGAAAAGCATGACCATATAAGGCAACGGCTCCGTTTTGTAAGGTGTCAATCAGCGATTATGCGGAGGGCAAGTTCGTCACCTTCATTCGCAGCGGGTTGTGGTGACGTCAAAATGCCGAGCTGTGATTGGCTCCGATCGGAAAAACAGTTGGTAGACCTCAAAGCAGGTAGCATTGGCGTCTACCCCCTATCCTTCCAGTCAGAGCCAATCAGAGCCCCGTGTTCTGACGTCACCGCAACTCCTGCAAAAAGAAGCAGACGAGTTTCCGCTCCTCATAGCGTCCGAGCATACGACGAAATGAGTAAGCAACTCGTGACTGTCAAGAGCAGGTGATTAGGGATGTGCATGTCACCAAGTGCAAATTGGTCACGTGGGGCAACGTTTCCGAATATTTTTCAATAAAACGCAAACAACTGGAGACTAAAAATGTCGACCAAGAATTCGTGTTAATCAATTTTCACCTTGCACCGTATACGTTATCTAAAATACTGAGAAGACTTGTATGAGGAAACACGGCGGACGAACACGAAGGAGTGGACAATAGCAAGCGCAACTTTCAACTAGTTTTATGCTATCCACTAGTTTGATTCTAGTTTTATTCTTTGGTATCTTGAATATTTACAAAAGACGCATCTGTTGCATGTTCTTCCTTGGTGATTCGTTTGCGATTAGGTTCTAAGTGCAATAATTCAATATCTCTCTAGCTGTTCATCCTGCCATTACTTTGTTCAATGAGCATTACTACAACCTTGGGCATCTGTGCGTTCTCTTATAAATTCGCTCACAATTCTTCATGTTCAAGACATTACGGAACTAGTGATTTTACTAGTTACTAAGTAGAACTATAGGAGGAGTGAACAGGCCATTCTGTTTTTGAGCAAGACAAAACCCTCTAAGGATGTAACAACCAGGTGTAAAATAAGCACTGTATTCGTGCCACTTTTCTTCATCTTACCTTCAACACATGATGGGCAGCAATCTTTCAGATTATGGAAGACAACTTGACCCTTAAAAAAGAGTAATAAATTAACCCTCTTTTGAAAGCAACTTTAATATGTCAGAAGCATTAATACGGACGATGAATAAACGTGTAACTCACTTCAGGACATGTTTTTCTTTTGCAAGTAAGGGCAGAGCATTTGATGAATCCCATTTCGCAAGTGCAGGTTTCGCAGTCTCTTTGCCAATGTTCACCGTGCTGTAGCGAGAAGATTAGTCGTTTAGATTCTGAAGCCATTTCTCACAAGCGCAATGTAAAAAAAAAACACCGAAAGATGTATACTCACGAGATATGCCGATCTTCCATCCGTGCAATATGATGAATCTAGGAAGAGTGTTCATACCAGTTTGGTCAAAGTTATGCATAAAAATTACCATACGTGTACAAAAAAACGCTTGCTATTACAAAAAAAAACATGTTTTGCATGTTGTATTACAGCACGCACTTGACGGTTCATAAGTTTTTTGTTGTTTTTTTTTTCGTAGAAAACAATTTTTAGCCTAATTCCAAATGTCCTTATGCTCGAGCGCATTTCCTTATCATTTCTTTACTATTTTAGTGGTGTCGTCATTGGTGATGTCACACAGTTGTTCATACTACACGTGTTTCATTAAGAAATTTCATAAAATATTCAATCGGTGGCTCAGCTTTGGTATAAAAAAATTTTTCAATGTTTTCCCCGACAGAAAACAAAAACTTACTATTATTTACCTATAGGGTTTGATGACATCCAATAGAATTGCTACTCTAGTGAGGTGCATAAGTCGCTCAAAGAATAATCATGCGTGTGCTTTATGAACTCGCACACGTGAAACGTTTTGCGCCATCGGTACTGCCCTATCTTTTGACTGTGAGCCTAGAAAAGGACGCACAATCGCAGTTCTTCACCGTAGGCAAATATGGGCGAATACAATCTCACCTATACACGTCATGCCATCGTCGCTGAGGTGTAAGCCAGCAGGGCAAGAGCAAGTGTAAGATCCTAGTGAGTTGACACATTTATGGGAACAGTTATGTTTTCCCTCCAGGCATTCATCCACATCTGCAAAACATTGTGATGCTCAAGGTTAGAAATAAATGTAGAAATTAGCCTAATCGGCAACCTTTTTCAGCAAACACGTGTTTTCAAGATACGCGCACACCATTTTGAGGAAAATTTGAGGTTTTGATAGTTGAGGCTTAATTGCATTACACAGACTGCTAGGAAAGGTTATGAGAAATAGCTCCTATATATTTATAGCTGGAGACAGTTTCACTATTATTACTATAGTTATAATAATTATTGGGTTATATAAATAAATGTCAACATCTATGATATGGTAGAGTCTTGTCGTGCAAAGGAGGCACGTAACATTCCCAATCGAAAAGTAATCTGATCACAAAACACAGAAGATGCCACGCACTTGTTTCTTTTTTTTTGTCAATTAAGCATGCACATTGAACGCGACAACTGCGAAAAAGATGCAAATGTGCAGTCGTACCATATTCGCAGAATTTGCCTTGGAACCCTTCCTCGCAGTCGCACTGGGAACTTCCGTCATCTCCGATTACACAGGCTTGACCGTTTTGACAAGGGTTGTTGTCACACGATCCTGCATTTCTGGCACACCGAAAACCTGAGCGATCAAATAGGTCCGCATATCAGTTATCTTATGAGCATTACCGTGGTAACACAACTGGATACGTTGTTAAATGTCCCAGTTGCGGTACAACCATTAGAACAAATTGAGAGATTGTTCGATGCAGTGCACTCTCAATTAAGACAAACACTGCCGTTTTATGTCCTGTGATTGTTGGAAATAAAGAAGCATTATTGCTTTTTGTGTTTTTTTCTAATATAAGCTTCCTTTCCTATCACTTACGGTTCTCCAGAGAGTTCAAGGAGCAGTGGCAAGTCTGGCATTCATCCACAGTAGCTGGTGCCCCTGTGACAAACGAAAGCATGTCTAAGAAAGACACTTTTCTATAAATTCCGATTCCTTTGGATTAAGTCTTAAAACCTCTCATATATCTTACAAGGAGAGAATACACTGGCATGCTGGCGCCATCTATGCGGTGATCCTGAACTTCATTTCCCTAGAGCGAAAGTTGTTTGTCAAGCTCTCAAAAAGTACAAAGATGCGCGAACAAACAAAATATAAAGGACTGCCATGTATTTCCACGGCCACCCGATAGGTGGCGCCAGTGTGATCTTTCGTCGTAAGTCATTTTAAGAGATTTTGAAGGCGCTCGATCCCAAGAAGTCGCAGATATGTGAACGGGTCTCTAAGAGTTCTTTTTTATATTTGAACTGCCGCGCTAAAGCGAAGTGCACTTCGACTTTCTCGCGATTGTATAAAATTAACACCGTGGACAGGGGTCTAATACAGCATCTCAACGGTTAGCGTGAATATTTGTGCATCTCCTGCGTGATTAGAGAATAAGATGTCAAAAGAAATTGGCATCAACTAAATGTTTTAGACTTTGAGATTTTGAGGAAAATTTGAGGTTTGAAGTAGCACCAAAAACGGCACATTTACCATATTTTACTTCGCATTTAACACTTCAGCCCGTAACCAAATGCGTTGTCCTGAGATTATTAGACCGCGTTTTTGAAAGTGCCTTAAAACTTCTTTCGAAATGGTCTCACCCATGCAGATGTCTGGGTAGCCAGAGGACACAATGTTCCCTTCTATGCCATTTCGTAGCTCAGGCCAAGCTACAACATTCCCGGCGTTGCCGCAGCTTGTTGTAAGGCTGTTGATCTCCGACGCAGACATCTCGTAGTCCCAGATGTTGAGCTGTAGCCGATACAGACACAGTTATCAGTAATGAGGTCCAGTGCATAGGAAGGAGGCAGATCAGCAAAAATACACATTCGAAGCACCCTATTCCTGTGTCTTCATTATTAACAATAATCAGCGTCCTTCATCTCCAAGGTCCCATGGGGCATGAAATGCAGTATTTAAGAGAGAAATTACTCAGAAAGGTGACCTTTCAAACCAATAGTGTTATTTGGATGAAATTTGCGGGGAGTATTCATTGCTGGGAAAGGTGATGACAAGCACCGTTTTAGGGTTATTTGTTTATTCTTCAAACAGTTATGCAAAAGTGAATCAAATAGGCCCTGCGCCACCCAAGGAAAACTATTGTTTAGAAAAGTTAATAAAAATGGCGCGTTCATTTGCTCAAACATACAGTACAACACGCGTGTCAAGCGGCTATGGAAAGAAATTACAGAAATTATACTATCTTTATTGAAAAATAAAATTCTGAAGAGAAAGCATTTTTTGCGGGCATTCGCGTAAAGATACTGCTGCTTTTCATAAAAAGAATCTCCATGAAAGTGCGGAAAGTAAGTTTACAGCCACGTTGCTCACAATTTTGAAGTAAAGAAACTTCAAAAACTGGTTTCACGCATCAATTCATTATCAAATGATAGTTCTCTTAAACCGAGATTTGATGCCAAAAAGTGAAACTGAAATAAACAAGTTTGAATGTTCTGAAAGCTGTACTTAGACGGTGCCGGCATGTCGGAAATAATTTCTACCGGAAAAAAATAATTTAGTTACGATGCATACGATGCAGTGATGCATACTTTCGGACTGCATGTATCAGGATATGATATGTGAAAGCTGTTGCCACTACTTGTCCAAAATGGGACCCAAGAAGAATAAATTAATTTTAAGGTGTCCACACCGAAGGAGCGATCGTTTGATTTTGTTCAGACGGCATTAAGCAGTTGTTTTGGGGAGTAAGGCACGTAGTGTTTATTAATGTTCCCTTAGAGTACCCCTGAAAAAAAAATGTTTTTTTTTTTCTTTTTAGACAGACTAATTTTTAGAGCATTATTGACGGCGCGAGACGCGATTTAGTCGGGAGTCACATCCTTTCTACTTGTTTTCTCTCTCGGCATGTCGGGCGCGTGGAGTTCGCCTTCACAACCAAGATGGCCATTCCAGAATTGCCAGTGACGTCATGGAGTTCGCGCGCAAAACTTCAAATAAATCTCTCGCCGTCAGTGTTGCTCTAAACAAAATTTTTTCGCGTAAACTTTATTGCTTGTCGCGCGTGTCCCAACCAGATTGCTAAAAAAAAAAAAAAAAAAAACTTGTTTTTTCTTCGGGGGTCCTTTAAATTTAAAGAGAACATTGTCATCACGTGAGCTGACGTCACTCGGCGTGGTTACGTGATGTTACGTTACGGTATCAAGTCGCTCTGACACGTGATACCCTGACCTCACACGACGTGGTCGCGTGAAGTGACGCCACGGCGTCAAGTGGTGGTGAAACGTCGTACCACATGACGTCACGTGACCTCAGGTCACGTGACGTCAATTTTCCTGTTAAACTTAGCAATATAATGCACGAACCGACCAACGGAGGGATGTATGGATGGACTAATAAATTTCTGGGGTTATGGGCTCCCTTATTAAAGCATAAAAAAGGAGATATATCTTTCGCCATCGTTTTCTCAGAGACTTACTTCAGCCACGTGGCCGGAGTACGACTCGATGCCACTGAACGCTCCTCCAACCTGGTCCTGCTCCTGACCCACCACCAGTTCCCCCTTGAACATGTGTCCGCCCATGGACCTGACTCCTGTGATCCGCGACTGTCCGTCCCAGTAGAAGGTCCACTGACCCGTCTTGCTATTCCACGTGACCGCGCAATGATGCCAGTCGTCATCGCTGTAAACAGACGAATATATCATGTAAAACGAACGAGTTGTAGTATATCGGCTGCTGAGGGACGCTATCAACTTCTCGGAGAAAATGAGGTTTATTAGCATATTTTATTCCTTTGTTTCTGCTTTAATTACAATTTACACGCAGGAAACTCTTAAGTAACAAGAGCTTAAACAGATCAGCATTTCTATAATGTTAAAGTACACAAAGGAGATGCATTCAGAGTTAGGCTCCTCCCTGACGTTCACTTGTCACCTAGCCTCTCTGTGGACCTCACTTCCCAAACAAATGTCGGAATCAGGCGTCACTGCTGAATTGTCACACTCATGTCCGGCACTTAGGCCATCATCGAGGAAACCAGATAAACGGCAGACTCTCTGGAATTCCTTAACTAGTTAGAGCCCAAGACAAGTACAACGATTCTAACGAACGCCTAAAGACCTTTGCAAAAATCGCCTTCTGCGCTCCAACGTCTTCGTCTGCTGGGCTGTGGAACGCCTTATGAGCATGCACGGTCGATCTGCTGTGCGTTATATCGGAAGCTGCGCTTCCACGGCTCAGTGATTCAGCATTTTTCGCCCGGGTGATAAGCGATGCAAAGATCTATAGGAAAAACGCCTTGTTTATTATACCCCATTTCACATCAAAACCGACCGCAGTCAACGATGATATTGAATGGAGCTAATCAGGCAGCACCAAAAATGCATCGTCACGGTGCTCGTCGTCTTTATGCGCCAGCTATCACTGGTAAAACCAATCGCGCATAGACAAAAGCGCAGGATCGCGACGCATTCCCTATCCATGACTGGACCAGCCGGAGATAGAAAACGCACAAAGGCGACGAGCGTCCCGACGAAACACTTTTGACGCCGTTTGATTTGATCCATTCAATCGTAGCGTTTGGTTGAGGTCGGACGTAATGTGGAAGAAAATATATACACAAGTCGGGATCCTACGATTCGCAGACTTGGACCGAGTTGGATATATTTTCTCGCCTGCTGAAGCCATCCTCTTACATCACCCATTAAATGGGATCAACGAGGGTTTCGCTTCAAATTGTTTTTGTTATTTTCGAGAACATCAGTACAAAACACTTCGTGGAGCGCAAGTTTGTCTGCATCTTTTGTAGGGGTTGTGGTGATGTAACGCCGAGCTCTGATTGGTTCTGAATGAAGGATAGTGGGTAGACCTCGAGGCAGCTTGCTTTGAGGTCTTCCCACAATCCTTCAATCAGGGCCATTCAGAGCTCGGCGTGTTTCCGACGTCACAGCGACTCCTGCGCAAGAAGCAAACATGCAGTTTGCTTGCATTTTAATGCAGTTAAAATAAATTATCTGCGACCTTTAGCTTTAAAATTCTATTAACGATGAAATGCGTTAAAGGGAATTGGTGCGTCACATATGATTTTTATTTTCCTGCTAAATTTAGCGGGGAAACTGGATGGTTGTATAAATCACGTGAGGTGGGGTCACGAGACGTCCATTTCCTCCGCTAAATTTAGCGGAAAAACTGGATTGGTGTCGAGGTCACAAGACGTGAATATTCTCGGTAAATTTAGCGGGTAACTGAATCGGTGCATATGTCAAGTGACGTCGATTTCCCACTAAATTTAGCGGGGTCTCTAAATTGATATTTTGGCCACAAATAAGACGTAAATTTTCCTGCTAAATGCATGGAGGGGAAACCCAGTTGACGTATATACGTAACGTCGCGTCCATTTCCCCAGGCTGAATAGCTCACGTGACGTCACCTGACGTCACGTGGCGTCAGTTTCCCCGCTAAATCTAGCGGAAAATGCAGGGAACAGACGGACAAAATTTGAGATTGATGGGTATGGTTAAAAAGCATGTCAGGCTTCAAAAAAACGTGGTCTTACTTGGCTACCGTATTTGTGTCGTAGCTTTCCTGGAAAATGTAGAGGAGCAGCTTGTTGGGATCCGAAACGACCAGGCCGTTGTCCACGATGGCGCCGGTTTCGGGGTCAGCGAAAGCGTAGGACACCGGCGTCCCGCGCTCCTTGCTTTGGGAGGTCTTCATGAAGAAGGATAGGGTGATCGCTCTCAGGTTGCGCTTTACGGAAATCCTGGCGTAGTTGGACACGGAAGCATCGGGGAAGTGTAGGCTGAAGTTGGAGGGCCTCACTGGTAATAAGATAAGAGACACGGTGAATTACTTTTTTCGCCGGCAATACTGAAGAGCTTCACTCCCTGACAGCGCAAGAACCATAGGGCGTAGCGCGTCACGTCCTTGTCGTTTTGTACGAAATCAGATTACGGCACGGGCTGATAAGAGTTCTGAAGAACCATTCAGGAGGCAAGGAGCACAAACATAAGAAGTAGCACCCTGCATTTCTTAACTTGTTGGTAACTCTACATGGGTTGCACTGACGTCATATCGCATACTTTTGACCATCTAAGAGGAGGAAAGGGAATATGCTTTTGTAAAAATTTTGAGTGACAGGTTATTTTGGGAGGAGAATAGCGACGCCTGGTGCCAATTTGGGAAGCACAAAGGACGACTCCTTCTTCCCCTTTTCTCTGGTGGTCATCAAAGTTCTCTTTGATTGACGTCACGTGCAACCCATGTATAGAGCAGATGTAGGCGCATAGTTTTGATAAATTACATTTCAGTATTAAAACGTTTTTTTTAACTCTTTATCGCAATGAAAACGTTGCGTCATAATTACGCTTCATAAGATAACTTGGTTAGCATTTTTGCATTGTCAGGTGTAATTGATACTTCACAGTTCGCGAAGGCTTGTGGCCTGCAACTATCTCCTTTTTTCCTGTATTTTTATTTTCATTTGTGCGACTATAGATGTTCGAGCTAATGTCTTGCGCGTGTTACGTACAAAACTTTTGTCTATATCAAGAGGTTACAACGAAAAAACCCGCTAAGACATGACCTAGGACAGAGAAAAAAATTAGACGGCAATTTTCCAGGTGTTTTGCATAAATAGGTTGAACCAAATCAACAAAGAAAGTTCGTCGCTAGTTATATACGATATTGTAGATTTCAGGTTAGTAAAGACTCGGGGTGTGCGTATAAATACGGGGGCGTAGAACTACGTGGCTAGGTATGGGCCATTGCTCTGCAGTATGATTAAGGGCTCACACAAAATCAAGAATACTGTTCTCATTACCTTGTTGTCACTGCACTTTTTTTTGGAGTGAAATGAAATGAAATATTTATTTCCAGAAATTTACTCTTGTGGGCCTCCCGATAAAAAGCTACCAGATAGTAACTTCACTGGGTCTGGGGCCCTAAAGCAAAACATGTCTAGCAATCGGGAAGAAAAGTGTGATACATTGAAAAGCCTCGTTATACAGCATATAGAGTGTGTCTCAGCAACTAGGCACGCACTTCAGTAACAATAAACAGAGTAAACATGTGAAAGCGCAGGATCGTGTGGCAGCAAGCATATTATGCGAAAGCGAGAAAAAGAAAAATGTCATACAGAGACATCCGCGGTAGATAAAACACATATACAATCCAGCCCTAGTCAGAGAATATATAACTATGTTTTCTAGATGGTACCTGTTTAGTACAGAAGGTAACATATGGCGAGGGGATTGTTACGTATGATTCGTGCGGAAATGAGGAACATACCATATCTCTGAGCAGCGCATACTGATCGAGATTTCCTTTTTATTCAAATCCTCGGTGCACCTTAAAAATTCAATGAATTCATTTGTCCCGAAAAGGAAAGCATACCAAAGACGATACACACGCATACTTGTAATGGCAATAATCCTGAATTTTTCGAACCGCGGTTTAGTGTCATATAGGTAATGAACATCAGCGATGATACGTAGTATCTTTTTTTGCAGTAACCGTATTTTGTTTAAATTCGAACTTGTTGTTGTACCCCCCCCCCCCCCCCCCGAAGTGACAATAATTTTGACGATACCGGAAAAGGGCATGAGAAATCATGAGTTCAATGTTAACAGGCAATATTGAGCGGTATCTTCTAATTACGCCAATGACTCTGCACAACCTGCTGACCAAAGCATCAAGATGGCGATCCCACGACAGATGCCCAGAGAAGATTACGCCCAGCGTTTTATGGTGCTTAACTATATCGATTACTGTACCACCTAGAGTAAGGGATTTAGTGAAGGAGAAGCGGTTATTCAATGACCGAAATATAACTGCCTTGGTTTTGTTTACATTAATTTTAGGGCGATTTACCTTAAACCATCTGCCGAATTGCGTGAGAATATCGTTCCCCTTAATAATTAAGCTTTCTGCATCTACGACCGACACAAAAAGACTGGTGTCATCGGCATGTATTACAAACTGCGCAAGAGTACCAACCTTTACCACGTCGTTTATAAAAATGTTAAAGGGCAGAGGGCCCAGTATGCTACCCTGAGGCACGGCGCAGGTTACGGCTTTGAGCAAATATAATATCCTTTTGTTTGCTGATTCTTTATATTAAACATTGTACCATTTTCTTTAAAGTAAATGAACCAAGTAGACACACGAGGAATAGTTACTTCAACCGCTAAATGATATTTGTCAAGTTGCCATTTCCAATGCCACGTGTTTCCACAGAGCGCGTTCACTCGATTTACAGGGACCGAAGCGGCTACTCTCACCTGTTTCGCAAAGTTCTCCCGTGTAAAGTCCGGAGCAGTTGCACGAGAACGACGCCAGCCCGTCGACGCACGTCCCCCCGTTCAGACAGGGGCTGGATTGACAGTCGTCCACATTCTCCTCGCATCGCGGACCCGTGAATCCCTCCTGACATGTACACTCGTACTCATCCCCCTTAGCTACACACGTTCCTTGGTGTTCGCAAGGATTTGGGGAGCACGGTGTTTCAATCAGTTCGCAAGATTTTCCCGTGAATCCTCTGCGACAGCAGCATCTGTATCCCTGAAAGAGTTCATCAATTTCTTTTAGTAATCACTGGGAACCTCAAGGGCAGTCGAAAAGTAACCATACGAAAAAATTACCCTCTAACATTTAAGTTGACAAAAATATTTATTAATGCAAAGAGGCATCGTCACTGCTGCATCTTGCCGAGCGTCAGCCTTCGTGAGAGTGGATGCAGTTTAGATAATACGCGGTGAACGTATTCTCTAGAGGTTTAAGGTTGCTTATAAAATATCTGGACCTAACCGGGAGGAGGGCTGTTGTGATAACTTGGTAATGACATTTCCACAGTTCACGCGGCTTAAGAAAGCTGGTAAATAAAAATGCTTGAAAAACGCCCCGGTGTCTACGTTCCTACTCAGCTCCCGTACGGCCAACCAGCGGAACTCACTAAGACAGGCCAAGAGAGCTCCGAAAAATGGAGACGGGACAGCTTTCTCCGGCTACAGCCGAACGGGGGCGCGGCGCACGTGTCTAATCCAGTGTTGTACGGAACGGCGTTCCAAGGAACGGCGTTCCTGAAACGCGTTCCTGTTAGGAGGAACGAAAGAACGCCGCGGTTCCATTTTGCATCACTGGAACTGGAACGGGAACTCGTTACATTTTTACTGGAACGAAAAAAAAAAGAAACGGCGTTCCTTTTTTTCGTCCAGTGGGGTAATTTTTATTTTATTTCTCAGAGGGAAATTTTAAAAGTATGCGGAGAGCAGGTCGTCTGCTTCTTTCACGGGAGTTTCGGTGACGTCAGAACGACACCGAGCTTTGATTGGGTTTGATCGAAAGAATAGTGGGTAGACCTCAATGCTAAATGCCTTGACGTCTACCCACTATTTTTTTCAATCGAACAATGAGAGTTCGGCGTCGTGTTGACGTCACCGAAACTCTTGCGCAAAATGCAGACGACTTGCTTTCCGCATAAAAGAAAAGATGTATCTTTATCAAGAGCATGATCTCGTTCACTTTTTGGGTACTTAGGGTTTATTTTGTGTGGTCCTCGCTTGGTAACGGTCGGGTGCAGGAGAGCTAGTGGACATTGATTCTTTTTTCAGTGCCTTAGGCTGCGGTACGAAAAGCAAAACTTTTAGTCGAAGGAAACGACAAAAAGAGAGACGCTTCAAACTCCGCTACTTTCTTTGCTTCCACGAAACCTAACACACCCAGAAGTCTAAGTCCGACTACAGCCATCGCTCAACTCGCACAAAGAGACCTACAGTTGCAACAAAGGATTAGGTAACCATACATCAAACGCGCCCTTGTATCCCGAACATTGGTCACTTTAACGATAACCAAAAATTAACCTTTATTCCTTTTCCCCTTGTTTCCCACCTTCAAACTGCACAACTAATCCGACCTTCCTGAAGAAGGACTTGTAGCCTTTAAGACTGGCCTTCTAAAAGCTCTGTCATCTTCGCTTGCTCGTCTTGCGGACAGCAACATCGAGAAGCAACTGTTAAGTTTAAACAAGGGACTTTGTTAGATTGAAACGTGGGAGGTTGTTGTAAAACGCTCGTGCGGTGTGGTATAACAGTATATTTGGCTCGTCTGAATCGTCCAGCAAAGACATGAATATGGTTGAAGGCTAAGATTTTTAAAGGTGAATATATCAACAAATGAAACCCTGTTTCCGCTTTTTTCTTCTTTTGGTTCCCTTCTATAACTGCATTCAAATTTGTATGTTGTCATTTGATGGGATAGATAAAAAAAATCTCTGCTTGATCTAGTTAAATAGGGTAATCAGCAAAATACGAATGTAACGTTTGTGTAACGATAGGTTCCATTTCGTTTAACTGTAACGGGAACGAGTTTCTTTCTTACTGACGGAACTTGTAACGGGAATGCGTTCCAAAAATCATAAGGAACAGGGAACGAGCTTTTTTTGAGGAACGTGTACAACACTAATCTAATCAACCCCCCGCCCCCCCCCCCCCCCCCCCCCGCGTTACCTCTTTTGTTACCTAAAAGCTGTTTCTCCGGTGTCACATTGCAGATATATGTCTTTTTGGGGGAAAAAGCCTTTCCGACCCGCTTATTTCCTGCGGAAACGTGAACGCAGAGATGTACTTAGACTGTTTTATATTCGCTCCAAAATAGAAAACAAATAGGCCATCTTAGAATTTATGGGGAAACTTCAATAACCCCTACCAACTGCACACGTAGCACACCAGAGAAACGCCTAATCTGGCACAAGCTATGCAACTTGGGCCTAATACGGTTTTGCTCTAAGGCGTTGGTGCAAGAGTACTTCTTTGTGCGTGAAAGTGGAGGGCGTTTTTATTGCTTTTCTGTGGTTCGCCACATATTGACCAAACTGCGAGACTTGAGTCAAAGATGCCACGTAGGGACCAAAGAACCAGAAGGGAGACCTAAATCTGACGCTTGTTTGGCAATTTAATCACACATTTGCCACATGAAAACAGGACAATCAAAAGTGAAGCCTAAGCTTGGCACTTGTTTAGCGAATTAGGGCCAAGATACCCAGAGTCTTGAAGACATGTGTGACCCTACATTGAATTCTTCGGGCTTTTCAGGGCCCTAAATATCTAGACAAAAGTCACATTTTGGCCAAAATATTTCTTCTACCTGGAAAATTATTGTATAAAAATAACAGCGACTCACGTCAATGGAATCAAAGCAGGAGCCTCCATTCTGACAAGGTCTCGTTGCACAGTCGTGGTACCTGGCATGGCAGGTCTTACCACGGAATCCTTTCGCGCATTTACACGCGAAAGTGTTGACGCCGTCAATGCACGTTGCTCCGTTCTGACAAGGATCTGTAGTAGAAGGAAAACAAACCATTCTCACGCACGACGCTTCAGAGATGTTCTTGGGTGGCATAAATCTCGTGGCTAGCTGGCTCTGAACTTGTCCGGAAAAATTGGCACCTCTACGTGGCAATCTCCAATTTGTAACGGAGGTGTATTTCAATGCTGAATTTTGCGCTGTAAAATTCTGAAGCATAGCTTCCTTGCTGTGAAAAAATTCGCCAAACAATTTGGTCAGGGCCAGCGGTGAGCGTCGACACAAACACCAAGTAAGCTACGTATGTTACTTGTGACGCCATCTTCCTATGTGCAGCGAGTAGAGACGTGCACTCGGCAGAAAGCAGAGGACCTTATCATCTGTTTGCTGCGCTTATCGAGAGATGGCGCCACAACGAACAAACGTGGCTAACTTGGTCATCTGCATTGACGTTGACGCTGATCCTGGCACGCTTTCTTGTTTCATTTCTTGCAAAAAGAGAGCTGCGCACTGCAAATTCATCAAATAAAATGCACGACTGAAATACACCTTTCATGAAAATGTGAGATTATTACGTCAGAGCGCCTATTTATCCAGTCGATTTTAAACCAAGCGTCGGGATTTCTTACACCCGGTATATGAAGCGTTCACGTACTTGAGTCGCAGTCGTTGATATTCACTTCGCAGTTGGATCCGGTAAAGCCAGGAGGACATGAACAGGTGTAGTTGTTCAGCCCGTCGATGCATACACCTCCGTTCAAACACAAATCTTCGGCACAGTCGTCGATGTTGTTCTCGCAGTTCGGTCCCACCAGCCCTTCCGGACATGCACACGTGTACGTGCTTCCCAGGTCCACGCACGTCGATCCCTCGGCACATGGTTTCAGTAATTCGCAGGTCTTAACGTCTGTAAGAAAACACAAACTTCCATCCTCTTCGTATGGCGCCCCCTCGTAGCGATCACTGGCGCAAGTGTTAGCTGTAAAACACAAACTTCCATCCTCTTCGTATGGCGCCCCCTCGTGGCGATCACTGGCGCAAGTGTTAGCTGTAAAAGCTGGTTCGCACACTTGTGTTTGAGTGAGCTCTGGTGCTTTGCATCCCCTTGTTACACTGGCGCCATCTCTCTGGTAGCCCTGTAAACTTTAAATAGGCATATATTTTCTGTGCAATATTATGCGCATTATACTTTTAACGTGGCATTTAAATAATGGTGACCATATTATAAGTCACCATTTCTCATAGGCAGAGCTTAGATGATTTGATACCACGAACGCCACAAAACCTTCGGTCTAGTTATACGCAGATTCAGTGTCACCTCATACATCGCCAGTGCGCAAGTGTGTTTTCTCGTCATAGGCGAGGTTCACAAATATGGGAACCAGCATTAAGAATTATGGTTATAACTTGGCCATAGATTTCCTTGTGTTTATTTATGAGAGAAATCGGCGGACGTTTTTGGTTGTTTACCTATTTTTAAGATATCGGCGTACTTGGCAATCTGCTTCGCAAAGGCGCTAGAAACGGTAATTATCCCCCAAAAAAAACTCATGAAAAAGTAAGAATAGTTTAATAGCTGAGGGCTTCGACAAAATCTGTCCCAACTGGAGCAATATTTTCAAGGAATCGGTGCTTTTCGGTTTACCAATTTTGCATTTTGGGCGACGACACATTCTTGTCGGTGTTTTCCGGTTAAAACCGAAACTTCTTCGGCCTAGTTATAGCTATGCAGCGTACTTTTCGGTCTTAACCGAAAAACACCGATAAGTATTGACCGGCGATGGAAATGCGAAATCGGTTAAAACAGAAAAACACTGATTTTGAGAACATTTTGGATACAAGCAAATACTATTTTGGTCGGAAACCCCAATTCTAGGCGCTCATTCAGCGTGTTTCGTTACTAAGCATGAAGAAAACTGGTGGTCTCCATTCGGTGGGATCGCTGACCCTGGCGGACAGGGACCCTAGAAATGATTCAGTTGGTCACCAAGAATGGTCACAATGTCATTGTTCAATTCATGTCGGAGGACAGCAGGTTTCATCACTACACCTGCTATCATCATCAGAGCAAAGTTAATAAAGTAACTTGTCCCATAGCAATTCTTTGACACCGATCAGCACCGTTTTTAGCTGTAAAATAGTTTGCTGTTGGGCGAGTTGGTGGACGTTTGGTTACATGGTTTTACGGGAAAAAGACGGACACAAGAGAGAGAAACAAACACGAGCGCAACTTACAACTGTATTGAGGAAACCCTTAGGAAACATACAGATATATCGTCAGCTTCAATGCGTCCACGCATTGAAAGTGTCACTATCACACGCTCGTCCCAGAAACTTTTCAAGGAATCGTTTCTCAGCAATATACAAACTTATCGAGGTGAGCGATACCTCGATAAGTTTATATAATGCTGAGAAACCCTTCTTTGATAAGTTTCTGTGACGAGCGTGTGATAGTGACACGACGCATGCGTGGACGAATTGAAGTTGACGATATATCTGTATGTTTTCTAAAGGTTTCCTCAATACAGTTGTAAGTTGCGCTGGTGTTTGTTTCTCTCTCTTGTGTCCGTCGTTTTTGCGCAAAACCATGTATCCAACCGTTTTAAGCGTTCGAATGAAACAACTCGTCGAAATACTCTTTTGTTCGAGAAAAAATAAACACCAAAAAACATCCAACGATTTTTCTCACAAATATACAGCGGGAAATATACGGACAAGTTATCACTTCGAGTTTCTAGGAAGTACCTTACCAACGCAGTCCGATTTTGCTGTTGAGCCAACGGTGTGAGTGCTGAGGCCGTTTTCACATTTCATACATGACGTCTGGTTCCTCAGAGGCTGGTAGAATCCAACGGGGCAAGGTGCACATGGTTTGGTTCCAAATATCGAGTATGTTCCAGGGGAGCAGGCGTCTGCAGGGACATGTATCATTTCACTTATACTTGAAAACGAACGCTCTTAGTGTGGACCTGCAAGGAAGTCTTACCTTGACAGGAAGATGATTCTTTTGCTCCCCAAAATCCCGTGCTGAGACCAGCTGGACACTTCTTGCATGATGCCTGTCCCGAAATGTCCTGGTAGGACTCTGTATCACACGACATGCATGGCTCCTTTCCACTGGTTGAGAAGGTTCCTGGCTTGCAGAGTGCTGAAGGTAGGAGGGTAGCGGATAAAATATAAGTTAAGGTTTACGGGGGGGGGGGGGGGGGGTATTGTAGGTCTATCATCCATGCTAACGCTATCAAGCAGATATACCCAGTGATCGCTTTTATGAGATCGAGCTTATAGCGGCTCCTTGTAAACGTTTACTCATTAATTTTTGCCTTTGAGTTATTTGTTATGCAAATCTGTGACTCCTATCATTTGCCTTTGGACAGTATGAAAATTGGATATTTTGATCATTCTCACTATCCCACACAATTTACCGGGCTTTACTTGTAAGTTATTTAGTAATTGTTTGAATGTTTTGTCTGGCTTGTGAGACCGTGTAAAAATAGCTAACTTCATAAATACATAAGAAGGTTGTACAAACGATTTAAGGTATTGCATGAATACAGTATATCATCCACGTAAATACTGTATAACTACAAAATGGTGTGTGTTATTATAATTCTTATGAGATTTGAATTATGCCCACTCTTAGTAAATGTTTGCTAACTGCTTTTGTCTTTAAGTGTTACGTCTTCTGCTCATGTGTGGCAGGGTTGGAGAGAGACCTCTTATTTATTTAGAAGGTCAGAAATATGTACACGGAATCATACAATGGTTCCCATATACCATCACGATCATTTATATGATAATATTTTGAACTAACGTTGTGTCAGGATTCCATATAATTTAAATCCAAAGTGATACGTGTAGTAGATGACAGAGTACAAGACTAGCTTACTATGGCTGCTGAGAGGAGATCAACTAAAGAGTGATCATGTTCGATTCTTGCCTCTGCATTCTGACGGTGAGCTGGACTTCTCCGAAAGCGTTGTTTTGTTGTCGGGGCACGAAAGACAGGAACTTGCACCTTCCAGATCTGAATAGGTTCCGATCGGACAAGGCAGACACGTGGTCCCGTTGTGGTAGTATGTTCCCACCGGACAGTTGACTGTAACGAGAAACGTCCAATTTGTCCAATTTTTAGTTTCATACATCCGGATATCGGTGTTGGTTTGACGGTTCCAACAACCTAGGGTTCATCGTCAGCACCTTAAGATTTTTCAGCACATCCTGAATGGAAATAAGTTTTTTGCGTGAGCGACTAAAGGCTTAGAAGGATTAGGCTCTAGCCATTGGCTCTGCATCCTGTTCAGTGTATTCATTTTAATCGACATTGCTTTCGAAGAATGAAACATATCTAAATTCATTCGCATAGTTATTAAAGTTTTAAGAAACGCAGGATGTGGGCTTGTTATATTCACACTCTTTACTTCGTAATTCGTTCATTGGCTTTCTTATCGGCAAATTTCGCCATCTTGTTGTATGCTGACGATGCTGCCGATGAAGACATGCTCAGGATACGCCACGTCCAGCGTTTTTTTTTTGTGAATATAATTAGCTGGCCTTATTATAATTAACTACATGTTCTGCGGGGAAAGGCAATGAATGACTGCGTCTCCCCTGATATTAATGAAAAAGGTCCAAAAAAACAAGCGATCGACTACTTTAGTTAAACCACGCTCTAAAGCATTACAAACTCCTTCATTCACCTGTAATCCTTTGCAGTGCAGCTTAACCACAGTAGCAAACAACCAACTAGCCCAGCCCCAAGCACTGTTAAAATTGTGGACAATGGCATGAAATGGGCGAAGACATTCGCAGGTTGAAAAATATCACAAGAAGCTACAGGAGTTAATCCTGTACAATACCATCTAGAACAGTCACCCAGTCAGTGCTTTGAAGCCTTGACCGACTTGGGTTTTAACGGGAAATCGACTGTGAATAGAAGCCGTGGGCAGATAGTCTAATCAACTAGCTAACGATAGATTTACACCAACCCATTTACTAATTCTATTAGACTATTCCACGCTTTATTAACTTAAGTCATTTTCGGCGTGAGGAACCGGATTAGTAAGCTACAAGAGAGCAAGCCTTGTGCGAAACTGAGCACAACGAAATATAAAATTATTCTTCGACTCAGACCTTGTAAAAACCTGTCTGTCTTTTTTCATCGGTGCAGCTCGTTTATAAATAGAGAATATACCAAACCGCGTTAGAGATACAAAAACCTGTGTGGCAAACCTTTTAACGATGTTTTGTGTATACTCACCACAGAGCAGATTGTTCGATACTTGACCGTGGCTACACTCTGATTTGAGGACTTGCGTTGACTCAACTAGAACAGCGTCTGGCAGCGCTTCTACAACGCTGGCGTTCGCAGCCTCACTGGTGGCAGACTCTAGTGCCTGCCTCAGAGCCGTCGCCACGACTTCGCTTGGATGAACGAGGCTCGTGTTTTTGCAGTCCTGCAATTAATAGGATTTAATTAGAACGTCTTCTCTCTGTTTGGTTCTTACTTAAAGATTCACTCCCCAACTTTGAATTACCTGTTCGCTGACATTGTTCGTTCGAATTTGTTTGAATACGTTTCTATCAGATTCGGTAGATAAGACCCGCAATTTTCTGTGAAGCAGACACCCATCCCAAATTAGGTCATTGTCCTCTAATTATTAAGATCAATTATAATGAAAATTACGGCGTAAATTATATCTTATTTCGTATGTCCTGACTTTTTCTAAATATGCGCGCACCGAGACGGGTACAGGTACCTAATCTACACGAAGAGTGGGGAGAAAGCATAGATTTGGCAGGCATAAATCTCGCAATCGTAAATCTGAACTTTGTAAAGCGTAACAACTTGAAGCTAATTTAATATTTCAATCTGATTCCCAAAATATATTACTATGGTCGCAGAACGGAGGAGAACCGCAAGGAAGGTCTACCGGTCGTCCCGCCTCCGGCGCGAACTAACAGAACAAGAACGGCGTCTCGCGAGCTTCGAGCGTGCACACGCAGCCGAAGCACGACGGAAGGCAATAGGGGTGCAGATGTATCTTCCAGCGGAGCACGAGCTCAGTTCAAGATCTTATAATCGATTACAGCCCCTTGAGGCTTAAGAAATCCAAGACGTGGTTCATTATGTTAATTCACGGTTCTTGCTTCGTGATTGGCTCTTCGGCGTTCTTACTGCCTAATGCAGCAATCTCATTGGAGGAGGAGCGATAATGAGATGCAGGGGACAGGCCACGTTCTTCGTTGCTTAGGCTGTCAGAAACTGTGATAAGGCTTATAGATGTTACAACTGTCGCTTACTATTCACAGAAGTGTCAGGAAAACTAAATTCAACTGAAAGCTGCAGGCACAAACAAAACTATTGAACTCTTCTTAATATCATAGAAGTATGTACATACAAAAAATGCAACGAAAGTAAGTTACAAATGTCAAAAATTGGGAATAAACATAGAATGGGTGAATGTGAATCATCACTCGTTGCAAGAGATTCGAGAGTATTCGTAACACAAAAGAACGCAATAAACTTTTTTTTTGTACTAGAGAAAATATGAAAACCCACCTCGCATGCTTCAATCAGTTCTGTGACGTTCAAATCTTCTGGTAAGGGCACTGTAAACGATAACCTGAACGTACTTTCAAAGTCGTCGTTGTTGTCGTCATCCACAGCGTCTCTCTTTTGCAAGGCTCTGGACGCAGCGCTAGATCCACGCCGACCATGCTTCTTAACAGAGAGGTCACGTTTCTGGATTTTGGTCTTGTTTTTTGATTGACAGTCGATGTGAACGTTGTCAACGGTGCAGCCCTGATTGGGGTCGCACATCCCTACGACGTGCCCAACCTTCTTTTTAAACGCATCGAAAAACTTTTTCTTGAGCCGTTGCTTTTGTTCCTCGCTGACCTGACAGGAATTCGTAGCAAATTTGAAATCGACGGTGTAGTCGGTCTTCTTCGGTTTCTTCGGTACTGAAACGAAATCGATGAATGCAGGCGTTGCATGCCTCCTTGTAGAAATACCGCCGTAAGGTACAGTCTCCAACAACATGAAAAACTCATATGCCGTGACAGTTCATCGGGCGGTGCTAAGCAGGTCTTTTAAAAGAAAAGACACAGTGTTCATTTTCATCCCTATTCCAATCAGCCCTTTCTAACACGAACCCAACACGGCCACCTAAAACTGCCTCGTCGAATGGTTATTTGATAATGTCCAATTGTTCGAGAATGTACTTTCACGAACGGTTTCGTGGCATCCGAATAAAAATGTCCAGCCCAACTTAAGAGGCAATGTGCATTTCTTCCTTAAAGTTATATGATTACACCCCCATTAACTGCTCAGAAGACGGGCAGCTCGCTACCCGCGTTCTTGTAAGCCTATGGAATGTCGAATCAACTTCCAAATAATCAGCCAATTTTACGTCACTAATCTCTTTAAGATCGCCCAAGTTTCTGTCATTTGCAAAACTCTGGTGTCGCCGTCAACACCTTCTACATAACCCAGTGGTAGTACTGAGGTATCGGCGTAACCTAAAGAAGGCCAACGCGGGGCAGAGATTGGTCCCGAATGCTGCGTCAGCGTTTGGCTACGGCTAGTGTCTAATCGGTGAGAACCCGAGTCCCAGCCGAACGCTGGAGCCACACTCGGGACCAACCTCTGCCCCGCGTTGGCCTTCCTTTGGGCGACGCCGAAAACTAAGCACTACGACTTCGTTCTTAAGGGGTTATTGTTACAGTCGCTGACGGTAGGATTAGGGCCAAGCCAGGGTGGTGGCAAAAAAAAAAAAAAAAAAGCATCACTGTATAATATTGCAAATATTATGCAGTGATTTTCGATAGCAAGCCTGGCGCGCATGCGCGAAAGGGAAGCGCTGTCACCAATCTTCAGCCCGACCTGTGAAGTGCTGCTAAGTCAACGCTTATTTCAATAATGATTATTGATAGACCTGGCGGTCGTGCTGAGAACGTTCATAGCAAACCTTTCTACTGCTCGTTCTAGCGTTGCAGCCCTCATCGTTTATCGCGCATGACTTAGCACTCAACACCGGCACCTAGCAATATATTCACGACACTCCACAAAATGAATCCGCTACGTTCTCAGTTTAAAAAACGAAAACTAAATGCGTCCTAACGCTCATGATACTCTGCCTGTGCACATACATTCGTGTATGCACTTCAAGTTTGTTCACAAATTCGTGTTTGAGTGTGGCCGAGTGCGTTGCTACCGATTGTGACTGCTAACGAGCGAACACATGCCACACTGGCGCCATCGATGATGTAGTCCTGGAACACGTTCCAATCCGCGTATAACGAGACCGAACGTTTTGCAGTATTTACGAGATTAAATGTAGGCACTATCGAGGAAAACTTTTTGCTCATGACATCTTCTGAATAATTTGCAGTCCAAGGCAAAATAATGACGCTTAAAAAAAAAAAAAAAAAAAAAGATACGCTGAAACAAGAGAGTTTTAGGGCTCCACGATAGATGGCGCCAGTGGGTTTTCTCGTCGTTGTTGGCAACATTTGTCGATCTCAAAATACCGGCTTGGTGGCGCAAGTCCCCGCCCGATTCAAAGGGTTCATCCGTATCAACCATCCACCCTTCCATCGTCGTGAGCAGTTTCAAGCATGTTGCAACGCGTTCGGTCACGCACAAGAGCAAACGTGTGAACGGGCCTTCGCGCGAAATAAGTCGAAATGTGCATTTGAAGAAACGCCATTGATCAAATGGGAATGAGAATGACTTATTGTCGCTTGTAAAGTCCCGAATGAATTCCCATCTATTCTGCATGAATAAAAGGGAAGTAATGTGATGGGGGGAGATTTTTTGAAGGGTGGGCGTTCGTTCGAGATATTAGGTATTGAAACATTGGGTGACTCGAGCAGATCTTTTGCCATGAAACGATCCGCGAAAATCAGCGTCTGGACATACAAATCTCTCATTTTCAGCAAATGAGCTTTGAGGCGATGCATTTGAGCTGATGAAAACGTTAGGCATAGATACCGGTTCATAGTGAAATAAAAAGAGCACAAACTAAGAGCGACAGCCAAGCGCTTGTCTGTAGTACGTGTCCTCTCTTTTGTCCTGTTTTTTTTTTTTGTGCGCGTTTAATTTCATCATGACTCACGACCAGTCTTGTACACGTTACTAAAAAAAAGTAATCGATTACAATTACTATTACTCTTGGCTAAAAAGTATTCGATTAGATTACTTGATTACTCGACGGCAAAAGTAATTGGACATTACATAAGGAAGTGATCGTTGCTTTTCCGATTACTTTATTGTGTGAAGACACATCTTTAGCGCTCATAACAGTGAACTACTTCCTACCTACATTTCACATTTGCACAAGTATTCAAGAAAAACTGGCTCCCTCTTCGTGGTCGTTGCACGTTCACAATGCGGACACAGGCATAGAATTCGTTTGAAGACGTGTAATGGTTTGGGCGTTCGCCAGTGTGTGTGTGTGTGGGGGGGGGGGGGGGGGGGGGTTCTAGATGTTGTTAAGCTTGAGCAAGGGTTGTCGCTCAAAGTTTGCGTCGCTCATTTTATAATTCACATGTGGATGAGCTCGCATGTTATACAAAAGAGCAGCAGCTCCAGGATTTGAAACGGATCATGTGTAGTATCCATTAGCGAAAGTGATCGCCCCGACCACTTCTCAACCCGAAGCATTGCTTGTCACAAAGACCACGTAGGGGAAATGGGGAAATATTTCAACTGACTTTGTTATATTTTGCATCCGCTTTAGGCATTCTTCGGTTCTGGTTCTCCTACGGTCTGCGAGTAGGTACCCTAGGCAGGATTTTATTATTTTTTTATTTCTGTGTGTGTGTGCGTGAGGGGGCTAGTTTGAACGAAGGACTCACAAAGCTACATTCTGCTTCCTCAAACTTCGCCCTGAATGGCCTTTGTCACGCACTGTGGCTTCCCTGGGACTTTCCAGTGCCAATCCCAGTTCGAAAAAAAAAACAAAAAAAACGGGCATTTCACAGAAACTGTATATAGAAAGAGATTGACCTCGTTTCCTACAGCTCCGCAAAAATCTTTCTTTTTTTCCGTTCAAAAAAAAAAAAGCGAATTTTATTTTTGTCATTGCATAAAAAAAAGGCGTGTGCCCGGGGGGGGGGGGGGGGGGGGGGGGTCCCGTGGGCAGATTGTAACGGTTACAAGTGATTTTATTACTTCAAAAAGTAATCAGATTACTCTTGTGATTACTCCCCAATAAAAGTAATCAACTGATTACAAAATTACTCCTAAAAGTAATAGATTACAAGTAATATAGCCAATACATAACAAATAATGCTAACCGCATGCTCGGATTCCTAAAACGGAATTTTTCAACAGTTCTTGTGTCGCTAAAATTACTTCTCTACAAAACACTCGTTCGCTCAAAACTGGATTATGCCTCCTCCATCTGGGACCCCGGTACTGACGTACTAACCCTTGCAGTTGAAGCGGTCCAAAACCGTTCTGCTCGCTACATCCTCACTAATTATCACCGCATTGCTAGCGTAACATCAATGAAATTGGGCCTAAAACTGCCAACGCTTGCTTTGCGCAGAAAAATTTTTCGCTTATGCCTGTATCACAAGCTATACCATCATAACCCTTTACTACGTGAAAGGTTACTAACGCCTGCACCTTACATCTCATCACGTCTCGATCATCAACATAAAATGGACGTACCCTCGTGTAAAACTACATCTTTTTATAGTTCGTTCATACCTCGCACCACTCTTGACTGGAACCACCTTCCAGCCTCTGCGGTATCGATTTCCGATGGTGCGGCGTTTAAAAACTGTATTGCCAATATTTATATTCCAGAATTTGACTAACCTATTGTTATTTTTCTTGTTCTGTTTCATGTGCATATCTTAAATTTACTTTATATTATGTAACCCACTCCCCTCTGTAATGCCCTCGGGCCCTGAGGGAAAAATAAATGAAATGAAATGAAATTTGATTACTTGTAATGCGTACGGTACAAGTCTGCTCACGACCAGCTAGCCCAGCTTTCAACCCTGCCGTAAGGCATAGCGCCCTTCCTGTGAAAGATCGGTCCAACAAACCTGCCAGAGTCAACATGGACGCGTTAGCGAATGACCATGTTAGCGACGCTAACATGGTCATTCGCTAACGCGACAGCAGACGGCACATCGAGTCATCTGCTCGCTGCGTCTATCGAACGATGGTGCCACCCGTAACAAGCATCCCTAGCTTGGTCGTATGCGAAGCCGTCCGTTGTCGCTCCAGCCAAGATTGTTGGTTTCATTTTACAGCGAAGCTGTACATTACTCGCAGGTGGAATTTTTTTGTGCCCGCCTACAGAAAACCTACGCGCGCGCATTATGATTTATCATGTGGTTTTGACACTTGTTTCGAAGAGAAAACCACAAAAAAGTGTCAAAACCACGCGATAGACCATGAAGCGTCCGCGAACGATGATAAGACCGTAGCTCTTCCCGCATGCGTTTCTCCGTAAAGATTTGAGTTGCATAAGCTGCCGTGGGAACGGCAGCGTACGAAGTCTTTCTTATGTAGAAAAGTTTTGGTGCAGTGTATTTACTTTTCTTTTGTCAATCATTCAGTAGAGACACTTTTGCTGTGTACAAAGATAAACTGCCGCTTGCTTCCCATGCGACTTCCGGTCGCCCCGTATTTGCGAGCCTGTTCATCTTGCTTATGTCACCAGTGCTAAAAACCATGAATGCTCCACGGACAACAAAGTCGGAGATTTCACCAAGGCCTTCAGCTGTAAAATATGACATCTTTGGGGAGGCAAGTTGATTTACATGAATACTCGAGAAATTTCTACAGATCTGGCACTCGTTCGTTCTTTCGGCGTTCACCTGGAGAATTGGCGGTTAAACGTTTCATCTGCATTTCAAGCAGCGGCGTTACGGTGGCCTTTGTCCATTATTTTTATAAAGCGGAAGTTCTCTGGCATGTCAAAGACACAGCACCACCGGGTGACGTTTGCCTGGTGGTGCTGTGGACAAGGGTCTACAGTGCAGTGGACAATCATTGCAGGTGGTACGAGAGATCCATTGTCCAACCACCTTCAAAGCGTGGATTGAAGGCTTAATTATTCTGACAGAGAGGTCGCTATGCCTTAAGATTTGATAAGCTAAAATGCTCCAACTCAAAGCACATTCGAATCTAGTTTGAGCTTTCTAGGTGCGGGAGTAGACTTTCCTGGCTCGTTTTACGGAGTGAGATCTACTGGTCACTCTGTACTACAAACAACATTTTTTTAAGCGAAACAAAATTAATGAATAAAGCGCATACATTACCTGCGCAGTCCGGCCAGGGTAACTTAAGCTTCTTGTTCCTGGAGAATGCGCTCCATTCTCCTTTGTTTACCTTCTGCTTGCATCGGTACAGAGGCGCTGGCGGGGACACAAACTCGTATCCCTGGTCGCAGTAAACGCTGCAGAACTGGCGATCGGTCTTCGAGTCGCAGGTCACAAATCCGTTCTTGGGTGGTGGATAGTACGGGCAGGGATACGCTGAAATGCACATGCAAATATGATATAAATGGCTGACCGTTTGGCATTAAACATTCTTGCAGGCAATATTTGTTGATTTCATGTCGGCCATAAGATTATTATATCCTAAATTTTTGGTAGAGGGGTGTTTAATATCTTTTTTTAGAGGGAGGCATAGCGAATCATCATCATCTTCTCTTAATGAAATATTCGCGAAGGTCAGATTTTTTCCAAGCTTTATTTTGGGAACTTGTTTTATTTCGTGTTCTAATTTTAGGTCATATATATATGTTTTATTTATTAGGAGAATAGTTAAAATAATTTGTAATAACAACTTTTTTTCTAATAACATCCTTCTGTTATTGTTTACTTGTATGTTTCACACATCTCAAAGATTGAAGTGAAACCTAAGAATGACCTCAAGCTTGTGTACTAATAAAATTTTTCGTCAAAGGAGTTCGTGAAGGTGTCACAAAACTAATACAAAACTCATAAAAAAACCTATAGTGCAAGCAAATGTTTCATAGTTATATATATATATTGAAGAGCAGCTTTGGCCTTTTGAGAATTTCGCACAAATATATTCAAGCTTTGTTGGTTTTCTCGTAAATTCCTCCTTAAGTAACCTTTAAATTCTCATCTGAGGAGAGCGTGTGTGAGTAAATGCTTTCATTTATATTTCTAAAGTAGTTAGTAGTTAAAGGTAAAATGTTCCCGCAGCAATAATAGGGTTCTACACCACCGTAACTCTGCTTTCAACAATCTGCCTATGCAGTTAACTCCGTTGTGTGTGTGTGTGTGTGCAACGTAAACATAAAACTGTTTTCTTTTTTTTTTCTTTTTTTTTGTTATGCGGCCTGGAACCTGTCTCCGTCCTATGTAATTTACCACGTCTTCACGTTTGGTCTTGCGATTTCCGTCACAAATGTTTCATGTCGCCGCCGGTCGCCATTCCGGCGGTGCGACCACCGGAAGTGGATATGGCAGACGCCCGTCTTCACCGTAGCTCGCTTCGCCGCATCCCAGTTGATGAGAAGCGATGGCGGACACGAGATGGTACGTCGTGACAAACAGCGATTCCTGCCTCCGCTCGCCTTCTTATAGTTAGCGTTTCCAGGACCAGCAGGTGGGATCGCGACATCCAACGTCTTTACACACTGTCTCCTGTGACGTAATGTGTCGCCACTTCGGGACCACGGACGCTAGACACTGTTCCACTTTTTGTCCGACCGCCGCCGACGCACGGATCAGACAAAGTCAATGACGCAGCCCCAAGAGTGCATCGTCACGGCTTTCACCGCCTTTGCGTATCGGCTGCAGTCGGACTTAAACTGTATCGGAGTTCAAACACTTTAAGGTGTTTTCGTAGACCGCGTTTCCCCCTCCGCTAAGCCCTCCGCAACGAAGCAGCCGCTACTGCGCCGGCGCGCCGATGGCCTTTACTGTAGAGTTCCGGCTAGCGTAGCTGGCTGCGGAGAGCCGTTGCGGGACAGCGGAAACGATCTACGAAAACTCCCTATTAGTATTTGATGCGTCCCGACTCCCGGTGCAACGTGTTTTCACCTCGTCCTGTTTGTTATTTCTAGGGAAGCAATAAACGTCCCTCTCCCCCCCCCCCCCCCCCCCCCCCCCCCCCCAACCCCTCAGCTCCACGGCTTCCGTGATTATGCAGCAGCATTGCTGTTATTTACGTTTTATTTCTTTTTCTGAGTGGCGTCCGCTTTGACCCTGAGCGGCCCCAGCGGCTTCCCTGTCGAAGCACCTGAGAGGACGCGTCGCAGCCGATGAGAATTTATTCCTCAATTTGCTGCGTGGGCTTCACTCCATGGGACAGTGGAATTTGGGGGGGGGGGGGGGGGGGGGGGGGGGCCTGCCAATTTAGGTGCCGTATTCCGCGGCTCCAAAAGATGACAACGCCGGTACACTCCATGGGAATGTTAATGCTTTCGCATTCAAAACACCTCCTAGAACCTGTTACTCGGCGAAAAGATGTTAAATCACAGAGCACCTTTTGTTTTCAAACAAGCACAGGCTGTCGCACTAAAATAGCTGGCTTTGCGGCGTTAAAGCCGATGCGACGCGAAAGAGTACGTTAAGCTGCTGAAAACAGAGCTTGCAATGAACTGATATATATTTTTTGTGTTGTTGCAATATGGCATGCAGTCGGTTTTCCTCCATCGGCAGTGAGTGGCTGTTCTTGTGCTTTGTGGCGAAGAATACACCGTTTTATATATTTCGCTTCAGCTTCAGTCCACACGCAGACGGAGCTACTAGGTAATGGGACTAATTTAGCGGCGTCGAAAGCGCAACCGACTGGGCCTTTTTTCTGCTTATGATTGGTTCAGCGATCACAAAATCACATACAGAAACATGACCAACTCCATGACGGTGCGTTTTTTGACGCTGTCTGATTGTCTGTGACTGAACTACTGTCTGCGTCTGGACTTAATGTGAAACGAAGTATAGCCCCGATCATTCTTGCAAAAAAAAATGCTGAGTCACTAGACTTTGGAGGCATCTCCGGCGCCTCGTGTTCCGCATAAAAGAGATCTACTGAGCATGTTCAGAAAGCGTTCTCTATACTCCGCGACAACTTTTCTTGGCAATACAGTGGAAGGTACAGGCCCGCGTTCCCTCTCCCATTTTGAGTGTACGCAGGCTCTCTTTTTCTCCCCATTTCCGGGGAGAGGAGGAGAGCCCGCGCACACTCAAAATGGGAGAGGGGACGCGGGCCTGTACCTTCCACTGTATTGCCAATAAAAGTTGACGCGGAGTATAGTCCAGGAGGCAAAGATGATGGCGCACAGAATACAATGATCGAAATGGCATCCACGCAGCGCAGTACTTCGTAGCTGTTTTCAGGAAAGGTACCCACGTTTTACGACAACTCGGAAGCTGCAGTTGGCCACGTTGCCATCTAAGTCCGTTGCGTGGTAGGTCACGTCACTGGGAGGACCCCAAGTGAAAACGCTTCCCGGATCCCTGGTCGCTGTGATGTTCGGGGGACCTGCGTTGTCCTGGAGACGCATTATATAAAGGAATTAAATCTCTTGAAATCTAACAGGCATTAGACTTCAACTGACAGGTATGTCCCTTATCTCAAATTCTCAATACGTTGTAAAGAAATGTCCGTATAACGAATAGTTTTCCAAGGTCAGCATTGCAAAATGCTTTTTATGAATACTTTAGCAGGGATGACAGTTGACAAAAATGCACCACGCGGATTAGGAAGCACCGTAGAAACATCTCTCAAGTACTTAATTTCTTTAAAGAAACAGATGGAGAAAATATCGATTCTTTTTTTGCATTCCATGCGTTATCGCAGGGAAACACTCCCGATCGGCAATTTTCACAAAACGTTGGTGTCTTAGAAAACCAAACAGTAAGCACTAAACTTGCGAGTTCATCTGTTTAGTGCACTTCAGCATAATGTTAGTCAGGCCGTCGACTTGATTTTTCACTTCCTCTGTGCATCAGTCTCCTCATTGGTTAATATTTTGTGGAACCGAGTATCAGCCAGGGGCGGATCCAGAACACCGGATTTTTTTGTGGTTTTTTTTTTCGTTCTTTTTTTTTTTTGGGGGGGGGGGGGGGGGGTGGGCGGAAAATTTGTAAAGATACTATTCTCCCATTCTGTCGTCTGCACCGGGCGGTCCACCCACGCCGAATCGCCCTCCGAGAAGGGGAGAGGGGGGAGTCGACTTTGTTTGGGGGGGGGGGGGGGGGGGGGGAAGCGGCCGCCCCTGTCGCCCCCCCCCCCCTTGAACCCGCGACTGGTATCAGCGTGTACGTTCAGAACGGCCGTGGACATCGCTACCCTCCCCCGGCATCATTTCAGTCGTTTCGCCACCAAACTCTGGCCGAACAAGAAACATGATCAGACGAAGGTGATAGTTAAAACGTCCACAATTTAGGTTCGTAACCACGTCGTAGTTATCAAGGTGGCCCGTTACGACTGTATCACTGGTTTTGTACCACAAGGGATCCATTTATATCTCAAAACTAAGCGAAAACGAGATAACACACCAACACAGCCGAGAGCCCCGCTGAAACTGAAACCAAGCAAATTGAAGCCACCTTATGGCGCCGCGTGTGTCAGCGTGCCCTCTACACCGGTCAGGTAACTACGGAGATGAAAAGGTTTTTAGACCCTTTTATCGAAAAAGTCGGAAGCAGATTCTGTTGGTAATTTACGTCCCGGCGACGTTTAGGTTAAATGAGAAAAAACAAACAACTCCCCACCATGACACCGCTTCTTGCAACGTTAGTAAAATATTTTATGACCAGTTTCCCAGATGATTACCTAAAGGACCGTCAAACTTAAGATTTTTTGGAGATTTTTTTTTTTAATATTCCTGTAAGATCGCCAATTCACTTTTATGAGTCGAATTGCACTACATAAGGACGGCGCTAAATTCCCAGCTTCGTGAATTTTGTAGGACTCCATTCTCCCTGAAATTTTCACTTGAACAGGCTCGGAAAACCTGCCGAAACGGAGCGACCGGACGTTTGTGTGTGTGTGTGTGGGGGGGGGGGGGGGGGGGGAAGGGGGGAGGAGGCAAGAGACGGCTTGTGTTGTTTGCAAACAGTCATATGGTTTACGATAAAGAAAGAGGGACATGGAAAACAAACGAAAGCCTGTGTTGTCTGCTCGTCTTCCATGCCCCTCTTTCCTCATCGTTAATGAGAAACCAACACGCTCAGCCATCTACAGTAAAATGGTCCTTACGGATTCTACACAAGTATACTGTGTCGTCGTTCGCCGACGGCTTCTGTTCAGGAGAGAGTTTTAGTTGAACGTTTTTGCATATCGGATGTGGTACGATGGGGCCTAGCTCCGGTACGAACTGCGCACGTGCGAGTCTTCTGTGGTTGCGCATGCGCAGTTCGAACCGGAGGGCCCATCGTAACGTATCGGATGTGCAAAAACGGTTCCCTAAAACTCTCTAATGAAGAGTCCCGGCGTGACGCTCGGCTTAGTGATTGAGGCCCAATTGCTAAGTAGGAGCCGTCGTACTCTGATGTCGGTTCACGAAAAAGAAAGAGGCGATGTGTGATCATTCATGCCCAGCTGTTCTTAACTGCATATGATGCTTCTACCTAGCAGTCACGAACATTTTTTTTTTCTGATTCCAGAAGTTGTGCCAAAGTGAACAATGTTTGATAAAGTATAGTCCAGTGACCAAGTTTTTCTTGCGACCTACCTTGAATATTGGCTTTTCCCACGTGATGTTCTTTTGACTCCTTTCGCTGAATTCGATGATGTCATCGGGGCAAAATACAACGACTGGTGGCTGGTTATCTGTTGGGATAGTAATTTCAAGAATAAGGAGGCGCCAAGCATGTGATGAAGCTTGCGTTCAGCTATGGACATTCTCTGCATGTTCGATGTAATCTCACTTTAGTGCGTACATGATCACTGTAGACACGGTTAAATGAGTGACGTCGGTGATGATATGTTTTAGTGATTGAAACTGAGCAATAACTGCTATATACAACGCGCCTCGTATCTTACCTTAAGTATCAATATCATCTAGCTCTGGGTTGCTGCATAATCTGTTACCGCTGCCATTGCCACAATTGCGTGAACGGAGCGACTTATTTCTTTTTTTCTTGTATCACAGTGGTTTATGAGGAAACGTACCGGTGACAAAGACGGTGAAAGAGCAAGGTTCGGATGCGAGGCCTGCCCAGTCCTCGGCGATGTAGGTGACCACCGTCTCTCCAACTGCGAAGCGATGTGGTGGCTTTGTGACGCCCGGTGGATGCACCACCCGCACAGTCGCTCCGTCATCGTTGTCCTCGGCACTTGGTTCCAGCCACGTCACATTCGAGCAGTAGGGTGCGTTTGGGTCCGTCACAAATGGCTCATCGGCTGGACAGTCTTTCAGCACAGGTCTCTCAACGTCTGCGAAGGACACGAATATGTTTACTCTCTCCGTGTGCTGTGCTGACTGACTTCAACTAAAAACGTACTATACTTCGTCTCACTCTAAAATCGACTAAAGGTAAAAGCTACGGGCCACCAGACCCAATCACAAGACACTTAGAAATTGCGTGGTATTTCGCTTCGATGCACGTGTCGGTGCCTGCGTCTAGGATCACTAATGGGTATGGGCGGACAGTGGTTCGAATTAAACAGCACTGAGTGACTCGTCAATTTTACATCGTAAAGAAAGCCACGACATACAGACTTTTCGCAGTGTCGAAGCTATAGAAATGATGAAGCGCTTTTTGCTTGGGAGCATCATTCGTCCACCCCTAATCAATGTTAAGCCTGTCGTAGTTTAGCGTGTAACGTGATTGGACCTGGCGGCTCGTGGCTTTGGCCTTTAGTCCATCGTAGGACGAGACAAAGTATAGTACTGATTCAGACAAGCGAACGCGGCCTGCGATATATAGTGCAGGTTGTAATTCAATCAGTTTGATCACGCGATGGTGACTTTGTTACAGGATTAATAGACCGCCGCCAAATTGGTAGGTTGGAATGTTGGCAGCACACGAGCTGGTAGTGGTATTATGCGGTTACAAGTTAGAACTAGCCTTGATGAGTATAAGGGTTGAAATTCCTTGAATGCCAAGTTAGCACCAAATGTGCCGCGCACTATGCCGAAAGGATGTGTACTAAAATGATTAATATAGATTAGTGTTAGCACGCGACGAAAGCCGGATCAGAAGCACATTTATTTATTTATTTATTTATTTATTTATTTTATTTTTACCTACAGTTTGCCAATGGGGCATTATCATAGGGGGGGGTGATTTACACATTAACATGCACAATAGAAAATACACATCAATGATCTGCTACACCACCAAGGTACACTACGCGTAGCACACAAAATAAACAACCAAAACATTCATTAACATCACATCATCGAAACACTGAACACACACAAAAAAACATCAATTATCACCCCACTCTTCCGTATATAAACGCATGAAAAATAAAAAAAAAGTGAAAGCCGTTTACAACTCCCTGTAACGCCGAATTAGAGCGCAGCTCTTGAGGAGGAGGAGGAGGGAAGGGTACTGGGGGGGTCAAGTGACCTTGGGTGGGGGTCACGTGACCTAGGGGGGTCACGTGACCCCCACCCAAGGGGTCACGTGACCCCCCTAGGTCACGTGTCCCAAGGGTCATCGTCACGTGACCTAGGGGGGTCACGTGACGATGACGATGCCGATGACGTCATCAGTAACGATGACGATGCGGATACCGATGACGTCATCACTGATGATGACGATGCGGATGCCGGTGACGTCATCAGTGACGTCACTGATGACGTCATCAGCGATGATGATGATGACGGTGCGGATGCCGGTGACGTCATCAGTGATGATGACGATGACGATGCGGATGCCGGTGACGTCATCAGTGACGTCACTGATAACGTCATCAGCGATGATGACGATGACGATGCGGATGCCGGTGACGTCATCAGTGACGTCACTGATGATGTCATCAGCGATGATGACGATGACGATGCGGATGCCGGTGACGTCATCAGTGATGATGACGATGACGATGCGGATGAAGGTGACGTCATCAGTGATGATGACAATGACGATGCGGATGGCGGTGACGTCATCAGTGACGTCACTGATGACGTCATCAGCGATGATGACGATGACGATGCGGATGCCGGTGACGTCATCAGTGATGATGACGATGACGATGCGGATGCCGGTGACGTCATCAGTGATGATGACGATGACGATGCGGATGCCGCTGACGTTATCAATGACGTCACTGATGACGTCATCGGGGGTCACGTGACCCCGGGGGTCACGTGACTTGGGGTGTCACGTGACCTTGGGGGTCACGTGACCCTGGGGAAGGGGTCACGTGACCTTCATGTGACCTTGGGGAGTCACGTGACCCCCGATGACCCTTGGGGAGGGGTCACGCGACCTTAGGATGACCTTGGGGGTCAAGTGACCTTGGGATGACCTTGGTTACGCCGACGGCGACGGCGACGCCGCTCAAGCCGGGAACGGGCCCCTAAGAGCTGCGCTCTAAAATAAGCTACTTAGAAAACCATCATAGCACGCTTTCATGAAAATACTGCTTCAGACAGAGCACCTTCAAAGTTTTCAACGGGCGTGCTAACCGTGGCTTCAGGGAGTCTATTCCATCGATTAATTGTACGGGGAAAGAAGGATGATTTAAAATTGATGTACGGCATGTTATTTCGCGTATCTCTTGGAGTGGTCTAGTTTACGGGATGTAAGGGTAGGTGTATTTAAATATTTATTTTTAGCGATACCAACCCGACTTAAGAACAAACACAAGAGAGTCCCATGGCAGGTTCTTTTTAAATGCCGTAACGCATGCACTAAAATGATGACGGTTCGTGATAAAATGTTAAAATTAAGAATATTCAGCATACCTGCAATATAGCAGGGGTGCGTTCGATGCCGCATTGCATCTAACCAACATAAGCTAGCATATATAGCTTATAACAGAACTCACCAACAGAAGGCTCCGAACAAAGCGACGCGCAATATTATGACTGCCGCAGTAAGTGAAGTATACATAACAATGTTGCACGTCTGCAGCCATTGCCGTGCGCGTAGCTAACAAATAAAAACTCGGTATTCATTCACTACCTTGCTTGTGAGAAATAGCTGCGGGCTTCCGGGTTGATTAGAAAATGAATATAGCAACACCCGAAGTCAAGCATAAAGGTGAAACTCGACGGATCTTTGTTAGCTGCATTCCTATGGCGGTTAATGCTGAGTTCCTCAGTTCACTGTAACGAACACCAAGTAGTGTATTTGTTTATGCTTTCTGAGTGGGTGTCAATAAATAAAAAAACGTCCCAGTGCCCTTACCCGATGTGGCGGTGACCCAGTGTGTTGGCGCACCGCAGCTCGGTGTGCGTAAAGTGTAGATTCGCACTGCGGAACTCGGAAATGCTGGGTTCACCACCCATCCCCGCCCGTCTTTATTTGATGAACTTCGTACCGATCGACGCGTTGTCCTCTCTCACTACTACGTAATCGACGTTGAGGACTCCCGGTTAACAGACATACCGCACAAACTAAATTGCTCGCCTAAAGCATAAACAAGTGTTGTAGTACCTTAAAAGGCATACTGACCTTACGTTTTCTAAACAGAAACGTCAAATGTGGGTTTGTCTTACCTTTGCACGTTATAGATTGGTTCATGTTAGACCATGTTCCATTGGCCAGGCAGACGCGAGTGCCGTCCACAGCCACCTTTGTGTTTGCGTCCACCAGGAGAAACCCCTTAATGCAGGAGTATCTGTTAACATTAACATTTGTTTAACACACCATTAAGTCACAGAAATTCAATATTATGGTTTTATATTTTCCGATAAACTTACTGGCAAATCGACTCGAACGGAGAGCCGTTCTTGCACGATGATGGCCTCAGTTGCAGTTTCTTTCTACTCTTCAGCGGGGGACATGTTACAACTGTAAAGAAAACATGAGTCGCCGATAGTAGTGTTGCTTTTGATTCGCGCCAGACGGATAACCTAAGTTACGTTGGCGTTCAAACACGAGTAGCCGAAGTGTGCGTTGAAGTTGATTTGTCCAAGTAATAATACACGCCTCTGACAAATATACACAAAGTCTTACAAATTTAATATTTACGCACCACCATCGAAGACCTCGTACCAAACATCATCGGAGCTTCTGGTCGTTCGCGTGTTAAGGCAAAGAGTTCTTCAACTATTCTAGGGCTGTCAAGTTGTCAACGATGTAAGAAAAAGGCTTTAATTTACCTTCACATGTTGGCGGCTCCTTGTCCCATTGGCCGTTCATCTGGCAGATCAGACTGGTGCTTCCGTTGATGTTGTATCCCGGATCACACGCGACTTGGCACTCGGTCCCAAAGTCCAGTTGCGAGCTCGTGCAGTTGACGCGTCCGTGAGGCGGTAGATTCACCGGAGGGCATCGCACTTCTGCGAATAACAGGCAACGTACCGAGAAAAAAGGTTCCCAAGAAAATGCAGCCTGAACGTCTCACACAACTGACCACTTTTAAAGCCCCTGCATGTTACAAAAGTAGCACGAGGCACGTGGAACGTGCAGCCCTTGGGAAGATCATGGCGGCACAACGCAGTACTCAGCTAGATTTCAGACGCCATGTTCTTCCCAGAGGTGGCGCGCCATGCGTGTCTCGAGCATTTCCACAACAATGAATGGCGCCACTTTTCCCGGGATAAAGGGACTTTAAAGGCTGGTTCAGACAGTTGCGTTGGACTGCGTTTGACTGCGTTGCGGCAGCGAGAAACCAGGACATCCCTGCTGATTATATCGCGTGCCAAGATGATTCCTTGAATCGGATTCCACGGTTCATACGAAGCACAGATGTGCCGGTGAGTCGCTTTCGGTTCTCGACGCAAACGCACTCAAACGCAAGTGTCTGAACCGGCCTTTAGTATTTTCAGATTAAAGTGACACCAAACGGCGGAAGCTCGAGGCGCGCGGTTGGCGTGCTGCGGGGGAGTTGCGCTACCTATCCTATAGACCCTTCCCGAAATTCAGTGCCATCTGGTGGTTTGTAAAGCAGTTTAGGTTTTGCCATATCAATGGCGGAAATGAACTTGTATCGGCACCGTCACTTTCGCAAGTCAACGGCACGCGAGGAATTGTTCAGTGTGAGTTCTTTCTCGATCACTTTTAGTTCGATGGTGACCAAGAACCTGCATTCAGAACACAGCTCCAACCCACTCAGATGCCTCGAGAAAATTCTACACACCAAAGTGCTTTAAAGGCGATTGTGTGCCGCCCACAGATTGACTGAATCTGAGTTATTAGAAATAAACGCTTACGTAGCTCTCGTAGCTCTTGTGTTCCATTCCTGCGTCGCGTCGTACTGACCCCCGAATGTACAGGCCTCGCAAGATTCGCTTAGGAGCATCTTCAACGTCTTCCTTTATCAGTCACTACAAGGCCGCCATTGGTATGGCACAGATGCCGTTCCACAGATGATGATAGTGATCAAAGTGGCCAGACTGAATTTTGGAAAGGGTCTATTCCGCAACTCATCCAACTCACGATGCGGCAGGAGAGGCGGCAGAGCTTTCCACCCTGGGCGCCAACCGTGGTTCATGTTTTCGCCGCCGCATGAACGGGAACTGCGCATGCGCAGGATGCTTCTTTTTTTTTTTTTTCTTTTTTTTTTTTTTACAAAAAGGTTTATTACGCCATTGGTTCTGTGAGTGTATTATTCGCGGGTAAACTCAGAATGGCTAACGTCCAGTGTATCAAATTGTTGTGCACCCGTTTACTCTTTTCTTTTAAGCGGGGGGGGGGGGGGGGGGGGGGGAGAGAGAGGTAGGGGGAGGGGGGTTATAAATCTAGGTTGAATTAAGTAAATGTACAGCTAGCATCCTTCAAATCGTTCTTATAACAAAATAGATGTGTCAGGAATTGTAATCCCGAAATTCCCAATTAGGACGTACTTGCGCAGGAGAACTCCAGCCCGGACCACTTCTTGTCCGCCTGGCAGACTCGGGGGTTGGCTGATATCTTGTTCCAAGGAACGTCACCCGCAGCGAGCTTAGAGCGGTTGCAGGCGTACGGGCAGTGCCCTTCGTCACACTTGAAGCTGCACGAGGTATTGAAGGTGTTGCCGCACTTTCTGGGAAGGGTGCTGCCTCCGATCGGCGACGATAACTGGGCGCAGAGGATGGCTGCGGTGAAACAAAAAGAACATGGTCGTGATAGGCCAAGTGTAAAACTTGTACTGCCTTTCGTGTCGTTATCTTCGTCCTCACTTGAATATTTAGCGTGGTCATGGGGTGCTATAGTTTCATACAAAAGATTATTCATTAAATACAAAATAAAGTACGCAGAGAATCTTCAATTCATTGTTGGTTTTTCGCGTATCACGGATATTCTCTTGTATCTTGGTAATACAAGCAGTTGTACTCCATGTTTAGCCAGTGTTGTAGGCGTTACCGAAAAAAGTAACGACATATGTTACTCGTTGCTTGCAAATAAAAGGAACGCGTTACAGTTACCGTTAAGAAGTAACGCATGTTACTCTCGCATTACTCTTTAACGTCACAGATATGCAAATACGCCATTTTTCAAGGGACATTATGTCCATCCAGAAACTTAACATAGGTACATTATCTTTTTTTGACGGTTCCACGTAAGTACTCACGAGAAAAATTGCAAAGAAAAACGCAAAGAACAAAAAACTGTCTATAGCTTGGCGCCTAGAAACACGAAAAATGTAAGCTTAATTTTTTAAGTCTTAAGAAAAATATGCAACGAGTTCCGAAACTAGGTTACACGTTAATCTAAATAAGTAACGTAAGTACGCTACCCGTTACAGTTTTCATTGAGTAAACAGTACGTTACACCGTTACTGAAAAAAAGTAACGAATCACCGGTAACGCCGTTACTTGTAACGTGCGTTACCGCCAAACTGGCTCAAACACCTTTCCTCTTCAGTCTCATGTCAGCAAACGATTCTTCTAAACTCATGATCACTGAGAGCTGAAAAAAAAAAAAGCGCCGGGTACGTGTCAAGTCCTCCTGAGCGTCTGGTTGTCATCTGGCAGCCAATGAGATGATAAGAAGGCCGAACGACCAATCACGAACCGAGCAGCGCGAGCATGTCAACGCCTCGTCCCGCGTTTCGCACGCTTTCGGTAACCATACCCCGTTTCAGAATAGAGAGATTTAGAGAACCGTTTTGGCACATCCGATATACGGTCCGATGGGCCATCCAGTATGAACTGCGCATGTGCTGCCGATAAAGACTCTCATATGAGCAGTCCGTACCGGACGGCCCATCGAACGGTATAGGATGTGCTAAAACGGTTCCCTTAATCTTTCTATTTGAGAGTTTACGGTTCCCTAAAACTCTTTATGAACTCTGACCGGAGTCAACGTAAGGATCCGATGGGGCGAATCGAGCAGCACCAAAACTGCATCGTCATTGCCCTCCTCGCTTACGTGCGTTTGCTATATCACCGACTCAACCGATCACGCGCAATGAATGCGGCGTGACCCTGCACTTTTTTTTTTCTGTGTGATTCGTTTAGTCGGTTGGTGATAATCAAATGCACAAAGTAGGCGAGCGCGTGGTGATTTACCCTTGGCGCTACACGTTCAGAAAGAAGTTTGTTATGATCCAAAGTTGCCAAACAAGTACACTCTCAGAAACAAATGAATCAGTCTTACGCCTCTTGTTCCCGTACCATATATACAAGGTGTTTTTTTTTATTCTTACACATTTCTTCAAAAAAAATCGCTACTCGGAGTGAGCACGGGGGCACCGCCAACATGCAAACAACTCATGGAACGCTCTTCTTGTTCGTACAGGTCATGGCAAGCATCTCAGTCTCGGCTTTCGGGCCGATAACAGCCGTGGATGGAGCGGCGCCAACATTTCGTCAAGTACGCGTGGCAAGTTTCTTCAATCACAGTGACGGTGATTCCCTACTTCGTGAAAGTACGTCTATTCTGCTGACAAGTCGCCGTACGAACATTGGCCAATTGTTCGACCTCCCGTCATCGTCAACAGCCGCAACGACATCGCGACCATCATTTAGCGCGGCTATATACGCCTGGCATCACCTCGCTACTCGGAGTGAGCACGGGGGCACCGCCAACATGCAAACAACTCATGGAACGCTCTTCTTGTTCGTACAGGTTGGTACAACCCCTTCACTACACGCAAAGCGATCTAGCGTCGTTTTTTTGCTGGTGTTCCCGTGCTCAAAAGTGCTGCTTGTTACCTTGTATGAGTGTGTTGACGTCATTAGTCTGCTTCTACTAACTTCCGGGGATGTGGAAACTAACCCAGGCCCAATGAGTGACAGCCAGCTAAAACTGTTTAACGAAATGCATGGAATGCTGGTCGATCTTAATACACGATCGGTACAAATTCAAGAATCCCAATCAGGAATCCTATCATCCATCAACGAAATTAAACAAAACCAGGAATCACTGCGTGCTACTGTAGCTGATATGAACTTGAGACTCGTCACAGTGGAATCCAATGCCTTAAATGTAGAGCAGCTTAAAGCCGCGGTAGTCGAGGTGAGAGGTGTTGCTAATAACGCACAAAAGGAAAACCGCGTCTTGCAGGCACGGCTTGACGAGGCGGAAGACCAATCTCGTCGAGATAACTTAATATTTTTTGGGGTTAGCGACACCATATCTGAGACGTGGGCGCAGACTGAAGCACGAATTTTGAGTATTTTTCAAACATCACTCAATGTACAAATCACGGGTGACTCGATAGTTCGTGCTCATCGGCTAGGAAACTTTACACAAAACAAATGCCGACCAATCATTGTAAAGTTTGCGTCATTCAAACTAAGAGATCAAATACTACTCGCTAGAACTGGATTAAAAGCACTCCGTATCTCAGTCAGCGAGGATTTCTCGCTCGCCACACGTAATGCCAGAAAGCAGTTAATTGAATTTGGTAAAGCAAACGGAGGTGTATTTAAACTACGCTACAACAAATTGCATATTAATAACAAGTGTTACGCGATCGATCAAACAACTAAAGAAATTTATGAGCTAGGTCCTTCTCGACTGTCTGCAGCCCCCAACGCGCAGCCAACCGCCCCTCAATCACCGTCATCATTTGCTCGGAGTTCTAATCAGGCGCCCTCGCCGATATAGGATCTGTCGAGGGGTAGGGCATGCGTGTTACGGTCTTCGGATATTTCTGTTGTTTTCACCAACATAAGAAGTGTCCTGAAAAAACGCGACGAATTGTGTTCCATTGTAGATACCACCGATGCTGATGTCATTGTACTAACCGAAACGTGGCTTTCCGGGAAAATACAAAACTGTGAACTGTTCGATGGAAACAAAACGTTCAATGTTTACAGACATGATAGACAGGAAAGATGTGGCGGTGGAGTGTTAATTGCAATCGCTGATCATATCAAATCCTTTTCTGTGGACGTTATATGCGAGTTGGAAATAACGTGGGTTGGCCTGCTTGTTAACCATAAGAAGTGGATTATGGGAGTTTGTTATCGGCCACCCTCGTATTCGTTGCCATTTGTCGAAGCGTTACATAATACACTTAACACCATTATGGTGCGTTTTCCGGGTGCTCCAATTTTTCTTCTCGGCGACTTCAATTTCCCATCTATATCATGGTCAAACGACGTTCCTTGTGTAAATGTACATTCTGAGGAATGTATTTCGTTTATTAACCTATGTCTAGATTTTAGCCTTTCACAACTTGTTCTCCATCCCACCAGAGTTACCCAGTCGACAGCCAATGTATTAGACCTCATTTTGACCAATCATCCTGAGTATGCAACTCCCATAACATATCTGCCCGAGATTAGTGATCACAAAGTGCTGCATTTTTCTCTAAAAGCGTCGGCAACGAGACCCACTTTTCAGCCAAAACAAATTCGTGATTACGGAAAGGCCAACTTTGAGCAAATTAATAATGACCTTGCCATTTTCTTGAACCAGTATCTAACAACTTCTTCGGGGCGTTCTGTCGAAGATAACTGGAATATCATAAAGTTGAAATTCATCTCTCTTATCAACAAGCATGTCCCACTAAGAAATATATTCGAAAATACCCAGTCACCATGGTTTACGAAAGCCCTAAAACGGTTATCAAATAAAAAAAAACGCTTATATCGTGCTGCGAAGTTTTCAACGTGTGGGCATCGCTGGGCTGCGTATCAGTTGTCTGCAGAAGTATATAAAAAGGCGATTGCAGATGCGAAATCAATTTTTTTTTTTCAAATAATCTCTCCCAAATATGTTAATAAATGACCCCAAAAGGTTTTGGAACACTGTCAGCAAGAAAGACACTTTTTCAATTTTACTCAAAACGTCAAGTAGTGATAGTGCCTCTAGTGATGACTGCGCTAATATACTAAATAATGTGTTTATTGAATCATTTTCCAATATTAGTAACATAAGCTACCCTTCAATTGTGTGTGCCGGTTATTTACCAATGGATGCTATTCTTGTTGACCCTATTGGTATAGTTAAGATTATAGATGGGCTGAAATTGTCTTCTTCTTCAGGAGTGGACGGCATTAATTCAAAATTTCTTAAAAGCACCAAGTTATATTCTTCAATTATTCTTGCTAAATTATTCGAACAGTCACTCCAAGAGGGTGACCTACCCTCGGACTGAAAGGTGGGGAAGGTGGTCCCTATTCCAAAAGCTGGTGACAAACATTCTCCTCATAACTATCGTCCCATTTCGTTAACCAGCATCCCATGTAAACTTCTCGAGCACATCATATTTTCCCATCTTGTAAACTTCCTAGAAATGAATAATTTTTTCACCACAGCTCAGCACGGATTTCGTAAATCATTGTCATGTGAAACTCAGCTTCTATCTTTCACTCACGACATTCATTCTCTCATTGACCAAGGCTCCCAGGTGGACTGCATCTTCTTGGATTTTGCAAAAGCTTTTGATAAAGTGTGTCATAAATTATTACTATTGAAACTTGCTAAACTTAACATTGACCCTAACGTTCTTGCATGGATTCATTCTTTTCTTACTAATCGTTCGCAATTTGTAACAGTCAATAATGAAAACTCTCCACTTGCGTCAGTAAACTCTGGTGTTCCCCAGGGGTCTGTTCTAGGCCCCTTACTATTCTTAATTTATATTAACGACCTACCAGTTAATATGTCATCATCCGTCTGTCTCTATGCCGATGATTGCGTAATATACCGTGAAATCCGAAGTAACCAAGACACGCTCACACTTCAGTCTGATATTAACTCTGTGTCTCGTTGGTGTGAGTTGTGGCTAATGAAACTAAACACTAGTAAATGTAAACACATGAGAGTAACCCGTCAGTTTAGTGAGAGTCCTTCTTACTACCTTGATGGCAACTCCTTGGAACAAGTGTCGTCATACAAGTATCTTGGTGTTAACTTAACTTCTAACCTTTCATGGAAACCCCATATAGAATATGTCACTAATCGTACTAACTGCATGCTGGGTTATTTAAAACGGAATTTTTCTTTAGCACCTGTTTCACCTAAATTGGTCCTCTATAAAACATTAATAAGACCTAAGCTTGAGTATGCAGCATCCATCTGGGATCCCGATCATATTACCCTCATCACTGCTTTAGAATCCATTCAAAATAGATCAGCTCGTTTCATTCTATCGAACTATCACCGCACCGCCAGTGTCTCGTCAATGAAGAATAATTTATCTTTACCATCTCTTTCACTTCGCCGTAAAATTTCACGCTTATGCCTTTTTCATAAAATTTATTTTCATAATCCCCTATTACGCGACCATTTCATAACTCCCCCCTATTACATCTCGCCTCGTGTAGATCACCAGCACAAAGTTGGAGTCCCAAGCTCATTAACCAACACATTTGATTCATCTTTTCTACCACGCACAGCTCAAGAATGGAACCACCTTCCCGGTTTAATTGCTGCCATAACAGACTCTAATCTTTTTCGAAGTGCCATAAATAACCATTTTTGCGCTGATTTCTGACCTGTTTGTTCACTTTTTATTTGTTTTAGTATTGCTGAATTGTTATATTTTTTCCCTGCCTACGCTCTCCCCCTCTGTAATGCCTTCGGGCCCTGAGGGTACAATAAATAAATAAATAAATAAATGCGGTTTGTGCAGGTGGGTTATACGGCCAGGCGGACATTATGTGGGTGGCTAATCTTTGCGATAAATCGGCTAATTAATTAACATTCGGTAATTAACTGTTTAATTAGTGAAAATAAACATATGGTTTCAATTAGAAAATTGCTGAGCATCATCGAAAACCCCTAAATCAACTATTTTTAGCAGGATATAACGCCAGGGCAGCATTTTACGGCGTTCTGTAAAAACGCTCTATTTGGACGCATTTCTAGATTTCGGTTTCTTGTCGGAGCGCATCTACGCGCCCGCGATCCTGCTCCCCGGTGGTCGCGACGCGAAGCCACCCCCTCGCCTCCCTCGTAGAATGGAGGGAAGTACGGCGCACGTGTGTTGCGCGTCTCAGCCACTGGGGAGCAGGACCGCGTGCGCGGTGATGCGCTCTGATAAGAAACCGAAATCTAGAAGCGCGTTTAAATGGAGCGTTTTTACACAACGCTGTAAAATGCTTCCCCGGCGTTATATCCTTCCAAAAATAGTTGATTTAGTGGTTTTCGATGATGCTCTACAAGTTTCTAATTGAAATCATATGTCTATTTCCACTAATTAAAAAAGTTAATTAACAAATTTTAAATAATTAGCCGACTTATGGCAATGATTAGCCACCCACATAATGTCCCCCTGGCCGTATAACCCACCTGCACAAACCGCATTAGTGTAGCTTTCACGGGTTTTTTTAAACAAATGTGTAAGAATAAAAAAAAACACCCTGTATATATATATATATATATATATATTACTGAAATTCTGGAGTGTATCATATAGGACAATGGGGTCTAAAACTATATAGTCTTACACCCCTTGTCCCATATAATACACTGCAACACTCCAAAGTTGGCAACCAAGTATACTAAGAAAAAAACGGACTGGTCTTACGCCCCTTGTCCCATATAATATATATATATATATATATATATATATATATATATATATATATATATATATATATATATATATATATATATAACTGAAGTTTTGGAGTGTATTATATGGGACAAGGGGTTAAGATTATATGGGCTTCCACCCTTTGTCCCACATAATGCACTGAAAAACTTCAGGTATATATACATATATATTATACGGGACAGGGGGCGCAAGACTAGTCCATTTTTTTTCCTTAGGGTGTATTTGGCTGGCAATTTTGGATCGTAACGTTGGCTGCGGTGGAACTTGAGGATCGGATATAACATTACATCCCAAAGTGTTCAAAGCTAATCGTGAATGTCAGGAATCTTTCTCTGCCACGTGACCCTGGGCACATGCGTGCTGCAAATATCCCGTGACGTTTTGAGGCGTCGACTCACGCGTGCAGGGTAGGTTATTCGCCGGCGACCCCTCGTATCCGGCCAGGCAGGAACACTGGCTGACGCTTCTGGCGCCTTCGTCCTTCGTGGTCGAATTTCCGGGGCAGGGTAGACAGGCTTCATTCCCCGCAGCTCCTCGGTACGTACCTCGAGGGCAGGCTGGAATGAGTGTGCACATTGAGAATTCTGATACGTGCATTATACAGTGTGTTTGATCTTAATTGGAACGAATTTGTTAATTAAAGAAAAATTAAGTTGTGAAAGATACGGTAATGCGGTTTGCGCAGGTGAGGTATATGGCCCGGGAGACATAATGTAGGACGCTAGTCATCAGGATAGGTCGGTTAATGAACGGAAGGTCGTTCATTGTCTTTTTTATTTAGTGACAATCAACGTATGATTGCAGTTAGGTTAGACACTTGCAGAGCGTCATCAGAAACCGCTTAATTAGCCAATTTTAGAAAGGCTCGTAGCACGTGGAAAGGGTGTGTGTTATAGTTACCAATCGTTCAACAGGCACAAGGCTGGCATTGCAAGAACGCGGTTGATAGTCTTGATATTCCCATTTTGGTACCGCCAGCCTCGCACCTGTTACACGAAGGGTAACTTTAAGGTCAAACGATGTATTGGTCAGGAAATGGGCCTAAACGATGCGCACTGTCCAGATTTTTTCACCCAGAGCTTGGTGTTTAGACAACCTAAAGCCTGTGGACGGGTTTCTTGACGCCATCTTCCTAAATCGGGCACGGAGCAAAACCTTGACACGACGGCTGTGTTGGCACTTGGCTGGAACGCGCGTTTTGTCGGTGCTTCAAGTATAAAAATACAGCCCCAGTGGAACGCTAGCGCAGCCCGGGACATGGTCAGGCGCTCGATGTCCAAATCGCAACTTAATACTTTGTGTTTGTGGTCCCTTTCTGTCTATTCCTCAACTTAACCATTAATGACGTAGTTGTTGGACATCCTTTCAAGTTTCCAATATTATGGGGCCCGGAACTCGTTAGCTACTGTTGTTTTAACCACGTCTTAAGAAGTGGTGCCTCGATTTTTGACCGATGACGTCATAGAGCTGTCATGTTGGCACTCGCTGGGATCCTGGAGTGCCGTAGCAGGGGTGGTGTATGAGGCACACGCCTGTTCTGTTGCACGTCGCTCTAATGCTTCACACTTCACGAAACCTTCTGCAGCCAGGAGTTCGAACTGGGGACGACAACCGCGACATTCGCGTTCTCTGGTACTTTTTCGCCGGGACCACCACCACCAACTCCTAGGATCGGGACAATCGACAACACGACACGCCGGTTTTTATGACGTCATTTGGTGCCACTTCGGAACCAGTCTTGATGTACGGACGGGACAGGATCGCTGATCACAGGAGCCCGAGACACGTTTCCGGCACCGCATAGACCTTTGCAAGAAGAGCTCTCTGGCCCCCGCCATTTTGCGACTCGAGCGACCCCTATCAGCCAGACATTTCTGCCACCCGCCTGAGCTGTGGAAACCCGGTCAGCGCGACTCCCCACCTGCATTGTGTATCCGGAGTTTGACGGCTTCTTTGAAAGCTTTCCTTTATTGGCCTGTTCAGGATGCTCACCCTTTTTGTGTTCTCTCTTACTGAGAATTTGTTCTGTCGCGCACGGACTCGCCAAAAATAGCTTTGTTTGTTTGTTTTCCGTTCCAAAAATAGAACAATGTTTCCTTAAAAGCCCCAAGAAATTTTATCCGCCATAAAACACAAAAGAAAAAATAGAAGGCGGCAATTTAGACGCCGCCAGTGTCCGGGATTGTGCGTACGCAGGCTGCCACAGGCCACTGACGAGAAAACCCACGGCCCTGCGCAGTTGGGCAACACTGACGTACACTTTCAAAACCAGGGACGCGCGCTGTAAATCGTTTCGTTCGAGAGTGCCACTGGAAAGGTCCAAACCTTTAGTTTGCGTCTTCGAGCTCACCGAATGGCCGGGGGCCGACTGTACTTACGCCGGCACTGGCCCGGAGTGCCTGCCTCCTGGTATCCGGGGTTGCAGACCCACTGGTAGGTCCCGCCACGAGCACCGCACGCGCAGATGGCGTTGGCGTCGGACTGTTTCCCGCAGACACTCGACGACGTTGCCTCGTCCCACTGTTTCTCTACAATATCTGCAAGCGTGATGAAACAGCGTTTCGTAAGTGAGATAACTTGCAGCGTGGCTTTATATAGAAGAAACGGTTATTATAAACACTCCCAGCCTCAAAAACAAAACCAAAAAACACAGGACCGTTACGAGTCTCAAATACCTTACTATCTCCACGTAGCCAATGAGATTGTAGCATTCGTCGATGATAACTCTTAAAAGCGAATCACGAAGGAAGATACAAAAATGTAATAGACTACGCTCTCTATTTCTTAAATCGGCAGTAAATATAACAGCGGGTGAGTGAGTGAAAACGTGTATTTATGTTCATCAAAGGATTTCCTGCCTTGGCCGATTTTTTTCTGAAGGACGAACGGTAGGGATAAGGGACTACAGGGGTTCGAGAAGGTGATGATCTCAAGACTAGATCAGGTGATGGGTCCCCGATCTTTTTATGTAACCCATTAGTGAGTCGAGGATGGATTTCCCGTGTTTTGGCGAACCCTTGGGTCGTACCCTACGTCTCTTAAGCCCTGGGTTTTAAAACGAGGCCGGCTTTACAGGCGACACCTTGCAGAGATTTCGAGCTCGTGGGTTGTCGCAGCTATCGAAAAACCCTTCTTCTTTCCCTCTTGGCGCGAGGAGAGGGAAGTCGGGTTTTCCCTCTCCTACGAATTCTACGAACAGAGAGATCTTCCCGTCTGCTTCAAACACTTGTTTTGAAACATTACTCGCGTTACACCAAATCCACCTTTGGCGATATCCAGTTGTTACGCGGAATGTTGGATGGTTTTAGAAACTTCCACCGCGATTACCCACTTTCTTCACGGATCACCGATCACTCGTGGCGGTCGTCAGTGGCATCCCCGACGCCAACCACGACGGCTATAAGAATGAGGCACGTCACACCGAGCAGTTAGCGCATCGGGGGTGGGAGGGAACGGTCTAGATATGATGTGAGGGGTAGGGAGGCTGCATGTCTGGGCTTGCCGGACAAGACAGGCGACTTGGCGCGGGAGAAGTTTGGAAGGGGAGGGGGGGTAGGGGAGGACTCATCCAGGAGGAGCTCTTGGAGGGTTCTACGGCGACTAGCTCGTTCCTGGCGGGCTGTGGTCCGGGGTGGTAGTGGTTAGGCTAGGGAGTGCGCAGGCCGCCCGGGGGGATCGCAGCACGGGAGAGTTGATCAGCCGAATGGTTGCCCGGCATTCCGGCGTGGTCTGGAAACAAATCCAGCGTATATGTGGTGGGGAGGGGGGGGAGAGAGGCGTAGGTCCAGGTGGACAGAGAGTGTGTGGAAAATGTGCGAAGGAAGCGCGTGGTTAATGAAGGCACGAAGATAATCCTGACTGTCGGTGAGGATGATGTGATAGCCGGGAGAGGAGTGACAGAGAATGGCGGAGGCTAAGGCTTGGGTTTCGAAAGAGAGGGTGGTGGGGATCTGGGTAAAGTGAGCGAGGAGAGGGGAACGACAGTCACCGCGCCTTTTAGAGTTCCATCAAAGACGGAAACACCTGCATATGCGATGTGTGTGGGGTCGGGGTAGTGATAGAGAAAGTACGCAGATGCAAGCCTTCCGACGACCAGCATCGTTCACTGGGGGGGCATGTTGCGGAGTAGAGCAGGGATGTGGTGCTTGGCAAAGGAGACCACGGTGTTGTGGTAGATGTCGCTATCATTAGGTTGTCTAATTGCGAGAGAGTAATGAGGTAAACGCAGTTACTCGTTGGTTCCACCCGGACCAGGCGCGTGTGTGTGTTAGTTCCTCTCTGACCTTGACGGTCGCCGGTCTCTACATGGTGTCTGAAGTGAGCCGCTAGCGCTTTTTCTCTTTTCAAGCTCCAGCGCCAACCTCGGAGGAGACCTCCATGGCCGAAGGGGAGTGCGCTGCCGCCGGTCCGGGAGCGTTGCCAGTCGGTGCGCTCAATCTACGAGCACCGCCCCAGTTCGGCACTGTACGCCGCCAGTGACAAAGTGCGTGTTCGGACCCTACTATACTCCATGGGGCCGCAAGCGCGGGACATCCTGCCTTCGCTACACGTCGGCGACTCAGACTTCGACAACTAGGGTCTGATTGCTGAGAAGTTCAACGCGTACTTTGTTCACCCAGTCAATGAGCTCTACAAGAGCGCACGCTTCCCCAAACGGTTGCAGCAAGCGAGTGAGTTAGCTGACTCCTTTTTTACGACGCTCAGCAACATGGCAAAACAATGTAACTACCCATCGCGAGAAGTAGAGGAGTGGCTAAGTCGGCGACAGTTTTGTGGTGGGCTTGCGAGACACAAAGCTGTCGGAAAGACTGTGTCGAAACACGAAGCTTACGTTAGACGAAGCGCTCATTCAACTTTACCAATACGCGGACGCGGAGAGGGAACGGAAGCTGGGGGACTCGTCAGTGTCCACAACCATGGCAGCTTCAGCAGAAGCAAAAGCGTAAAACATTGACGCTGCGAAAGTTGTGAAGAACTGCCTGCCAAGGCCGAAGCAAGCAAGCGGCAACGCAGCGAGTGCATGTTCATGTGGCTTTTGCGGACGTTCTCCACATCCGCGCTCAAAGTGCCCTGCTAACCGTGCGCAATGCAAGAAGTGCCACAAGAAGAGCCATTTCGCAGCTGTCTGCTGCGCCAAGAACAAGTTTGCTTCGCTGGAGCTTGGTGCCGTCCGTTCTCCGTCCAAGGCATGGGCGAAGTTTGTACACGTGAAGGTCAACGAGGTACAGCTGAGCTTCGAGGTTGACAGCGGCGCGGAGGTCACCGCCGTCCCCAGCATGTTTTCGGTGATACCAGCTCGCCTGGAGCCCCCAGAGGGGGAGTTGACAGGACCCGCCGGTCAACCGTCGGACGTGCTAGGAACGTTCTTCGCGGCCTTGGAATGGAAAACCAAGCGCGTCAAGCGGAAGCTCTACGTGGTACGTTCGCAAATTGTTCCCTTGTTGGGATTTGCGGCAATTCAAGCGTTGGGCGTGGTCAAGTTTGTAGATAACCTTTCAGAGTATTCTACCGAGAGCGATCCTAGTGAGCTCGACGGGACTTTGTCGACGCAGCTCTTTCAGGGTCTCCGCGAACTTCAGGAGCAGTACACAATTTGTATTCAGCCGAACGCGGTACCGTACTCGCTGTACGTTCCGCGAAGGGTCGACCCATCCCGCTACGCGATGTCGTGAAATCTGAACTAGACGAGATGGAGGCCCAAGGCTACGTAGGGTAGGATATACATAAGTCGGGAATCGACGTATGTCATGTTTTTTTAAGGCTCTGGCGCCGGCGGGTCATGCGGCCGATAATTCGCGTGAGTTCTGTAAGCTGCCGCTTGCAAGTGTGCATCCAGTCGGTAGCTTCGTCATCCTCCGTGAGGTAGAAGCCGAGGTCTCTCATGGTTCGTTGACAAGAAAGGGGACCGTCGTGTAGGGTTAGTTGAACGAGCTCCCGCTCAGCTTGAGTGCGGGCCCGGTGTGGGTGGTCAGTGACTACAACAAATTTAGATTTTGTGGGAGAAAGGGTTAACCCTACTTGGTGGGGCTAACCCTTTCTAAGTCCAGAGTGTTATGTCGTTTGCGTAGAGACCAAAGAAAAGAGAAGGCACTCTCTCGAGAAGAAGAGGAAGAGGCCACAGCGAGGTAGAAGAGGAGGGGGGAAAGAACAGAGCCCTGGCGGACTCCGTGAGATGGTGTCCAGCATAGGTTGACCATAGTCCATAGGTAGGTAGCTGTATAGCGTGGCGGAAGGTAATGAGAAACTTGTTGATATAATTGTAGCTTGTAGCTTGTAGCGTTGGAGCTGTTCGAGGATGGCTGAGTGATGGACGGTATCAAAAGCTTTTTAGAAGTCGAGACCAACAACGCAGTGCAGTTGATGGATGCTGGAGTATTGATAAACCTCCTGGAGAATGCGGAGCGTCGTGCCTTGTGTGAATACCTGCGTCCTAAATCCCCTCAGTGTCCAGTGAATTAAGGGACTCAGGTTTGTTGAGAAGCCATGCGACGCAAGCCAGGGCCCTTCTCTCCATCAGTTGACCAACGCAAGACGTGAGGGAGATGGGTCGGATGATGTCTAGGTAGGTTTTTTTTACCGGGTTTCGGGATAGGAACAATCAGGAAGTTTTCTACTTTTCGAGAAGAATCTCCGTATGTCATACTTCATTTATGCAGGCGGGTGCGAGGGAAATTGCGGAGTTGAGTGTACGCGATGTCATCGGGGTCAGGGGTTGTACGCTGTCAGGACTAAGAAAGGAATGTGCGGAGCTCGGCTATGCTCAAGCCCGCATCAATGGGAAAGGCAGTGGGTTAACTTTTGGGGTGGTCGGGTGCCGGTGCGGGAAATTTCGGGCTAAAGAATTTGGTGAAGCTCCGTAGTGAGGGCGAGGTCTGAAAAGCCTGCAGATAGTTGTAACTGGGAAATGTGTGCGTTGACAGGCGCCTGCCGGACATCGCCCGGAGTATCTGCCATACCCTGGCGGTGTGCAGCTGATCGCTAATTGATTCGCAGAGCTGGAGCCAGGTGCTGGTCTTCAACTCTTGTGCGTAGTCCAAAGCCTCTTCTGCCAGAGCGCCCGGTTTAGATTTTAGCAGGTGGTTCTTTTTGTTTCGCTTCCACCTTTCGAGGAGGGCGTGGCGTTCACCCCAAAGGTGGAGTAGGTGTGAATCAATCCGGGGATTCCTCAGCTGTGGTTTGGTGTTCTCTCGTTTTGAGGGAGGTTCGAAGCATGTTACTTTGCCATTCGGCGTAATTTTGAGGGCCCAGGGAGTCGAGAAGGCTACGGAATAGGTTCCAGTCCGTCAGGTGGGCTTTACTTGAGTTTTTAGTAGGGCCGGGTGGAAGTGGAAGGTTGTAGGTGACAATGATGTGGTTGCTACCGAACGAGAGGGCAGAGGTGTCCCAGGGGCCACCTGGCAGTCGAAGGGTCTGTGTAAGGCCGGGAATGATGTCGCGCCGAACACTATTGCCCTGAAGTGTGACTGATGGGAGGTCGCTACATAGGGTAACGCCGAAGTTTTGGGTGTAGGAGGAAATGATACTGTCTGAGTGTGGTGGTGTATATGCAAAGCCATTCGTAATGAGGAGCCTTGAAACCTCTTCCAGGCGACGAGGGAGGTGGGGTGCTGCTTAAAGTGGGGTGTGAGCCATTCGAGGGATGGGTTCCAGTAAGTATAGCGTATTAAAATGGGGCTAGAGCAGTGAGGAAGCTGGGTAAGAACGCATACGTGGTCTGTGTTCGTCGTGTGATATGGATTGGTGTCGAGCTGGACGCGAACAGGGATTTGAGAACGTAGGTGACGGTATAGATAGGGAGATAGGGGCATGCTTTAGACGTTTGGGAAGCATGCTTGGCGAAGTGTAAGAAGCGCAGCCGCAACTATTGTAAAGGCCAAGCGTCTCCTGCAAGACCATGATAGCAGGAGGATCAATAAGAATTTTGGGGTAAAGACGGAAAGCTGCAGCATTTCGGCGAAGCCCGCGGCCATTTTATTGAAGAGTGTCATTGGAGGCCATGATGAAAGGTGTGGTGGAGGTGTTAATGTCGCTAGTGGCGCCACTTTGGGACACGCGGTAACACACGGTTGGTGCTATTACGTGTTACGTGGTCACGTGACGTCGCAGTGTTGGATGACCATATAACTTTATGTCAGTGTCACGTAGGCAACTTTACGTTAGGATGAAGAGTGACCACGTAGATTGACGTCACAATGTCGCGTCTTCACCTAACTTGACGTCAAAGTGTGACCCAGACGTTACAGTGGGACCTGAATCTAGACAGTTTTAGTGTATCTTTTCAATGACCCCGATAACGATTCCCGATACACCGGTAACGTTACCCTATACTCCAATAATGATACCGTTGTCGGGTGTCGTTATCGGGGTTACCGAACGTATCGGAACAATTTACTAAAACTCTATATTCTAACGCCTGGAAGCGTCACGTGACGTCATGGTGCCAGGCGACACCGCGATGTAAGTCAGGTTACGTGATCGCCCACGGGGTTTGTGCCACGTGACCACAGTCTGCTAAACTTAGCGGGAAAGTATCATGTGGAACGCTATTGGCGACGTGAGCGATCGAAAGCGTCGCTCACGCCGCCAATAGCGTTCCACGATAGTGATCGGTCTTCCATGATAGGCCCAATACTGACTATGACGTCAGCAAAGGATTTCCCATCGATGGAATAAGAGGAATATGAGAACTTCAATTTTGAAGGTGTTGGCAGTGTTGGTTTGAGAGTGCTATGATTTCAAGCTTCCACCATGCCCTTTACAAACACCTTCAAACTTGTTGTTCACAAGGTAATGACGTCACGAAATGTAACCATAGGAGGGCGCCACCAAGACATCTCGCCGCCAATAGCAGCCCCTCAAATAGGCATCCTGTGTAATTTAGACTTCAAAAGTAAAAAAAAAAAGAAATCATTACGTATTAGTTTTTTTTTTCTTCTTTTTTTTGCATATTAAGGAAGGGTAAAAGAGATGGTGCTTTGAGCTACTTGCCTTTGCGCAGATCCTTGTTGACTTTTTTTATGTATTCAAAGTTTCGAAGCATGTACGTGTGAGCTGGGCTTGAAGCCACATCCAGCAGTTCATCTTTGTTGATATGGGCGACTCCCACACCGAATATGACGATTCCCTTCACTCTAAGTAACCGTGCAATCTCAGAAGGCTCTGATCCGCTGTTGGCTTGTCCGTCCGATATCAAAACCACAATTCTGAAGAAAAGAAAACAAGAAAAACAAGAGCAGTGCAGTAATCTCTTAAGTTTAATGTCAAATACTAGCCAGAAGCGTGAAACTGACAATGACTATAATGCCAGAATATACATAGTGCATAATTTTAGAGCGCAGCTCTTAGGTGCCCGTTCCCAACTTGAGCGGCGTCGTTGTCGGCGTAACCGCGCGGTGCATTGTCGGATATTTCCCATAATGCACCGCGCGGGGAGGAGCGGAAGGAGGACGAGGGGGAGGGGAGGAGGAGGAAGGGCAGGGGAGAAGGGGAGAAGGAAGAGGAGGAGGGGAGGAGGGAGCAGGAAGGGGGGAGGAGAGGAGGGAGGGGAGGAGGGAGGAGGAGGAGAGAGCTTCAAGAATGAGGGGAGGGGGAAGGAAGAGGAGGGAGGAGAAGTAGCAGATAGGATGAGGAGGTGGAGGAGGGGTATACCCTCCCCTTAGTACCCTTCCCCCCTCCTCCTCAAGAGCTGCGCTCTAATTCGGCGTTACAGTGTTGTAAACGGCTTTCATTTTTCATTCAAAAATAGTTTTTTTTTTTTAATAATGAGTGAGTTAGGCGAGTATGTCTTAAACATATATTTATAAAGCTTGGCACACATTAGATGATGGGACAACCCTAACGGTAACTTGGCTAATTAACTAAAATGGCTTAATTACATTTTTAATTATTCGTTTAGGGGTCATGTTGGAAATGCCGTATTTACGGCAATTCCACTAAGGGGCCAGACCAGTTTAAAAAAATATGCTGAAAGGTAATGCCTTTTTTTTCGATATTAGTCAAAGAAATGTTTTTCTCCCGTTTAAAACATTTTGTTTAAACAGATCGACTGCCTCCTCGGTAGCTCAGAGTCAAATCGCCGGCCTACGGATCCCCTAGGAGGCGGGTTTGAATCCCGGTCGAGGTGCCCGTAATTTGACGGAGGCTTATTGCAGAGAAAGCGCCATGTTACCGAGCTTTCGGTCGTAGGTCAGAAGATCCCTAAGTGGTCGATATTTATCCTCAGACCTCCGCTGGGGTGTGCCATACACGTCGTTGGTTTGGGAACCTAAAACCCCGAAATTAAATTAAAACAGAGCGTCGCAAAGCCCAACCCACAATGACCTCTGGAAGAGTGGCGTCGTCGTTTCAATAATCTCCTTATCTCGGCAGCGTGTCTTTTGTGGGTGCGCCGACAACACACATGAGAACGTGACCTAAACAATTACGTCACTCTTCTAATCGTCATTGTGAACAGGGCTTGATGCGCTCCTTTTGCTCGCAGTCGGACGAAAAAACGCGAAAATAGATCTATAAATATCTAAAAAAAAAAAGCAGTATGCTTTTTTTTAAATTTTCTTCTAAAATTTATTTAGCCTCTAATAATAATTGCCGTCAAGGATGCAATTTCGAAGTGACCCATAAAACCACTCCTCAAAACGTTAAGTGAGAAATATTATTTAATTTGTCAACTTTCCATGACGGTTTTCCCCTCCTGTAATGTCCGACGAGCCTGAACATGGTGAAGACAAAACCCGTCTAACTCTCGTTTCCTTTTTTTGTAATCTGTTCAAATTAAAATTAAACGAACATAATAATATTCACGTAGTTATTGATTCATCTTAAAACGACTTCCGCGTCTTTCTTGGGTGTGACTCACCTGTTCGCTTCTTGCCTGGCGTTCCAGAGGATCTCACCTGCATACCCCAACGCTTCATGGGTCCTTGTGCCTCCAGACCTATAGGGAATCTTGTTCACCTCGTGCACAAACTTGCACATGTTTGTGTCGCCGCTGCTTCCCACTTGGTCGATGTGAACCAAGTTGTCGTTGGAGAAGGTCATCACTGTTAGCCTTGAGTACTCGGGCGATACCACCAACAGCCGAGCCACCATCTCGGTAAAGGCTAGTTCCGCAGGGAAGACGTTCGCACCGATGCTACCGGACTCGTCCAGCACGAAGACGATGTCGTTTTTCGTGGTCGAATAGCGCTCAATCGTGCTCACGAACAGCTGCAGGTCGGCATCGAGCACCAGGGATCTTGCGGGACTCGTTGTCAGACTCAGCAAGAGCGCGACGGCTAGGGCCACCGACCGCATCTTGGGGACACTGGAAGAGCTCTGGCTCGACGCTCGGTGATACGTGGGGTAAGCTTTTTTTAAACTTGAGACGTTCCTCGTTGGAGGGGTTCGAGATTAGGCGGCGGGGGAGGTCGGTGGACGTGTTACTCTTTAGGGTGCAATCCGGGCCAGACGGTTCCTCGTCGACGAATTGCGTTATTAACGTATGCGTCAAGTTGAGAGGTGGAAGCGGCCACTAATCTTTCACGTCATTTTACTTTTATTTATTTATTTTTTATTTATTTGAAACATGAGTTTCACGCATGACGAATTCCCCGTGGTTCTTGTTTATTTTATACTTTTTCGTTTCACTTGGTTTTAGTGAAATAACTTTTTCCTTGGAAAACTCTGTAACGGCCATAGTTAAAGATATCATACAAATACAGCATAAAAAAAGGGAACCCATGCCGGGAAATTTCCGGGATTTTGACATGAATTACTCAGTCTATTTTCATATTTCCCAACGTACAAAACACAATTTATATGTAAACATTCGGTTATTAAAACCCTCAACTTGATCCGATAAATTTACTGAATATCTGCTTTTGCTTCTGGTATAGCACTTATGAGTAAAGCCTCCCCTGCTGCTTTTCTACGTGATTTGAGCTTTCAATTCCAATTATTTCTGAGAAGATTGGAGCTTTTCCTTTGCCCCGCGACGAGGCACCATAATCTTAAGTGTTCAACTTAGGCTATTGTTTTTGAAAGACTCATTCTTAGTGTCAACGAGCGGCCCGTGCTTCCTAAAAGCTCCATGGAAACGGCGGGGCGTCCTTTTCGAACGCCCAGCCTCCAGCACGCGCTCGATGCCCCTCTGCCGAGCTTTGACTGGGCGCGCACGTTCGAGGTTCCCGAGACCGCGAAGCATCATCGAAGGCAGGGTGCGCGCCCTGGAGTCAGGACAACCGAAACTCCTCCCAGCCGTTCTCAACTTGGGAGTGACCGCAGTGTGAAAAATCACTGCTCTTCCTCGTGCAAGATATGTCCGCTTTAGCAGCATTCACACTTGCGTGATAAAAGCTGGTAGAGCTTCAGTGAAAATACGCGGACGTCAGAGTGGCCCACTTCAATGTTAAGCTTCCGGACAACTGGCGGTCAAAGCGACCCATAGTCGCCCTGCGAGAAAGAGGGCTATAATCGGAGCTTAAGAAATCCAGGAAATCTAGGACACGTTGGGCCTTGAGCATCCTATTACAGCTCCGCAGCCAATCAGAAAGCGGCATCAGGCCGATGAGAACGCGGAACAAGAATAAGTCAAAAAGCAAGAAACGTTTACGTAATAAGTTTGGTCATATTCCCTAAAGGAAGAGCTCGGCAAGCCTTTCTGATGGAACGACACCGTAGAACTTCGCCTCAAGATGTAAAACAAAAAAAGAAGAAAAATCTTTATGTCCGCTGTTTTGCAAACGGAATGTCGCCAAAGAGGCGGTGCCGTGTTCTATCAGCAAGGGTTCCTCGAAGGGTCGTTTAGAAAACCAGACCCAAATCCGAGGAGTCTGGGCGCGGAGACGGAACTGAAACCAAGCAAACACAAGCCGAAACTCGGATTGCAGACTCGTTCGCTTGATAATGGGTGTCAGATGGCAACGTCCGCGCTGAGGCGCTCCGTCTAAAGATACAACGCCGCGCTCTCATTGAGGGCCCGAAGCGCTGTCACATTACAGCTATCCCGAAGAAAACTTTGCTTGAGTAGTGAGAAATTATCCCTACGTCGGCTCTGTACGTTGCGCTAGAAAACGCCGACTTGTCTTCAGAATTGTTTGGGGGCCAATGGTATAGTTTATATGACAGACGTTCGTTCAAATCTTAACGCGAGTTTGTCGTTTGGGGATCGCGTCGCGGCAAAGTCAAGATGGAGTCGATGTGTGGCTTGAGGAAAGTGGCCAAGATCGTCGCTTTTCTTCAACTACTTTTTGCAGGTATGAACACCGAGTCTTCAATTATCATGCTTTCCGATATCTCTTTTCTTTTTTTAGGTCTAATAGTACTTATATAGTTACGTGCGCTGCTTGCTCTGAAATATTGTCATGCAATTGTTTTTAAAACATATCTTCTATTCAAGACATATTTATCATTTTCACTACCATCAAAAGCTTTTATTTTAGATTATATAGTCAGATCTTTAGTCGAAGGTGTTAACTATAATAAAGTGATATGTAGTACCACCACTGCATTGCGTGTTGTGACTAAACAGAAATATTGTAAGTACACCCATAACCTACAAACACTCGTGGAATTTCACTTCTTTTGTGTATTTTATATGAGAAAAATTAATTGACTTATTAACTAACAGCAATTCAAAGGCTAATGAAGTGCTTGTTCCTCGAATTCGGTAAATGAGTGATACCTTTTTTCTATTTTTAATTTGTCGAACGCAAAACTCTGATATGGCTTTTGTGACCCAATTAGCTTGTGCAGGACCATGCCACGAATGAAAAACTGGAGCAATATAATCAGGACTCCTCCATGAGCGATTCCTACCTCTATTTTAACAAAACTTGCATAAGCTATACAATATTTAAAAATAATGCGCTCTAACCACATGGAGCTTGAAACCAGTCTACCTTTTTCATGTATAAACTGCGGTGCATGGTCATTGCTCTGCAGCTCAGCACTTACGCATTGTCTAGGTTGGTGCCGTCCTCTGATAAAATTCCCATCGCGTGCGGTTGCGTGGCTACTAAATACATTTAAGTATATTTGTTAACTCAAAATCTGTCTTCTGTCGGAATCAAAAAAACAAAATTTATAATTCAGCTGCCACCCTCTGAGCTTAACTTCCCTTCCTCGGCTTTTCCTTCCCATTCATTAATGCCCACAATCATAATTGATCACCACTGAGTCAACCTCTATCAACGTTTTATGTACACCCATCCGTCCGCATACATCGAAGAGGTTGCGCTTGAATGCTAGTTTAATCTATTGTCGCACACAGCGTAAGAAACGCAGAACGTACGTGTCAAAACTTGCGGGCATCTTATTAGTTTCTTCAGCCAATGAGACCGTAGTATTAGCCAATCACATTACGGAAGCGCGAATCAATATCCCGCAAAGCACACGCGAGCTAGAGCCAATCATTGCAGTATGGTGGAAATATGTATAGAACCAAAGAAAAAAAAAGACTCCTTGAGCATATTTGCTTCGTATACATTCGTACGCATGCAACATGCCAGTATCTTGCATGACCAGCGTGACATTGACCGTTATGCGAGGAAGAAATTGACAGCGACCTTTAACCTCAAGGTCGTACGACCCATCATGAAATGCAGTGTTTCAAGAACTAATCTCTTTTTTTATTATTATTTGTTTAGAAGACTATTACACTGTATTGTACATAGTGTAGGCCACTTCACTTGGTGTCACGTGGCGTCAATTTTCTCGCTAAATTTAGCGGGGAAACTACATTGGTGTAGAGCTCACGTGACGTCGGATTACGCCACATCAATATCCCCGCCAAATTTATCGGGGAAACTGAACCGATATACAGGTCACGCGACTTCAATTTTCCTGCTAAATTTAGCGGGGAAACTGAACTGGTTTGTACGCCTCGGGACGTCAGGTTACGTGACATCAAATTTCCCGCTAAATTTAGCGGGGAAACAGATTTGGTGTTTTGGTCGCGTGAGATCAATTTCCCCGCTAAATTTCACTGACGGACGGACATAATTCGGGGATTGGTAGGTGGCTTCAAGAAGCCTTTCATGCTTTGAAACACACCTCAGACAGTAGGGAGTTTTAGGGAGCCGTGTTTGCACATCCGATACGGCACGATGAGCCCTCCCGTACGAGCTGCGCATGCGCAACCACAAAAGACTCGCACATTCGCAGTCGGTACCAGAGGACCCATTGTATATCGTATCGGATGTGCAAACACGGTTCCCTGAAACTCCCTACTGTCTGCAGACTGTGTCTTGAATGATGTATTTTGAAGTGTGACCGCTGCTTTGAAGTGCGTGTCTTCACTTTTCTTCTGAGGTTTGATGCGAAAAAAAGGGGTCGAATGTACTTTGACCTTTGCAGGTTGTTTGACCTCTGTTCGCAACTGCCCCCAGCCTGTGCCGCCTCCAAATGGTCACGTGGTGTACCACAACGAGAGGTCCAGCTACGTCATGTTCAGATGCGACCCCGAGTACGAGCTGCAAGGTTCGCGGTCTGCGCTCTGCATGTTCGGGAGGTGGAGTCCCCCGCCGCCCAAGTGCGTTTCGCGGGAAAACGTCCGGCGTAAGTACAGCCATCGCCCCTTTTAAGAGTACACTATTAGGGCGTACAGTGGAGAGTTGGGCGAGTTGGATGAACATGGTTACGGAGATTGATAAGCGCCGAAACATTGTAGGAACGGAAGACAATTTGAGTTAGTTTGATGTATTTTTTTGGAAATGGCATCAAAGAGATATTCTTTGACGTAACGAAAGAAAAGGTAGCGATAAATTGGTTTTCATAGATGACACACCGGCTGTGCGATGATAGTTGCAGAAAATGAAACGCGCTCTGCGATTTTGTACAAATTTGAGGTCAATCACAAATATTGCGAACGTCCGGGGTCCCAGATGGATGCGGCATATACTCCAGTTTTGATCGAAGTAGTCTTCTGTACAGAAGTAATTCTAATGATACTGGGGCTGAAGCAAAATCTACTTTTAGATATTCAAGCAAAGAGTTAGCCTTAGCGGTACTACAAGGTGTGATAAAGAAGTTCCCGGACTGATTGAATAGCGTAAGAAGAGAGGGCAGCACGGTGATGCGCCCGCAGCAGTCCAAGGAAGAACCTCCGTGACCTATTTCATTAAAGGGCGTCGCTCTGTGAACATTTGGAGCTGCGCTACACGAGTTTTTGTGAGCACGTGTACGGGCCCAATACGGATTTCGCCATAGACTGCAAACCACGGCGAGAGCGAACATAAATTTTTCGTCAAACTCAGCAAATGTAAAACAGAGAGCACGCACCGAAAGCTTGCGCTGCAGAACCTCCTGGGTTCGATCCCAACCCCTGCACGTTTCGATCTGGATGAATTTCGTACCGGCACACGTTCGTAAAATCACTACTGCGTGATGCACGTTAAAAAAAACCAGGTTAGCGGTTGTACTGCACTGGCTAAATTTCTCGTGTACAGCTAAAAGACAGGTCACCCATTGAGGCGTACTAGCATCAAAGCTCTATAGACACGTAACACACAATTTTTCGTGACAAAGAGCTTACCTCCTAAAGGGTCAGGGCAGGTCGGCTGGTCGTTCCTCTCATCGTTTGTTCCCGAAAGTTGATGTTGTTGGAATCTTTTGGGCAGGTTTCCCCACTTTTGCCTTTTCGGCGTTGGCCCTTAGTGGCGTGTTTTGCCTACGGGCGCGTTTTTACGTTCGGGTGTCTTTTTGGCCTCGGCCGAGCTTTTGCCTTCGGCGCCGACCAACGAGACGTCGACGATCTTCGGGACCCGTCTTCAGAGCTCTTGACCTTTCCACTTGGACTTCGGGTCCAGCCGTTAAGACTTTTGTTTATCGGAACTTTTCGTTTTAACTTTTCGTCTGCGCTTGTCCCCGCACTCCAGAAACATTGGTTTTCTTGCGTAATTTTTGTGCTCTGGTGAATTCGGCTTCCCGGCGGCATTTTTTGTGGGCGATTGTCGCGAGCCGGAGAATTTTGCTTTGTTCTGGCTGTATTTTGATTTATTTTTTTTAGGTTTCTTCGCGGCCTCAGTTCCCAAAGTTTCGCTGTTTAACGTGCTAATTACTGGTTCTTGCCGTGCGCGGCTTTTTATCGCTTCTTATTAAATTTTTTTTTTTTAACCCTGCGTTTCGTCCCCTTTTTAATGATTTTCACATCGTGCGTGGACCTATCACTTGTGACCGGTCGAACCTAGTTTTCCTTTTTTCTTAGGTAATTTCTCGTTAATCTCGGAGTGTTGCTTTTATCGGGTTTACTTAATCTCGACCCTCACTCGGTGACAGAAGCCGAGTCTCGCAGGACATAGATTTGCGAAAAGCATGTTGTGAGGGTGGAAAGGAAGAATTAGAATTTAAGAAATTGACTAAATTAGAGTAAATAATGTGTTCTAAGGTTTTAAAGGGTGTACTAATTAAGGAATAGGGTTTGATTAAGAGGACTATGTTTGTCACCTGATTTGGAAAGTGGAATAACCTTTCCTGTCTTCCAATCATTCGGTAAGACACTAAGGTTTAGTGATTGTTCAAAAATATTAGAAAGAAGGATCGACATGTAACTTTTTTGTGTTCTTCGGGAATTTAAAGGTAAAATGGCCAACACCACATCAGGAAGAAATTTTAAAATGATCGATTCAATTTACAATCTTTTCGTAATCAAAAATTAGCGTGGCCGTTAGAAAGAATGTATGATCGGGATATATTGGATAAACAGAGCAAACATTATTGTAAACGCTTCAATAAATACGTCGTTCATAACATTTGCACACTCATCTTTCGGAAGAGAGATCACATCAAGCCCAATGAGTGATACGACAGCTTTTGGGGCCTTTCACAACACTCCAAAATTGCTTCGATCGTACTATTTGATAACCTAGAGAGGAAGGTAACGTTAAAATAAGATAGCTTTCTCTTTTTTATCGCTGTCTAATAACCATTTGCGGCTGATTTATAAAGCTCCCAGCGCTCCGTGACGGCAGATGACTTTTCAAGATGGAAAATACATTTCTTCTTGTTAGACAAGAGTTTAAGTGTTACATTGAACCGGGGGGACAAGTGATTATACGTAATATTCCTACACGGAATAAACGATGTAATTAGAGCGTTTACTTTGTTTTCAGACATGTTCCAGTTAGTTTCAACCAAGCGTTCAGGAAACGCAGGTAAACATTGATCAAGAAAGCGAGCTAACTCGCAAGTTATAGCGTCAACGTTTGCCTTGCAATTGTTTAGAATTTTTTTCGTATATCTAGTTGAAATGCACAGTGAAGTGTGAAAGTTGATGTTCAAACTGTCATGGTTGCTAATACCATGTAAATAGGTTATGGAAGAAACAAGACTGAAGTCGGGGTTAAGAATGAGGTCTAACAGATTGGCTGTTTTGTCAGTAATCCGAGTAGGTTCAGTGATATATTGTAAAAAAGAAAAATTAGTCCAAAAACTGTGGAAATCAGAGTATTCAGAAGAATTACAAGTGTAAGCAAAAAAAAAACTCCGGACCAATTAATAATAGGAAGATTAAAATCACATATAGTAAAAACATAGCCGCAAAAGGAAGCCTTGTACGAATGGTGTTGAAAGGATCATGTAAGTCTGAGCAAAAATGTGTCGAGTCATTGGGAGGACTGTAGCACTTGCACAGAAGAACATTTTTGAACGCACATTGCAAATGTACGCAAAAACGTTCCAATGATATGGATATATTCACATAACATTCTATGATTTTATCCACTGTTAAAAGTTAACGCTTCTTCTGTACACCCCATCTTCTCCTTCCTTTATTTCGGCGCTGTTCACTCTTCGTAACCAGGGTCTTAGGAAGTTTTAAGGGATCGTTTCGATACACTCTTAAAAACAATAAGGTGTACATATTCCTTCATAAAGGGAGCAATGGTCTTGACCCCTGTGTTCCTTTAGAAACGGAGCAAAGTTCGTGCCTGCAAACGGGGGAGCAAAGCTCGTCCCTCGTCTGCGACTCTGCGTAGCAATATGGCGGCTCCGGATAGAGTGAAGAGGAGGGGGTCGTTCTTGGGTTCCTCACCATCTAAATAAAATTTGACCAATGAAAAAGGTTCATTGTTGCGTGGAGGTTCTGAGCGTTACTGTTATTTCTTTTTTTAGGTGCGCTCTGCATTATATTTTCACAAAAACCGTCAAATATTTGGGGTGTGTGAGACGTAATTACAGCAATTATTCCTCGAAAACGCCGTTCCACGGTGCCCCCTTGGTGCCTGCTCCAAGGCGCAGAAAGAAGGTAGCGTCGCGATGTTTGATTAGATTTTTAATAGGAAAATCGTACGCCTATGAGTGTAATTTCGAGGTTTTTTTGTTTTTAGGATTTTTAGAGCCTGAAAATGTAGCTATCACCATACCACCATATCTCCACGTATCTCGTTATCCAATTGAGCGACGAAGGTAATTCCTGGGAACGAGGAGGACAAAAGACAAACACAAATCTCCAATCACGGCTAGATGACTGGTGCGCGACCGAGAAAATCCGCCTGGTCCTGCTCCCCTTCTCCAGGGGTTATTTTCATCGTTCTTGTCCAGCTCGCTTGCACCTTTTCATTTCATTACATTATCATCCATATGAGTGTCCCTTTAAGCTGCGATCGCATCGTTAATACATCATACAAAAAAACAACCTGCAGACGCTGTCTGGAGCGTGTTTCTTCCTTGTATGACGGTCTTGTCATATGCGGAGAGCGAGACGTCTGTTTCTTGCACAGGAGTTGCGGTGACATCAGGAAGACACCGAGCTTTGGTTGGCTCTGATTGAAGCGTAGTGGGTAGACCTCAAAACAAGCTGCCTTGAGGTCTACCCACTATCCTTCATTCAGAACCAATCAGAGCTCGGCGTTCTGACGTCACCACAACCCATTGCAAAAGAAGCATACGAACTTGCGCACCGCATTGGTTATGAAAAACAAAAAAAAAAAAAAACTGTCTCCGTCACATGTTTGGTGCGTACATATCTATGAAGCAAACATTGGCTCAAACAAGCCTGAGGCGTGCCAGCAGATAATTTTATCGTCATGTATGCTGCGAACACCATGCCTTTTTTTGCGCTGATTGAGCAGTGAAACTGCGGCTCTGAGGTTTTTGTGACTGAAACCCTTGGGCTCTGTTTGTTTAATTTCTTCGTATCTAGGTGGCACCGAAGGGACGACTGCCACGGAGGAGATTCGAGCCCCGGAGGTACCGAGGACAACGCCCTGTCCTTACAGCGAGAAGAAGAGCTTGACGTTGGACGTACGTCGTCGCTCCGCCGAAGACAGGCACAACCAATTTGACAGCATCTTTGGTTGTCGGCTTCCGCCCGCCCCACGTAATGGTTTTGCGGTTGTGTGGAGAAATAAGAATCGACTCGCGTTTTACTGTCAACCCGGCTTCAGGCCCACGTCTACCAAACACATGACCTGCTACGGAAGGGTATGGAACGGGTCGCCGCCTAGATGTCTCAAAGGCACAGGTGAGATATACTTTTTTCAAAGGGAAGTTCTCCCTCGCTCCGTCTTTACTAAACGTCACTTTATAGCAAACACCAATCCGTTCATACTTACGGATGGCTCGCACACTTGCGACTGCTTACGAACCAGCGTGTAACGACGCCCATGCGATATATTACCACGAAAGAACACGCCGGCACGCTGGCGCCAAGTGTGAGCTGACTTTGGAACTGTATTTCACTAGAGCGTATGTTTTGCAAGTATATTTGTCGCGTATAGCACCATCAAAATGGTTCCAGCCTAGTAGTGAAAAAATGTTGCGTAAAACAAGAGAAAGTATACAAAACTCGCGAGTGATCCATGGCTACCCGATAATCTGTCCTCTCGAAAAAGAGATCACAAGAGGTCGTAGCACATTCGGTCGTATAGCAGTCACAAGTGCGCGAACGAGCCTTTAAAATTCTTCGCTGCCATTTGTAACTTCGGCCTTTCATCACTAAAAGGCTTCGAATGCATCCTTTCAAAACCGATCTGTACGCTTTGTAATAACCAACCGTAGCCTTACTGCAAGCATATAGCTATCATGAAAAAACTCTAGGTCTGCCGGTTCTACTGCACAGCCGCAAAAAAATCCTTTCGTTTCTGTCTTTTTTTTTTTTTCGTAAAATGTTTAACTGACGTGCTTTGTCCTGAAATAATAAAGCCGTCATTTACATCTCCTTCCGCATTGATCGTTCTCATCAAACCGGTATTCCCAAGTTTAAAACGTACTCTCTTGTGTGTTCTTTTATACTCCGAGCGTCAAATGAACCACCTCCCCGCTTTGAGTGCTAGCATTACCGATGTTGTTTCGTTTAACAATGCTCTTAATAATCTATTCTTCGCAGATGTTCTCTAGTCAGACCGCCCCGCTTTAATAGCAATACCTTAAGATTATTTCAAATAAACAAATAAAAAAATTTAAAAAAATGTTCATACATCATGCAAAGGACAGTCTGTAAACACTGTCCGAGGCGCGTTTGTTTTTTGTGTGTCGGTCCTGGCACGTTGGCGATACTAAAACTTTCAACAAACATATTCCATATATGTACCCTTCATATATGTGAAGCAAGCATGCTTCGAATGTGCTTGAGTCATGCCCGAAAATAATTCGTTCATCATGTCTGCGACGAAGTGGATGGATGGATGGATGGATGTTAATGGGCGCAGGCTACCGCCCTTTGTAACGGGCGGTAGCCTGCGCCACCTTGCCTAAGTCTAAAAAGACCGTGTTTTTTGTATGATGTTTCAGCAATGGGACTGCGGCTTAGGCTCTTTGCTCCAAACTTTAAAAAATTCTTCAAAAAGAAAAAAGGCCTTTTACACTAAAACAGTTACACTTCTATGAGTTAACTTTGTCGGTCGCGGCGATAGTAAGGACAAAATGTGACAAAATGTTTAGTGAAAAAAAAAAAAGAATTACACGATATTCTTGGATGCGAAAACAAGGCAACATTAATGAACGTGTTCTCGCGGCTTCACATTTCCCAATGTCGTACGCTGTATGTTCGACGAAGTCCAATTCTTCAACTTTTTTTCTAGTGAGTCCGTTGACTTGTGTCTTCTTTCTAATTTGAAAGACTCTCCTCAAGATGACGTTTCACTGGAGACGCCACTGCACCCTAACCCCTGCGGAAAGGACTACGGCGGTTGCGCACAGATGTGCATTTACGGTCTCCAACGCCATGCTTGCACATGCCAGAGCGGTTATTTTCTCAACGGAACAGAATGTATTGGTACGTATAGATCTTTCTTTTTTCGCCAAATCCTTTTCAACCGAAATATCTGTTGGGTTCATTTTTTTTTCTTATATGTGCAAGGCGAGTTTCTCGACAGCTTGCGACAAAAAACAAAACTTACTTTACGATTTAAAAAAAAATATCTCTGTGCGCGTACTTTATTCCTAAAGCAAACGGGAAGCCAGATATCATGTTGTCAGCATGTTTTGAAACCATGTAGTGTACAAACGGTTTGGTTTGAAAGTTCCTTATCTCCGCAGGCACAGTGACCTCAACATTTCGCCTGCGCAATGTCCCTCATTTACCGGACTACTGCATACACTTGCAGGAGCAAATTTCAAGTAAAGTTATATATTGTAAGGATGCAAACACAACCACATTCATCATTTAATTCTCGTCACCAAAGAACCCGCTCATCAAACGAGGCCCATCATCATTGTCATATAGAGCTTCGCGGCTCGTGCGCATGAACTCGTGCCTTGTGCCCGTGCCTAGAACGTACCCGGCTCTGAGCCGATCGCCAAACCTCTTCTCTTACCGACCTATCGTGTCACCGTTCTGTGGCGCAACTTGCAACACGTCGTGCAACAATCATCGCGCTGGGGCAGCGAACACTAGGACGCTCTCTCGCGCTCTGAGGTACGGTCTTCCTTGCAACTTGGCGGAGGTGATGTTTCCCATACCATCTCGCCTTCAGGGCAACCTTCAGAAACCTGGAGTTGTGAAGCCGCACCCTACAAACCGTCACTCAAGCTGGAACGCTAACAAGCCCACTTTTTGCAATGGGAACGGCTGGAACGATCAGTACCATGACCGACCGTACACTGACCCTCCCGGGCTGGAGATTTCTCCTCTGACAACGCGATCCCAAGCTCTTCTGAGGCTTCTACGACGAAGACGTCGAAATTCGGCTAGACTCCTTTCGTCGGGCGAGCACATTCAAGTGATGGGACGATGCGACTAAACTCGCAAACGTGACCATTTATTTGAGCGAAGTCACCAGAACCTGGTACTTGAACCACGAACAAGAAATAGCGAACTGGCCAACGTTTGTCACAGAACTCAAGGACATTTTCGGAACATCCTTAAACCGCCGTGAGGCCGCTAGACGACAACTTGAGTCCTGAGTCCAACGTTCGGATGAGACGCACACTTCTTATATCGAGCACGTCCTCGCACTGAGCCGCCGAATAGATGTAGCGATTCCCGAGTCAGAACGAATTCGTCCCGTTCTCAAAGGCATTTCGAACGCGGCTTTCGCCGTTTTTCTTTTACGAAAGCCTGCGACGCTCGCTGAAATCGCGGATATATGCCAGCATCTCAACGAGATGCAAAACATCCGCCTCCGCGACCCACGGATGACATCCCCATTTCCTGCCTCTTCAGACACCAACCTGCGCGCCATTATCGAGATCTTCGTAAGCGAGGAACTACAAAACCTTTTTGGGAAGACACATCAAACACACACACAAGCGGACCGATCCCCCCGGCTCCGGACTCTAGCCCGACAAGAATTAACCGGTGTTGGGTTCTGCCCGTACGAAGCGTAAATATACCAGTACCCGCCAATGCCGGGGTTTGACCCCGCGTGGTGGTACCTCTTCAACCTTTTCAACGAGTGTCACAACCCACCTCGGCACAGGTTGCCCAGCCTACAGAGCAACCCGCGGCGCTGCTCCCATCACCTCTGCATGAGACACCGGTTCTAGCTACGTTATCGACAGGTAACGCAGAACGCCGCTACCGTGAACTTGAACCGGTACGTTACTGCTGCGGATACCGAGGTCACGTTGCACGCTATTGCCGCACGCGCCGCAAAGACGAGAAGACGACGCATTCAGCTCGCTATAACAACGATGGGGCATACTATAGCTTCTCATGCTATACGCGACGGCGATAGGGCAACACCTGTCGTGATACACGACGCATCCAGGGAGCGCAACCAACACCCCCTCGACGACGCCCCTCGTCACCTTACCGCCGCTCTCTGTCCCGAATGATGCCGAACACGCAGAGCACCCAAAATCTTGCACGAAAAACTAACTCTCACAGTTCATGGGGAGAGACCTGCGCAGTCACAAAATGTCATAAATCATATCCGATAACCGACTTCATCGCAGTCTTCATTCAGGGCTTAATGGTGAATGCGCTAGTCGACACAGGGGCTGCTATATCTGTGGTCTAGGCAGACTTTTGTTCAAGGCTACGGAAAGCACGAACACCTTTTAGAGGACCTTTAGTGCCAAACGCAGGGACATATTTAATTGTTCAATCAACAGTGTGCACTGTGCGCACCCTTATCGGACAGATGTTTCACCGCATCCACTTTGTTGTTTTGCCTGTTTGTACGCACGAGGTTATTCTCGGATTCGATTTTATTTGTTCCACGTCGCCTGTGATTGACCGCAGTACGTCTGAATTACACAGAGATGAAAACCTTATTTCAAACGATATTAGTAGTCCTAACAAGAAATCATAAGATGCTAACGACGTCGTTATTTCGGCGTCTGCTATGGCATCAGAGCGCAAGAGAGCGTACTCTACAATGTTTGCTGCCCCAGCTCGATTGTCCTCGTTGGATATGCGGGATCTTAGGTGACGACGATGAAGTAATCAACGGGATTGTGTTTGCATCCTTACAATTTGCCATTCGCGAAATTCGCGAAAATTAGGTCCCCGCGAAAATTTAGTCGTTTACAGTATATATTATGTATATCAGGATTTTTTTTTTTTTTTTTTTAACTTAACAGTTTTGTTTTAAAACCATGAAAGTTACACTTATGTGGTTTGTGCATGTATGTTATGCGGCCAAGGGGACATAGTATGGGGGAATAATCGTAACGATCGCTCGGCAAGAGTTAACATTCGTTAATCAACTTTTTAATTAATGAAAAGAGACATATGGTTCCAATTAGAAACTTGCTGAGCATTCATCATAAACCACCAAATCAACACTTTTTAGAAGGACATAAAGCAGGGGCAGCATATTACGGCGTTCTAAAAAAGCGCTCCATTTGGACGCTTTTTTAGGTTTCGATTCCTTATCGGAGCGCATCTCTGCGTCCGCAATCCTGCCCCCCCCCCCCCCCCCCCCTTCCCCCCGGTGGTCGCGGGGCGAAGCCACCCCCTTGCCTACCTCGTAGCATGGAGGGAAGTTGGGCGCACGTGTGTTGCGCGTCTCAGCCACTGGGGAGCCACATGAAACTGGGCATGCGAGCGTAGTTTCGCTCGAATTTCTGTATATTTTTAGAGCTCAATTCTGAGGCAGTGAAATAATAAAAACCGTCGGCCATGGATTTTCTATGTCCTCTACCAGCCCGGTTGTCGTCTGCACGCTGGTATACGAGTGGCTCGCTGAACGCGGAAACGCTAACAAATAATAGCACAGGCTGGCGACAAGCGAGAGAATCGCGGTGATTATTACTTTTAACGAAATATATAAACAACGACCACTTTGGAGCAAGCTAAAAAACCAGTGTGCGTGTAGACGACGATAATCCGGTGTAAGGCATAGGAAATGCGCCGCCCACGCTTTTGCTCTATTTTTAAATATCTTACCACCTTCGACTTGAGCTCTGAATCAAATAGACATGAAACTCCTTGCGAAACTACGTTCGCTTGCCACATTTGATTCTTGTTGTAATTCGAATTCGGGCAGGCGCGCCAAATCTGTTAGTCCTTCAGGCCTCAACCTGCATATTCCGCACGTAAAATATTATCATACGTAGTCTACTTTGAGAAGAAAAAAATGTGAAAGCCGTTTACAACTCCCTGTAACACCGAATTAGAGCGCAGCTCTTGAGGAGGAGGAGGGAAGGGTACTGGGGGTGAAGTGACCTGGGGGGGGTCACGTGACCTTGGGGGTCACGTGACCTTGGGGGTCACGTGACGATGCCGATGATGTCATCAGTGACGTCGCTGATGACGTCATCCGTGATGATGACGATGACGATGCGGATACCGGTGACGTCATCAGTGACGTCACTGATGACGTCATCAGCGATGATGACGATGACGATGCGGATGCCGGTGACGTCATCAGTGACGTCACTGATGACGTCATCAGTGATGATGACGATGACGATGCGGATGCCGGTGAGGTCATCAGTGACGTCACTGATGACGTCATCAGTGACGATGACGATGCGGACTCCGATGACGTCGTCAGCGATGATGACGATGACGATGCGGATGTCGATGACGTCATCAGTGGCGTCACTGATGACGTAATCCGCGATGATGACGATGACGATGCGGATGCCGGTGAGGTCATCAGTGACGTCACTGATGACGTCATCAGTGATGATGACGATGACGATGTGGATGCCGGTGACGTCATCAGTGACGATGACGTCATCGGGGAGGTCACGTGACCTCGGCGAGGGGGTCACGTGACCCTGGGGGTGGTCACGTGACCTTGGGGGGTCACGTGACTTTGGGTGTCACGTGTCCTTGGGGGTCACGTGACCCTGGGGGAGGGGTCACGTGACGTCTGGGGGTCGCGTGACCTTGGGGGCCACGTGACCTTGGGATGACCTTGGGGGGTCGCGTGACGTTGGGGTGACCTTGGTGACGCCGACGGCGACGCCAACGGCGACGCCGACGCCGCTCAAGCCGGGAACGGGCCCCTAAGAGTTGCGCTCTAAAAACATGTCCGCTTTATTAACGCACACAAGAAGCATGCGTCTACAGAAATCATAATAAGCATAAACTATCTTTCGCAATACCCATCACGTCTCGTGATCATGTCTGGTCTTGAAAAGAAAAATTATCGCTTAGTCCGTACCTCCTTAAACAAGGTACCTCGTTCATTTTCAACTCTTAAGCGTGTATTCTCCGCGTACCATAACGGTATACCTACGCAGGTCTCGTCTTCGGGTCAGGCCCGTTTTCGCGTCCCCGTCGTTTTAGAGCGCACCTCTTAGGCGCCCGTTTCCGGCTTGAGCAGCGTCGGCGTCGGCGTCGCCATCGCAGTCGCCGTCGCCGTCGGCGTAACCGCACGGTGCATCATGGGAAATGTCCCAAAATGCACCGCGCGGGATTTTCATGATGTCACTGGTGACGTCGCGTGTGATGTCACAAGGGTCCCGCGTGGTGCATTATGGGACATTTCCCATGATGCAACGCTCGGGGAGGAGGAGCAAGAGGCGGAGGGGAGGAGGAGGGCAGAGGGATGGGAGGAGGAGGAGGGGGAAGGGGAAGGAAGAGGAGCGTGAGGAAGGAGGAGGAGGGAAAGAGGGGGAGGGAGGAGGATTGAGAAGGAGAGAAGGAAGGGGAGGAGGGAGGAGGAGATGAGCTTGAAGATGAGGGGACGAGGAGGGGAGGAGGAGGAATAGGAGGGAAGAGGAGAGGGGGAGGGGGATGAGGAAGGAGGAGGGATGAGGAGGAGAGGGGTAGAAGGAGGAGGAGAGCTTGAGAGGTGAGGAGAGGAGGAGGGGAAGAGGGGAGGACGAGGAGGAGGAAGAGGAGGAAGAGGAGGGAAAAGGAGAGCTTGAGAGATGAGGAGAGGAGGAGGGGAAGCGGAGGAGGAAGAGGAGGAAGGAGGGGAGGAGGAGCAGCAGGGAGGATGAGGAGGTAAGGGGGAGAAAGGTGGGGTAAACCCTCCCCTCAGTAGCCTTCCCTCCTCCTCCTCAACAGCTGCGCCCTAATTCGGCGTTACAGGTTGCTGTTAACGTCTTTAATTTTTTTTTTCTGTCGCTTTCAGTTGGAATCCATTTGATTGCCCACCGCGTACTATGCGGGAAAAGAAACACGCTCAGACATCTTAAAGTGTAAAGCGCCGTTCACACATATGCAACCGACCCACCGAGTAAGACCGAGAGAGACCAGACCGGTTTCTAAGCCTCTTGCGACATCTTAGGACCAGCTCCGCTGCAGCGCCTCCGGTCCTAAGACGTCGCAAGAGGCTTAAAAACCGGTCTGGTCTTTCTCGGTCTTAAGGCCCGTTCACACTCTTGCGACTGCTTGCGACCTCTTAAACCTGGGTTCCTTAAAACTTCTTAAACCAGAGAACACACTGGCGCCATCTATTGGGAAGCAGTGTAAACTCGGCTGTCCGGCATATTTGTTTTTATTTCTCGCGCAATATCCTTTCTTTTTTTGGCTCGAAAAGCTTTTGTCAATGTTATAAACGAGCCTTTCGATGGGTATTACGCACATTTGACCTCGGAAATCCCGCAAAACCTTCGCTTTTGTGAAATGCAGTTCTAGGGTCACCGCATAGATGGCGCCACAATGTCAGTGCGTTCCGTCATTCTAGAAACATTTAAGAAGTTGTAAGAGATCTCGTCTCTCTCAGTCGTACTCGGTCGCAAGAGTGTGAACGGGCCTTTACTCGTTTGCATATTTGTGAACGGCGCTTAACGCCCATCGTGCGTTACACGCCTCCGAGTGTCAGTTGGCGCGGCATTAGACTCCAGTTGAATTTACGACTCACCGGTTCTTAAAGGGGTCACGAAACGACTTTTCAACTTCCGCTAAATTAAACTAGAATCACTCCCTAACGTTAATAACTGAATAAACCTGTCTTAGTTTCTTTTTTTCTAAACATTAGCAGTTGCAAAAAAAAAAAACATTTAAGAAAGATGAGCACCGTTCATCCCCCCAACTCGGAGACAGGACACGCGGCCTCGCGGCCTTGTCCCTATCCTATGTCGCCAACGTTAATCATATACCACGGCTGGGGTTGGCAGGGCAGAAAACGCGTGCTGAGCTCCAGGCATCGTTAGAGTTCGTCTATAGACACTTTCCAATGTTTACAAAATCACAGCTCAGCGTGCGATCTCCACAGCTCAGCACGTGCGTGTTCGTCGCTTCGGAAAGCGAGCAGAGCACGCGCCATACGCACCAACACTCAAAATGGCACCGGCCACGCGCTGTTTTTTGGAAAGGTATATACTCATCACCGCAGTGGTTGGACACAAACCACCACCCGAGTGTCCGCCGAGGCATTCACTGATTGTTACGAGCCGAAGTCGAGTGCTCACGAAGTTCTCGTGTTCAATGCATGAGTCGCGCTCGACTGTCGTCAGGCGGGTGGTTTCGATCCCACAATTACGTCACCGTCACCAAGCTCCGCCAAGGCAAGACTGAAAGAAACGGTCCCCTTTCATCCTCGCAATTTCACCGCGACAAAAAAGTTTCTGAATCAGTGGCGGTCTGTGCGAGTGCATACTTGGGCCACACTAGGACCGGCACGCCTCTGCAAAGTTGTAAACACTCCGAGCCGATGTCGTTTCAATTGTACTCCGGGCGAAGCCTTAGGGTGGCCGAGCATGGAGAGGAATGCTCCCTACCGTAAAGCCATTGTCAACGTAGGAAGAGCAGGGCGTGTCACATTACGTTCACGCTTCTTGCTTCGTGATTGGTCCTTCGGCGTTCTTAGCGGCGAATGCCGCAACCTGATTGGCTGTGGTCCGCTAATGAGGTGCACTCGAGTCGCCGCACCCTGCATTTCATAAACGGCCAGCGACTATATGTATGACTTGAAATAAAAGCACTAAACGCTCTAATGAGTTAAATGACTTGTTACTTAAGAACAAAAAGTTGTGAATTCTTATTACACGTTTTTTTTTTTTCCTATTTTGTTTTGTTAAATTAAAAATATGACACTCAAGATATAATTACACTTAATATACTGTAAACCACTTTATTTTCGCCGGCTCAATGTTTCCCGAATCCGGCGAACGGTGGTTCCCTTTAATACTTCCCGAGTATGAAATTTCGCGGATGAGGGGTGGTATGTTATGTATTTGTTGCCGCAGCGAAACATACTCGCGTGTTCTATTTTTCGCGATATTATTGAAGTCGCGAAAATCAGCTCCCCGTGAAAATAAAGCCGTTTACAAAACGTAATTGTGAACGTTTTTTTTTTTTGTTTTGGTTTCTAATCCTTTTAAGACAGAGACGAGTGTGCTGAAGGAAAACACAATTGCGAAAAGGGTTGCGTCAATACTCCTGGAAGTTACCGCTGCCAGTGCCCGGATGGTTACAAGCTGGCCAGGGACAACAAGTCGTGCTTAGGTAAGAGCGCCATCTCTTCTGCAAAACTTTTTTTTTACCCCAAAGGTCATTCACTCCTAGGAAATTTAATGTATAAACGAAGGTGACGCCTATCATTTGCTCAAATTTTCTTCGTCGTTCAGATATTGACGAATGTCAGGCCAAGAACGGTGGGTGCCAGGAAGCATGCGTCAATCACGTTGGTTCCTTCAGCTGTCGCTGCACGTCACCCGGTTTTTCACTGGCTGCGGACGGAAAGACATGCGTCTGTAAGTGCGCAGATGTAAAAGAAGAGTTTGTATTAATTAACCATGTCCCGCGACCCAAACATCGCTGGGGTAAAAGGTGCCCGAAGATAAAGTGTTACCACAGATTAAATAAACAATTTTGTCTTAACTTAGTGGCACTTTTGCGCTTCAGGACGAGTATTTTCTGCAAGTTAATTGTACTTTCTGAACGTAGCTTTCCGATGTAAGGTCCTGTCACTTTGTTCCCATGTCAGGCAAAAAGGTTGTCTTTCAAGCAAGAAACGAAGAGGGACAGAGTTTCTCTATTGATTTAAGTTGCGGAACGAAAGTTCATTTCAACTCTTCTAGAGCTGCTTGCATATTTTATCTGACGAAATGATACAAGGCCACGATAGGAAATCGTGAAGTATATCACTCAACGCCCTGTATTGTGGCAACAACAGAACCTGTCGCACCCTTCTTACTTTAAACCCTAAGAAATCTGAGTCGTTTACTTCCCCGCAGAGCACTTGGGATCAGCCAATCGCTGCGCTCTACAGAGGAAGCTCGACCAGTCACGGAGCTGTAAATATGTTAGGCTGAAAAAAAAAAAAAAGAGTCAGCGATGTGACACTCAGCATGGTAAAACGTCACAGTCACACGTTTACTTTGGGGTCGGAACACCTTTTGAGCCTCGCCATCTGCCAAGCTCCCATTAAACAAGGTGTCCCCCCCCCCCCCCCTTTAAAAAAAAAAAAAAAAAAATTTTCTGCGCAAGAATAAACTATGTATTGCCGAACACGCTGTGTATTGGAGCGATTGGCACTCTAACGTATTTTGCCGGGAAAGTTGACGCTTCGTACATCTCGGTGTTGGGAATTTGCACGTATACACTTGCCTTTGAGTTGGCGCCACTTGAGCTTTCACCTATCAGTTTTAAGATTCGAGTTGAACGCTATGAAACGGCAAAATTGAATATGCGATTTCTTGAATAAGTATACCAGAACATACACCAATTATATAACACGCGTTTAAGGCTCATATAGGTTTGTATACGACCTTATATGGCCTCGTACGTTTATTAGAATCATTCATACAATTTTGTTTTTCAGTAGGATAGTGGACTGACAGGTTAAGAATCGCAGGGCGTCGCTTGTCATGTTCACAGTGCTTGCTTCGCGATTCGTTCCTCGTTGGTGTTATCGGCTGCTGTTGTAATCTCATTGTCGGCTGGGAGTTGGCGAGATGATGGGAGTTCGCCACACCCCGCGCTTCTTAAATTGTCGGCGACTTTAACATCGATCAAACTGCACTTTAAATTCGCCATTCGGTTAATAGCCCCTGTGACGTTTGCGTTTCCATAGATACCGGGGCGAGACATCAACCCCGGAACCCCTGTACTGTAAACAACGGAGGTTGTCACTACACGTGCTTATGGGATGGGCACACAGCTACGTGCTCCTGTCCCGCGGGATACCGTTTTGACCGGAACGTATACAGATGCGTGGGTAAGCAACCCTTACAAAAATATGCATCGAGTTTCTAAAGAATTTCTGTAGCATATAGTGTATAGAGGCTATCGATATTCTAAAAATGAAACGTATCCACTGTCTATTGCCTTTTAACCATTTTCTGGATATAAATTGTGTGGAAATTGTGTAGAAAAAAAAATTCTAACAACGATTCTGTCGAATTTTTTATAAACACCTAGGGCAGTTCCCCACCCAAGAAAAAAAAATAAATCCTGATCATTTATTTTACGTTTAACATAACGTATCCATGGGGCACTCGCCACTTGCCTTGTGAACCTCACCGACATCACATATACACACACCGCGGAACACTCGTAACACTAGTTAAGGGGTCTCCAAACCAAAAACGAAGAGCGGAAAGCGTGCACTTTTAGCGGAAGGTTTTCCCAACGCGCTCCGCTACATCACGTTTTATTTTATTTCATTTATTTATTTTCTTGACAGGGCGCACCTGCGTGGGGCCTTGGCAGATAAGTATGTGACGCGTTACTAGTAACAAGTTACTTCTACCAGTTTTTCGGTAACAAGTAACTTATTTAGTTTCGTTTCAGAAAAGGAAGGAGTAACGTACTTACTTAATTTTAAAGCCAAGTACCGAGTAACATTTTGTAGTATTAGTATTAAGAGTCATTTAGTATTTAGTTACTTTTGAGGAGTGACATGTACAACAAAGGGTTAAACAGCCTCGCTCTACTTGTAACCTAAGAGTTGGTTGTATGATACAAAGGCAGGGGAGCAACCCGAAAGACAAAGGAAACAGTATGGCAGTGTAGCAACGTTTGTCGCTGCACGCGTCAGTCGAACACTACAGCTCGGAGTGTCCTTCAACCAGAGAACACCACAAAGTTCGTTGGTTGAACCTTTTAGAGTCGCGTAGAGACCGAATGTAAACCCGGGAAGGCACAGAAGCCTACGTCAACTTCGAACTTTCAGGAGCGGAGAGAACAAAACTTGTGAGGGGAACCCCAGATTCATCACCACTTTCTAAAGCCCAACACTGGTGGTGGTGCCACACACGCTCGGATCTGCTGGATCAGGATTTGGGCATTCATCTAAAAAAAGTTTACCTTTTTTGGGGATCTTTATGTTATGCCATTTGTGGTTAGCAGCGTAAACCAAACGATTTTTGTCGTTTTCCTTCTTGTGCATGAAGAAACTTTTTTTTTTTGTTATGCTTAAAAATTTTTTTTCAAAAACCTACCCGCACAAACGTTCGGTATATATATATAAACAAATATGTGCAGATGAATGAACCGTACTTAATCCAATGAATCAAAGAAATGAAGTTTTCAGGAAGCCGCCGAAAGCCAAAAAACGGCGGAGCCAGGATTTGAACTCTGGGCCTCCCAATGTCCGGTCGGGTGTGCTAACCTCTACACCACTCCACCTTGGCTTTCTGGCGTTTCCTATTTGTCTTATTAATGCATAAGAAACGAAATGTATCCAATCGGAGATATATATATATATATATATAGAGAGAGAGAGAGAGAGGGAGAGAGAGAGAGAGAGAGAGATTAGATGCATCACCTGAAGGCACGTTTGTGAGAAAAGTTTTAATTGGACTCAGTGTATTTGTTTTACGCCCGTATATCGCTCAAAACCACCCTTCAGGTTTTAGGGAAATCCGGTCTGAAAGAAAGGACACGTTCATCGTGCCAACCAGGAGGGACTCAAAAAGTTTCTTCATTCGCTTCTACAGCCAATTGACTCCGACACATACGCGTTCTGTTCAACGTTTAGATGTCGACGAATGTCTGACGAACAACGGTGGATGCCAGGAGAGATGCCTCAATATACATGGTTCGTTCAGATGTTACTGCATGTCAACCCAATCCTTCTTGGCTGCCGACGGAAAGAACTGCCTGTGTAAGTATATGTGCAAGTAAACGCTTCGCTTCCGAGCTGGATTAGCCACGCTCGAAGTTTCAAGACTCTCCGCAGTCTCCATGCAAACCGAAAGTTTGGAGTGCGTGATTGTTGCGTTCTTGTAACCATCACAAAGCGTTTTACTTCACATTCGGCATCGGAAGCAGTATTGATTATACCTGTTCCGTTCGTGAGTGAATCAAGTTTGATTCTATAAAATCAGCACTGACGCCGTCTTCCTCATGTGGCGTTCGGAAATCTTATGAACTCCATTTCCTTTCTTTCTTTTCTTTGCCAGAAGCATTTTCTTTTTGTTCCCACTATCTACTTGTGCCAGTTTATCAAGCGGACGTCGTTGATCCATTTTTAAATGGTTTCAGAATTCAGTGAGCTCTTTGCGGTACACTTTGTTTACCCCACAGACATCCGCTCTGAGCTTTAGACCAACAAAGATCAAAGGCGTACTTATCAGGCACGTAGCCAGGGGGGGCGCATAGGGCCCGGGCTTCGCCCCCCCCCCCCCCCCCCCCCCAAAAAAAAAAAAAATCCTTCATTTTGCTGGGATCTCCTCTCTCCCTCCTCCTCATACAGCATTTTGTCATGTGCGCCCCCCCCCCCCCCCCCCTCGAAACAAAATCCTGGCTACGTGCCTGGTACTTATAACACCCATTTTCATGGTTTGTTTCAGATACTTTGGAAAAACGACAACCCCACAATCCTTGTGATGAAAGGAATGGAGGCTGTCAGCACAACTGCTCGTGGAACGGTATCAAAGTCACGTGCTCCTGTCCCGTAGGATACCGGCGTAATCAGTATAACACATGCACAGGTAAATACTCCAAGCCAAGTTTTTACCCGTGGGATAACAGTAATTGTTTCACTCGCCAGACTTTCTACTTGTCACGGTTGTAGGAATATCCTCAACAAATATTATTTGCACCCTGGATTCATTGTTTCTTTTAGCAAATTAGTAAATACGTTTCTCTTTTCTTAAAAGTTGTAACAGCGAATATTTCCTTTTGTCCGAGATATCGACAAGTGCAAAGAAGGAAACCTTATGTAGCTGCCAAAGATTATGTATCAATACCGAAGGAGGGTACCGCTGCCAATGTTCGGTAGGGTTCAAGCCGGGCTATGGTGGCAAGTCTTGCATAGGGAAGAAAAGTCAGCAATTCTCAAGCGCATACCTTTTTTCTGAAACCCGGTCTGAAAATGAGAAGTCCATCAAATCAATCGGGAAGACTTCTTTTTCACTCGCTTGTACGGCCAATCCGCATCCTATATATTGTCTGTGTTCACTGCTTAGATATCAACGAATGTGACACCAGTAATGGTGGATGCCAGGAGCGCTGCGTCAATCTGATTGGTTCATTCAGATGTAAGTGCACGACAGCGGGCTCTTCATTGGCTCCCGACGGGAAGAAATGTGTATGTAAGTATGGGAATGTGAAAGTATCATCTCAGAAGCTGGTTATGCTGCCTTCATAACGCAACGATGCTCTATTCGGGGACAATGTTTTTTGTCATTTCTGAGGAGAAAAGGAGAGTGCGCGCGTAGCCTTAATCGGCGATCATAAGGGGAGAGGGCGTTCATAAGGAGAGAAAATTTGTCCCCGAATATAGTAGGGCTCTCCGTTATATTCGCTTTTATACAAGAACGAGTAAAGTACATGAGAGTTATGTTCGTGTTGTGTCTCAGGAGTTTTGAAGCTACAACTTTACGCGGGAACCCTCCACGGGTCAGTCTTGCTCGTGCTGGTCTGGCCACTTGATGTCACATTCTCACGTGACTTCATAGCGTCACGTGACGTAATGGCGTTCTGTGATGTCAGCCTCACGTGACATGATGGTATCATGTGAGGTCACATCGTCACTTGACGTCATGGTGTTGCGTGACGTCACGGTCAGGACGCGAGGGGACATCGCGTACTGATATCGCGTCGCAGCGTCATATGACGTGACGTCTCAATTTCCCTCTAAAATTGGCGGTGAAATATCTCCGTTAAATTGCAACAGAAAGTGCTCCTCGTTAAAAAAAAAAAGTCAAGTGCACCTTTATTGCGTTTGACAGCTTCTAGGCCAAACAATTTTTTATCACAGCTCTTCAGAGAATACAAGATTGTTGTTAACAGCTTTTAGTCGGGACACAAAGATGCCTCAAATGGTGATATTACACCTAACGCCGTTTCAGTCAGAGAAAGACAATGGTAGTGCCTCGTGGGCAGTTACTCGCAGAGAATACCGCTCTTGCTTTGAGCCCTTCTGGCACTAAGTTATACAGGGTGTTTGACTTTAATTAAAACAGCTTTATTATAAAAAAAAAAAAATCCGTGAAAGATACATTAACGCGGTTTGTTCAAGTGAGTCATACGGCCAGAAGGACATAGTGGAGGGGAGTAATGCTCACGATAAATCGTATAACTGACTAGTATTCTTTAAGTGACTTTTCAATTTGTGCAAGTAAACATATGGTTCCAATTAGGGCGTCATCAAAAATAACTAAATCAGTCAATTGCAAAACGGCTTAAAGCGCGTGGGAAGCGCGGGAGTGCACCAAAGTTACCACTCGTACGACAGGCGCAGAGCTAGCAGTAGACAAAAGCGGATGATTAGATTATCATGGCCGGTGTCCGGTCCCTAGCTTTCCGGTTGTTGCAGGAGTGGTACTTTGGTGCACTCCTGCCCTTCCTACGTGCTTTAAGTCGTTCTAGAATTTAATTTCGTGGTTTTAAATGAGGCTCAGCAGGTTTTTAATTGAAATCATATGTTTATCTTAACAAATTGAAAAGTCAATCGAGAGATTTTAGTTAATTATCCAACTTATCATGAAGATTACCCACTAAAGTATGTCCTACTGGCCGTATAACTCACCTGAAGTAAACACGTTCATATAGCTTTCACAGATTTTTGAACCGAATCAGTTTAAAGAAATAGGGCAGGCACATGCGTTTAAAAAAATATTAATAATCACATGCGTCCCATACTTTGCGTTGCGAAGAGCAGCACAGACTATGGTGACCATACTCTGCACTACTCTTTGTCCGCAGAGGTGCCTTAGGTCGGTCTTGGAACGGCTACGAAGAAAAGCAATAATGCAAAGTACTACCACATTTTTCACTGATATCAGAGATAGGTTCGGATGAAATTGCCGGCCTTCTGTATTTCATTTCTTTTCCCCCAATCATATCGAACTTTAAAATAGTTGGCTTATTGTTTAAACCGTGATGTTCTTGTAATTGGCCGGAAAATAACTTTCTTGGTCTCGTCAGTACTCTTCAAAAACATTTGCTGGATTTTGACTGCCTGATGGGAGCAGATGCTGTATACGGAGAATGTATCGTAGATTATATAAAGCAGGAGTGGCTAAACCGCTGCTGGCGAGCCTCATGTGGTTCTTCGGGGGCCTATGTTTGGCTTGCTGCTCGCTCATAACCTCCCCCCTCTTCCCCCCCCCCCCCCTTTAAAAAAAATTAAAATGAAGTATAGAAAGAAAATGTACGTGCATTGGGCACATGGCTTTATGAGTTGTATTCGCCATAGCCACCAATTGAGAGGAAAAGCAATTTTAAGAAGTGCCACTTCCCCTTTTTTATTATTGCTCTTCATTTAACATGGTTCCTTGTATGACGCTTTGAATATGTCCGTCTGACCACCTCTTATCTATATACTGATAGCCATAGATCGTTCGAAAAGACAGCCTTTATTTCAGATATGTATTATTTTCGTGGTTACGTGTAATGACGAGACCCTCCGAATTACAGTTTGCGTTGCTTGTAACTGTACCTTGCTATGAGCATTCTGTTGATAGTTGTTGTGTGTTCGCGTTTTCTCAGATGCGAAGGTGACACAGAGACCCTCAAATCCCTGCAACGTTAACAACGGAGGCTGTTCCCACAACTGCACATGGAATGGTCGCAAAGTTATATGTTCTTGTCCTTCAGGATTCTATTCCTACAAAAAAATATGCTTAGGTAAGCAGAATAAACTAGAATAAAAAAAAAAGATAAGGCAGCATTGTAACACAGAATGTGTCATATGGTTGGTTTCTAACCGTTTCCGGCTCTCACTCCAGCGACGGAAAAGAATAACGCGAGCACCAGTCGTACGCTGATGCAGCTCTCGGCTCCTCACTGGATCTACACGAGTGCCAGCCGAACGTCTTGCTCGACTAGAGTGTATCCGAGTTACTCCCGCGGCTCGCATCACGTGATCGAACATAGAGTAGCGCATGCCACGCGCTGTATACTCCAGCACGGACTAAACGAGCGAGCTCCGGGATTTTGCTAAGCGCGCGCTCTCTTTGGCGCGTGGTCGGCTTGCCACAACTGGCCGAACGCAACGTATGACGTCTCAAGCGGAATTAACTCTGCCTTCATCCACGTAAATGAGAGCGATGTCATACTATCGACTTTGACGGCGGTTGTGAACGTGATGAGCCCAAGCTCGCACTGTGCATTTTTGCGCGCGCACACCATCGAACTTACCTTCGCAGCTGGTGATAAGTAGCCAGGATCACAACTGGTGACGTCACGGCGATACAAAGAGCTCAGTTGTAGAACTCCCGCAGAGGGCGCTACTCCGCTCACCCCGTCAATCGTCCGCTTGGGAGACAGGGGTGGGCAACCTACGTGTTTACGTTTCGGTGCCGAAATGGCCGATCAAAGCCAAAATTGAACAGTAGCAGGGAACGCTACCGTATACGATGCTCTTGCTACTGCGAGAAGGCGCCACCTGTTCATTGAACGAATACGTGCAGCCTTGGAGTTCGCTGAGTGGTCGCTGCGGGATACATGGCGGCGACGCGATGGCGTTTTGTTTGGTTCTTGAATACTGAGCGGTGCCAGTTTTTGTATGCAGGCTTCTATGGCAGCTTCCGCAATTTCCCAATCAGTATTATTTATGGTATACGTTGAGGCAGCCCCAGAAAGGGTGTAAGCTGGTTGACTGTTATTGCCCCCTAGAAGAGGTGAATTTACACCCTTACAGCATGCGCTGCCACTCTTTAAAAGGGTAAAACCTTCGAACCAAATGTATGCTCTGTTGCCTCTTAATGGAAGTAAAATTACGCCCTTAAAGGCTATTGCACCCCATTAGGGATAAGTTGTCCCCCAAGGAGCACAGGTGCACCCTCACATAGGGTGTAAAAATTCCTCCCAAGCGGAAAGGGTAACTTTGTTAACCTTTCGAGATGAACCCCAGGGACAAGCAAGTTACTCTAAAAGTTGCGACAACTGTAACCTTTTTTGTAAGAGTACACCTCTAATACAGCAAATGCAAAAACAGAAAACAAATATTAATTTTGACTATTTAGAAATAATATGCATGGAAATTAACGCGACCGATTAATCGACTCAAGGGTGGGGATTAATCGGGTTAAAACTTTTAATCGACGCCCAGAGCCCTAGAGGTAATCTAGAAAGGTTAAGCGAATCCTAGTCATGACGTCAAGAACAGGAACCGTACGAGGGTGCAACCCGAACATCTCTGCCCCTAGAGCGCTGTTCACGAGAAAGCCGCAGGGCGGCGCAACGCTTTCGTCTTCTCCGTTCACTTATTACGCCTCGTCACCGGAGCTCTGGTCCCAGAGTGGCCGCAAGCCGGCGCTGCGGTCGCATCTAGCTCGACACTGCATCAAATTCTATGTTACCGCTGCCTCTGCCACGACAGTGGGGGAGTGGGGAGATTTTGTGCCGGCTGATCTCCTAAAGTTCTAAAGATTTCACAATGCAGCCACCTAGGTTCTTGAACTCAGGTCCCGTCCTACCGCCAAAGAGGTAGAGGGGCCGTGACGTATCGGAGTATCATAGACACCTTCATAAGTAAACTCCTGATTAAAATATCTACAATACGTTACCGCTTGCTTTACTCTGTTTCAGACATCGATGAGTGCAAACATAAAAAGGGAGGCTGTCAGCATCAGTGCTTCAACACGCCAGGATCGCACGTGTGCATATGCTCCGAAGGATATGAGGTAGATCCCGCAGACAAAAAGAAGTGCAGAGGTAAACAGTGCGCAATAATCATATTTCTATTTTTTTTTCTCTAATGAATTTTCCATTTTACGGCCGTCTAACTTTATCCGATGACCTACACTGTTAATCAATTAGAGTGCACGGAACTTGAAGCTTAAAGCGCACTCCGCTTGTTCTCAAGATTGCCATTCTACGCAGACCTTAATCTTTATTGCACCGGCTTTTCTTTGCTTTTACCTTTCCCCTCGCTTCACAATGTTCCGCCCCGCGAATCAACGAACGGTCGTGTATAAAACATTTCTTTAAGATTTAGTTTATTTGCTGTATGCAACCGTTCTTTACATATATGTAAAGAACGGTCGCATACAGCAAATATATGTAATGAACTGTCACCACGGTCTTATAAGACCGTGGTGACAGTCCCAGTGCCTTCCAAATGCAGCATACATCATTTGTTCTAGACGTCAGAGGATGTTCGTACAACAATGGAAAGGGTCCGTGTCAGGAACAGTGTACTCCTCTGCCTGGCAAAAAACAAAAGTGTTCTTGTTCAAGCCCCGGACTCAAGCTCGCCGAAAACGGGGCGTCGTGTGTCGGTGAGCTCTAATAAATACAGCAGCCCTCGTATTAAAATCATCCTGTGGGTGTCTGAAAACTCACCTTTCTCCAGCCCTGGCATAGTTTTATAGCGTGACTAATTTTTTGTTTTCGCTCCAAATTGTAGATATTGACGAATGCAGTGATGGCAACTTCGGATGTTCCCATGTTTGTGAAAACGTTCATGGTTCTGCGTACTGCTTATGCCCGTCAGGACTGAATTTAGCCGATGATAACAAGACTTGTATTGGTTAGTATTACACACTTTCGTTTCAAAGAAAGGTTCTTACCTGTACGATGTTTTACACATTCTTTAAATGACGCTGAACTGTACACCAAATGTTTGGTCAGCTGAATGCAAAGTGTTCCCGTAGTACCCAAGTTCACTGAAGTAATAAAGAGTGATACAGTTATGCATGTTTTAGAATACAATCTGCCCGAGCAGAGTCATGGGCGACAGACAATGCTTGCTGAATCATGATAGTGGAAAGCCCGTTTTTTTTTTTTATCATAAGCTTCGTAAAGTTGGTTTTACCTCTTACATTAACAGACCTGAGGAGCAGACAATGCCTGCGTGATCGTGATAGCGAAAATCCCAGGTTTTATTTAGAATTCCTCATCAGCGCCATAAATATTGTTTTGCCTCCTGCCTTATCCAACTTACTGATGTCATAGAATGGTTGCATGATAATAATAGCGTAAACGCCAATATTTAGTTAGCACTAACCGCCAACGCCGTAAACCTTTTTGTTTGCGTTCAGATAGAGAAAATAAACAGAGAATATATTGCCGCCCCTGTCGAGGCGTCTTAATGATGTCACTGAAATTCGGAAGGGGTTAAAAACACATAATTTTAATGCAAAACCTTAACAAAATATTTCGGTAGCGTTAGTTTGAAACGGAGCCGCTTAAAAAGTGTCCAATGTGTATTCTGACAGTAACTCGTGAGGACTATCGATTCCTTACAGCTTTAAATGGGTGCTCGGGCAACGACGGCAAAGGTCCATGTCAGGAGCGTTGCACTCCTTCACCTAACAATGGCTACAGCTGCTCTTGCATAAGTCCCGGGACAGAGCTCTCGACTGACGGGGTTTCGTGCGACAGTGAGTGAAGCATGCTTCCAGATCCTTCCCCTTAAAGTCGCATTTCTGCAGCAACGGATACTCTTTGAACATGGTAACCCAGGACCCAAGGAAAAACGGGACGAACAACACAAAACTCCATGCACAGCTGAAGTTGTATTAAGCCGAATCATCCTTAAATGGGCCCACGATCGCACACCAAATAAAACAAAAATAAAGACGATCCAAGGCTTCTAAGTACCAGAAGAAGGAACAAAGCCGCCTTTTGAGGATGACTTGGCCTTTTAAAATTTCAGCTGTGTTATAGAGTGCAGCTCTTAGGCGCCCGTTTCCGAAATGTGCGGTGTCGGCGTCGGCGTAACCGCGCGTTGAATTATGGGACGTTTCTCTGCTAAATTTAGCGGAAAAAGTTTTCCGCTAAGTTAACGGGGACAATTTCCCGCTAAATTTAGTGGGAAAATTTTATCGCTAAATTTAGCCAGAAAATATTTTAGCTAGATTTAGCGGGAAAATTTTTCCGCGAAATCTAGCGGAGGAAACGTTTCTGCTAGATTTCGCGGGAAATTTTCCTGCTAAACTTAGCGGAAAAATTTATCCGCTATGTTTAACGAAAAAATTTTCTCGCTAGCTTTATCGGGCTAAGTTTTTTCGCTAAATATAGCGGGGAAAATTAGGTCACGTGACCTAAGCACCAATTCAGTTTCCCCGCTAACTTTAGCGGGGAAAATGACGCTACGGCCTCGTGTCACGTCACCCATGAACAAATTCAGCGGCAGGAGGAGAGGAGGACGCCCGAAATCAAACTTTCAGCCGTGATATTTGTAAAACTACAGATGATATTGAAAAAAAAAAAATAAAACCTGACAATTCCGGGACACAGACTGAGCTGAAAACAGTCGTAATCCCGAATGCGGTAAATAGTGACCAGAGTTGCCCTTTAAAGTGGCCCGGCCTGCAATCATATTTAAGCGTCAAACTAAATTTCAGTGCGCCAAATTTTAACCGGACGACGCGGAAACCTCCTTCACCTACGGGGGCGACCCGCGGTGCCGAAAGCGCTTGATATGTGACGTCTTTGGTCCTGGTCAGAGCCGCCAAAAACTTTGGTCCTCGTCAGAGCCGCCAAAAACTTATTTTTTGTCGAAATACAAACTATAAGTGGCGCCGAGCCGTTTCAATTATTTATAAAAGTGGGTTTTGTTCGGAGTTTTAGATCAGAAAAGGAACAAATGCAGTTTATAAAGCACGGAAACAAGAAATGACCCGTCGATATACCCGCCACCAAGCGGTGGAAAAGGCGCCGCATACTATAAAGGTATAGTGGTATCACGCACCGACGACCGGCGAGCGTAGCAAGGTCCCGGATGTACGCGGCGGCGCTGAAGTCGAGTATCCGACCGGTTCCGAGCGTTCCGAAGGCCTTCGGCGAGCAGCTCTGGTTTGCGGTTTGGCCCTTCGGCGGCATGGCAGCGCGAAGTGGCTCCCGTTCTGAACTGATTTTTACGCCGTGTTTGCTGTCGTTTGTGGCCAATGAAGTGTCATGCCGAATTAGCGTTTAATCGCGCAACAAATGCAATGCGAGCCGCCCTGCAGCTGCCCGCTTCATACAGCCTAGCCAGAACATGCTTTAGAGGCGCCCTCTCGAGCCATCGATACGGAGTGCGGCAGCCGTGAGCGCTCGCTGAGCTCACTACCCCTTCTCTAGTTCAGTGCCACTCAAGCGACCAAAGACGTCATGAAGGAGGTTTATTTGTTCATGTTTTTGACATTTTAGTTTGCCTACAACTTTTAAAATAAAGCTAAATTCAAGAAACGAAAAGTTTCATTAAGTTACTACGTTCATTGCGCTCAGATTCGGTGCAAATTAGAAACAAGTAAAAGAAGTCCTTGCAGGACCCCTTTGAGGGGAAGCGAAGTGTAGCAGGTGTTCGGAATCATTAGAAATATATGGCTGGCCAACTGGCACTTGGAAATGTAGGCTGCTCAATATAGATTCATATCGTTTTCTTCTTTTTTGCTACTGCCCCTTGACAGCAGATATCAGGAAACTGCTGGTTGTGCCATGAGTGCAACGCTCCACTCAAGAGAGAGAGGGAAACTTGTCGGTATCATTGGATAAACAGTCGCCGTGACTTCTGGCTATCTTCATTTTTATTTTCAATTCCTTTCCAGAGTTGTCTGTTGTACCCGAGGACACGTATGAGTATATCTGGCCGTCAAACTCAACTGGCTTTTCGAACAGCAGCGATGGGATTGATGATATCGAGGGTTCTGGGATGGAGGAGGAGACACCGTCCGGAAAGAAAGACGCGGATCGCGTCACGCCGGAATGTCCGATAGGATTTGCTCCAGTCAACGGCACATGCGAAGGTATTATAACCAAACTAATACGCAGTGCCAAATAGGTAATTTTAATGGAATTTAGCCAGATAAAAACTCGTACAATTCGCAGTGTAATTAAGTAATTCATTACTTATAATCAGGGGTGTGTGGAGATTGCTCAGAATGGTATAGCGCCGCGGCATTGCTAGCTTCAGCGCTGTAAAGGAAGCCAGTGTGTAGTGGTTGTCTTAAACACGTCGAAGACTATGATGATGCATCGGTATTTAATTCAAAGCACTATTTCCACAGCCCTACTTAAGTTTATTTTATTTATTGCAAAGACAATTGCATGACGTTAAAACTAAGCTCACTTTTCAATAAGCCAATCTGACCTTCCTAATAAAATAAGTCTTAGAGTGCGGAAAAACGTTTATTTGGTGTGGAAAAACAATGCAGCATGCACAGCACTTTAATGACTTAAGTCATCGAAATTAAATGGTGGTGTTTGATGAAAATTAAGAGTATTCAAATCCATTTTGGCAGGACCTATCCTTAAATTGTGTCCACATGTCAGTCGGGTATGTGAAATCTCATCTTATATGCTGCGGAGCCCTTTCTCAGGATATCCCTTCGTTTTCAAAAAGAGTATCACCAGCCGATTTTTGGACAAAAATTGTTCTAGCCAGGAGTTTGTGTTCCTTCTAGGAATAAGTATTAAGAGTCGTTCCTCTTCGTTTCAGCATTGGTGTGAAAAAAAAAAAAACGGATGCCGCTTAATGGTCGACTTCGTAGCAACTCCACATTTCTTAACGTTTATGATAAACTTGAATATAAAGCTATTTTCATACCAGTGCCTTAAAAAAAATTAAAATTAAGACGACAGCAGAAGCATCCTACAACGCTTCACCCTCATATATTCACCAGTGTCGAACATTCATTGACGTGTTTCAAGCTTCTGCCTTCTTGCGTTGCGAACATCACAGATATCAACGAATGCTCCTCCGGGACCAGCAACTTGTGTGCCCACATCTGCAACAACACCATTGGAAGTTTTCGCTGTAGCTGCAGGGAAGGATACACGTTGAGCGAGACTGGGACCGGCTGTGAAGGCAAGTAAATAGCACAGTTGTTCATCACTTTTGAAAGTTTACAAGTTCCAAATCATTTCTAGGACTCCCTTTCGCCACCTTAAAATGGTGGCATTGCGACGACCTTCTGCTGTCTTTTGACATCAGTACCGTATTCAAGCTACTTCATTCATTGCACCTTAAAACAAAGCACTGGCCCGAAATATAGAAATATATTTTACATTATAGTATCAATATCTATGTTTTGAAGTTTTTTACGCTATTTTTAAATCATCGTGCGTTTGTTCTTTGCACATGGCAAGTTTCCATGAAACCGAGCATCCACGTATGCTGCGATCGACTGTCTTTGACCGGTTAGGACCAAGGGAACATTTATAATGTGTTCTCGGCACCTATTGTGAACCAGAACACAAATTAGTTGTTAGGAGACTCTAAAATATACTGCAGTAAACAATGGTACTCGATGTCGCCGTCATTCTAACCATATTCGCTTGCCTCTACTTATATAATATCAAGTAAACTTATTGAAAATGAGATTCGGATTGCGAGAGCCGATCTTTGTTTCATTTCAAATTTTAAGTTTTTTTTTTTCTTTGCTTTTATATAAGACATCGACGAGTGCTCCTCGCATTCGACTCATCCCTGCTCGAACATCTGCGAAAATACCCAAGGTAGCTACTACTGCGCATGCTTCCAAGGATACAAACTGGACGGAACTAAAAGAAATTGCGTAGGTGAGTTGAATTTTCTCCAAAGTTCTAGGAAACACCACAGCTATCCCGAACGTGCACTCACAAATATGTCTGAATTTTTTGCGCAGACCGAAATATTCCTATCGAAACTCGGTGGTATAAAATACCACCAAAATTTTGAGTACACATCTCGGTCTTCCGCGATAAAGTGTAAGGGTAAACTACGACAGCAATCCCTCAATGTCGTCCTCTCGCTAAATACCGCTACATACATTTGCATTTGCCTATGCACGAGTGTGTTTTGATTTCTTCAAACCGCTTAACAGACTAGCACAGTGGCACCATCTATCGAGTGGCCGTAGAACAATTCTGTCTTGAGTGCATATGTTTGTTTGTTTTTTTTTTGTTTTTTTTTGTGCGTATTTTTTACTGTGGGCCTGACATAATTCTTACAATATTATAAGCGATTATTTCAAGCAGAGTGCGTAAAGTTGATCTCGGCGGTTACGAGAGACCGTGACACATTCGGCACAGTCAAACCTGTGTCAAAGAAAATACATCGAGAAAGAGATAACGAAAGACTTGTTTTTGTCTCCCGTAATGCACAGATATTGACGAGTGCTCGACGGGCCGGCATGGCTGCTGGGATGTATGCGAAAACTTTGCCGGAAGTTACAGGTGCAAGTGCCATCCAGGACGGATTTCGCTTGGTGGAGGGCGTTGTCAAGGTATCATCCATTTCATGCGCAATTAAACTCAGACGGTTTGTGTTCATTGGGGACGCAGATGTGTTTCTAAGATATCTGTCCCGCTTTGAAAGAACATAATTTGAGATTAAGTAGATACGAAACCTTTCACATCCATAGTCACAGGGTCTACCGCAAAAACTGTAGGCATATTACTCGTATTTTATGCAGGCCTGTAAGCCTGCATATAGTAAATAAAAGATAGTTTGCCAACTTTTTTTAAAGCCGCTATTACGTTACAAAGGAACAAAATGATACCTGAGACATTGGTAGATTGCGTTAGTTTAAACGCGAAAGCACTAATTATCCCATGGAGCGAAGCCAGCGGTGTCTGTAACCGCGAAAAACGAGCCATAAACTCCCATTTTCCCATTGGCTGAGCGAAACGGACCCTAAAATCCCATTGGCTGCGACGCGTCATAGTACCAAGGAACGCCACCCCACAGAAAAGCCCTCTCCTGGCGCTGCGGCTCGCGCGCCGGTAAAAGAGAGGGTGTCACGCGTGGCAGGAGGGGAAGGGGTAGCGGGAAATTCCCTCTCCCTCTTCCTGTGCACTACTGTATCACGAGTTCTACAGCGCTGCTTGTGGAGCACTTACAATCAGAGTTGTACGCAGCTCTTACAAGCACGCAGCAACATGCTTGTAGAAATACTTTCGCACTCCTACATGTAACCGGTCTTAAGTGTCATCCTCTAATTTTTATACCTGCATTTGGACGAAGTTGCATTGCAGAAGAAAGACTGTAGTTGAAACAATTTCTTGAATTATTAGAGAAACAAACATTTATAGACATTGCTCGAGGTGTCACGTGTTCCACAGCGCTGCTTGTGGATCACTATCAGAGCTCTACGCAGCTCTTACAAGCACGCAGCAAAATGCTTGTAGGAATACTTTCGCACTTTTACATGTAAGCAGCCTTAAGTGTCATCCTCTAATTTTTATACCTACATTTGGACGAAGTTGCATTGCAGAAGAAAAACTGTAGTTGAAACATTTTCTTGAATTATTCGAGAAGCAAACATTTACAGACATTGCTCGAGGTAAATCATGATTAATGTGCTGAACCTGAAGGCGAGATTATATTGGTTTTCCTTAAATATTTTAGTTTTTTTTAATGGAAAGTAATGCAACAGTGGGAGGTACTAAAAAATGTGCAACGGTTCTGTCACGAATGTGCAATCTAGGTTGTTTTTTTCCTAAAACTTGCCTAAACTATTTGTTTAAAAAATTAATTGGTCTCAGTGATTATGCCGTCATTTATTAACACCAATACCTCTACGTTTCGGTACTCATCTTGGCATCGTCCAGAGTACGTCACGGTAACTAAGAAAACCCGATTTTTCCTCGCTTTTTCTCCACACCGTTAGCAATGGGCAACGATCGCGTAACTAGAATAGAAATTTAATCCCGGTACTTTGTGCAGTTAGATTTATAGAACACGTTCGTGAGCACCAGCTCAACTCGCACCTACCTAGATTTACATAATGTCCCTGCTTTTAAACCCTAACGCAGCAGAGACGTCTTAGTAACCCACTCCCCTCTGCAATGCCCTCGGGCCTTGCGGGTAGTGAAATAAATAAATCACTCACGGTTTCTGACTTCGGTCATATTCGGAGTCAAAAACGGCGTGCTATATGCATCTCCATGTTCAATTCTTCCTCTTTCTTCGAAGACTGTCAAAAAAACACGTTCAAGGATCCAAAGGGAGAGGCTTGCGTACGATGCCCACCCAATACCCACACGATTGCTTCAAGAGCCGCGTCTGTCGACGACTGCGTGTGCGACAGCGGCTTCCGGAAATCATCGAACAGTGGACAAGGCTGCGAAGGTAACCTACTTCGCCTCGTTTTCTGTTCAGCAATGCACATCACTATAATTAGTTTCCCCGTAGCTCGGTAAAAACCGAACGTTACGGCCCTCTCAAGCCAATCAGGGCGACGGAAGCAAAGCACGTGACATCATTTCCCTTAGGTATAGGGAGAGAGCGCAACCCGTGCAGTCGGATAATAAGGGAAGCGGGAACTCTTCCCTTATACCCTTATACCCGGGTCTCAAAACACGCAGCCCACGTGCATCCGGTGGCTGTGAGCTCCGTTTCTATGCCTTGAGCACTACATTCGTCAAAAATAAGCTTAATATCGTGAATTCATTTTTGCATGGAATAAAGCTCTGCTCATACAACGTGTTCAGACATTTTGCTTTTTTTTTTTTTTTAGCTGAGTACTAGTGCTTTGTCTAAATATTTTATTATCAGCCCTTTTTCATATAAACCAACCGGCACAGCAATACAACGACTTGTCGTTGATGTTGACGTTTATTACGTGCCCAAAAACACCTTAAAGCTTTACACATTGGTGCATAACAAATGTCACTTCCACGCATAAAAAATATTTAAAAAAAATACATGCAACGATGTCAAGCACGTAAAAGCCCATCGGAGGGCCTAAGTCGTACTAAATCATATTACAGGTACATTCCACCGTTCAGGGGTAAAATAAAACATGCAAAAAAAAATCGTGCTGAAAATGGCTGTTTCTAAAGGCCTGATTTCGATATAAGGGTGATCCCTTTAATATCTTCTCGGGATAAAACGTTACGCAATGTCGCGCGAATGTAGCTGGGATACGTAGTTGCATGCTGCCCAAAATATCCGGTACAGCAGTATGACCTTGGATGAGTTTATGTATCAACACTACATCTCGGCGATTTCTGCGGCAACCTAAGGTGCTGGGGCTCAAATTCCTAGCAAGACAATGGTATTCGAAGTTTTAGCCTCCTCGGAAAATGCCTGTCATAGACTATGCAAACTAAACGGATTTGTACCGCTTCAGTACGCTTACATTCACTTTCCAGTAAGTTGTTCCACACGGCAGAAGCCAATTCAAGATGGGGCCCAACCAATGGCCAAAATAGACGTGACATAGCATCGGGTGCTTCCAAGTGCCGAGTCATACGCGCAATCGTGTGACGCAATTTAAAACGTACAACAAATATGTGTGTCACGAGATTTGAACATGAGTTAGCAATCGACTAACTCACCAAGGTCCCTGATCACATCAGCTCGAGCACCATTACTGTTTTCCAACCTGTACTTAAAATGTAAGGGATATCTACGCCTTGAAAGCAAGATAACGTCAGTGTTGTTCGCGTTCAGAGGCAGTCGGTTCTTCGAGCACCACTTTGAATCATTCAAAATTTGAGACTGCAGCGCTTCGTAGTCTGTTTCGGAAAAAATATGACAGAAGAACTTTATGTCATCAGCAAAATACGAACACCTTAGTAAATGTTATACAGTTTCAAACTTAATTTATACATATGAGGAACAACAACGGACCCAATACTAAGCTACAAGCGCGAGCTTTTTGCTCAACCTCGGCTGCACGAAGTCTCGCTCAGCAGCAGCATCTGCTAACGGTAAAGCTTTGCGCTCGGGCTTCTTGCTCTCAAACAATACCTTTAAAATACAAGTATTTTATTACAATGCTGCAAAACAAAATTGTCAAGAAAGCAAAAACTGCCGTATGAAGATTTTTTTTTTATGCCTGTTGAGCTATAGTAATTTGTACGACAGGGCAAGGACCAGTGCGCTTGCTCTCCTCCTATTAAAAACTGCCAGTGCTGTAATGTGGTGTTTTTTTTTATATTCTTACAACATCAAGTGCTCAAATGAAAGTTAAAGATGTTAAAACGCTGAGCTTACGAAAAGCAGAGAGCGCAAAGTTCCTTCCCTAGAAAATTTTTGGGATGTCTCTAGGAAGTCGGCTTCTTTCCAACGTGAAACATTAACTGCTGTGGGGAATCTTGCCCACATACTCGAAAGAGTTTGAGACCCCTGCCCTAGAACACTAACCTGGCACTCAAAATTCGTACAACATCGGCCTTCCTCGTCGTCCTGCCAGTGGCTTTGATAGCACTGCGCGCATCTACTAAGATAGAGTATAGTCACGTGACTTCCTTTCACACGCTGATTGGCTGACTGAGACCGTGACCTTTGCCGTATGCCATGTTACGTACGGCGAGCCGGATTCTAGTCATAATGGACCTCCATTATCGATTGGCAGCCAGGTAGGTCACTTCCTCGATTTTCGGTTCGTACAGTCACCGCCTGGTGCCGTCGGTATGTGGAAAAGGTCCATTATTCATAGTAACCGCTAGGCATATGCGCAATTCGCCAGGGAATTCTTCAGGGACTAGTCATTTACTACCTCGTTATTTAGTGTACGATTCTGACTTTTGTGATCAGCTGTCGTTTGTTCACCTTGTTGTGCGTTAGTACAGCTACAAAAGTAGTTGGTATTACAATCGCTAGACAAAAAGTTTAAACTACTCGCTAGATGGCGCAACTCGGCGCCCGAATCAAAGGCTAAAGTGATATTCATTCATTCATTCATTTAAGCACAAATGCTGGAAGGTGGTGCCTTGTTCGTCTCGGAGTTTCTTCTTTTCTTTTTTGTGTGTATTTTTTTTTTTTTTTTGTTGCAATTGCAGTTTTTTTTTTTTTTTTTTTTTTTAAGCGACACATTTTAAAGCCTTATTCGCCCACAGATATAAACGAGTGCGATGAAAAAATCCTCAACTGTTCCCACGAGTGCGTGAACACAAAAGGAAGTGCGTACTGTGGTTGTCCCTTCGGCCTAAAGTTGTCAGATGATGGCTTCACATGCCGAGGTAAGTACGAAGAAAAAAACTCTGCTCAATATGTTATGGTGTGTCGGAACAGGTGCGGTGCGGTGTATTCATCTGGCTGCGGTAAATTACATAAAAATATATAATCTTCGTTAACGCTTTTACTTGCATCCATACACTGTGAATCTACTGTTCACTGTGAATTATTACGAAAAACTATTCTCTCTATGATAACCTGTTTCTTTCATATCTATTTAAGTCTATACTACGGTGTCTTAGGAAGTGCTCCCTTTTCAGTGTATCTTAAGGACAGCGCAAAATCCAAACCTTTTTATATTTTACTGTAGCTTGTTATCAATACTGTAGAAAGTACAACACAAAACTTAGGTCAGTCAGCAGCCCTGCTTACGCACTTTTTGTACTAGCAATTTCTTATGATCCATGACTGTCTGTACTTGGTCTGAAAGAAACAGAGCTCGCTTTTGGTTGGGGCTGTTAACTGCGTTAACAAAAAGTGAAAGCCGTTTACAAATCCCTGTAACGCCGAATTGGAGCGCAGCTCTTGAGGAGGAGGAGTGAAGGGTACTGAGGGGAGGGTAGACCCCTCCCCCTTCTACTCCTCCTCCCCTCATTCTTTAATATGCTCCGGGGGGGGGTCACGTGACCTCGGGGGGGGGGGGGGGGGTCACGTGACTTCGGGGAGGGGGTCACGTGACCTCGGGGAGGCGTGACCTGGGGGTCACCTCAAGGTCACGTGACCCCCACGTGACCTTGGGGGTCACGTGACCTGGAGGGGTCACACGTCTGGTTTCTTGGGTCTCATTCTTTCTGTCCTCTTAAATCTTAAATATTTACCTAAGTTCGTACTAAGCGTAGCCGAACCAGTTTCATCCAAGGAGCCCTTTTAAAAAATGTGCGCCCTCAATTAGCTGCGGCGTCGATTCTGTGAGGCCGCCTTATTTCGGTCATTCACTTTTAGCATGCATGGGACAAGAGGGCCGGTTCAGCGCAAGGCGTAAATTCGGATCCAATCACGCATTTCACGTAGGGAGCGATGCCAATGGATGGAGGGATGGATGTTAATGGCTGTACCCTTTTTAACGGGCGGTAGCTTGCGCCACCTAGCCTAAGTCTTAAAGGACCCCAAAACACGGTGGCCACCAGTGTTGCTTGATGTACCTTTGGAAAAGGTCGATTTACCATATGCTCGACTGTGAATTCATCACTCAAACCCACTTGCTGACTGCAGACGTCGACGAATGCACCGAGACGCCGCATGTATGCAACCAGATCTGCTCGAATACGATCGGAAGCTACGATTGTTTTTGCAAAGCCGGGTACACTCTCTCCCTCCATGACAACTTCACGTGCGAAGGTAAAAACTAAAAAGAGTTTTTATTTATTTTAAAGAAACATTTATGGGTGTGTTCTTGACATTCTTTTCTCAAATTGTAATTAAAAACAAAATTTAACGTCACTCTTGGCTCTGGAGTCCGAACGTGACATCATGGTTGACGTCCCGTGCCACAGTCACGTGACCTGACGCCTCATAACTCCTTTAAACGAAGAACTCGTTCAAGCGAAATAGTCGCGAGCTTGAGTATTTTCTTATAATAAATACTGTTTCTTACCTCACCTGCCACAATTTGTCGCCTTGAACGTTATGGTATACTATCTACTAAAAAAGGTGCCGACCATAATTCGTAAATTGTATTCCATTCCGGAGTACCCTTGACGTATTCTTCCAAATACGAATCAGTGCTCTTGCCTAAATCGTTTAGTGAATTTGTGATTGATTTTTGTTTTACACTTTTTTTCCCAATCGTGGGATGCACATGGGTGACTTTTTTTATTTTACTTGTTCTCATCTCTTGTGTCCATTATTTGTGTCGTTTCTAGAGCTACACTTGATTTTATTTGGAACCTATTTTTTTTCATTTGCTGTAGCAGGCACCATACTTATGAAATTTGATTTATGCCCAAATGGATCTTTTCTTTTCAGATGTGAATGAGTGCACTCAAGGTACCCACAATTGCAGTCATATCTGCACCAACTACGATGGTGGTTATTACTGCGAATGTCCACTGGGATACGAAATGACCGGGGACCAGAGATCATGCGCAGGTGCGTGAAGCGAAATATGCAAGCTCATTCGAGCAGATAGATGTCTCCTGGCGTTCACTATTCTGAAGAACCACATCGCTCAGAGATCGGAGCACAGAAGCGTTGTAGCGTTCAGCCATTTCTTTTTTTTTTTTTTTTTTTCGGGTGTTACCGCAGGGGTATGCAGCGGATCATTTGTGTGCAGGAATGCTCCAAATTTTGGGTGATGTCTTAATAAATGTAGTAAAAAATAAGGCTTGACGTAAGAAGAGAAACTGTTTAATCAAACGTTTTGCTTGACATACGGGAGGTATCGTCAGCAAAACAAAGAACAATTGTGTCCCGTGTAGCATATCGGAGAAACATCTGACGTGTCACAAGCTTGGCAATCCTAGGGACCTAGCGTGAACCGAATGCGACTTTGCTACGAGGCTTTAATTAGTGCCAAAGAACTGTTATTCAGCGTTTTTATTTATCTTCTCTGGCTCACCACATAATTGCCAAAGTGCCAGACTTGAGCCAAAGATGACACTAATGAATCGAAGAACCAGCAGTCAAGCCTAAACCTGGCACTTGTTTGGAAATTTAAGACACAAAGTTGGCCACATGAAAACCGAACAACCAGCAGTGAAGCATAACTTTGGCACTTATTTGGCGAATTTGGGCCGAGACATTCGGAGCCTGGCCAAAGAAGGTCACGTTTGGCTCTTTTTTTCCTCGGAACAATTCTCAGATTCGCAAATTCTCAGACAAAAGCCAAAATGTCGTACCAAAGGACTGTGCTTTTTCGTTACTATGAAAGCAAAGGTCGATTTGTTACTGTTCCCTATTCGATCTCTCAAAGTATACGATCACTGATTTCCATTTGCGCGTATAAAAGACTAGAGCATGACGAAGGCTGCAATTTAGGATCATGCACGAAAGCAATGAGACTACGAGACAAACTATGGTTGCGGCTAGTAAGCATACCGCACACCAACCCAGCAACTCCTAAATTCACAAAAGCAAGAAAACAAATTGACTGGTGGTTTTATTAGTTGCACTTAAGTTTATACGATAAATCGGTTCTCGTGTTACTCATTAGCTAGGGCACCCTCACATTCTAATCGTAATGGTAAACCTTTCGGGAAACCTCAGATTGATATGCGACGTTTCGTTAAGAATCTATCTCCTTCTCCGGGGAATGACACGTCTACGACATCACCTTTGTATCCGGAAAGCGCAGCGTATAGGCCTTGTTTCTTTCCGATTCTTTCGCTGCCAATCTGAAACTCCCTGAGTTTTCTTGTCGACCCGTTTCTACCAGATTATGTAGAACACTTCAGTCACTGACAGGTGAAAAAACGGAAGGCGTGACTTGTGAGTTTGCGGCTACACTGCTTGTTTTGTGATTCGTTCTATCATGCTCTGATTGGGCTAATGCCGCCGTTTTATTGACTCCGGAGCAATGATAAGGTGTTCGGGGCTCACCACGCTCTGCTGAGCTTTTTTTAAAGTTATCAGTGACTAAGGCTTTTTTTTTAAGACGCCATGGCCTACTACATTGCCCGTGCGACTACAGAAAGTTTTGCTCGGTTCGGTCTCGATGCATTACAGAGGTGACGTGCCCCATGTTTCTGGGTGTCCCGGACGCCAACGTGAGCTGCACCCCCGACGCGTCGAGCGGTTTCGCCAAAGCGCGCACGACGTGTGCCTTCAAGTGCATGAACGGCTTCCAGCTGGACGGTCCTAAGACCACCAACTGCTCCGAGAATGGAACCTGGACCAACGAGCCGCCATCTTGCAAACGTGAGGACTCTGGCAGAATTCTTTGTTTATTTTTTTTAAAGAACACCCTAATTCAAACGTTAATTTTAACTTAAATACCTTTATATATCTTTTCACTGCGGGGATAACGGTAGTGATGAACAACTCACCGACTTTCTTTTCTCCAAAAATATGGCTTTTGAATGTTTCAGTAAATACTTGCCACACAATTTTTTTTTTTTATGTATCACGACCGTTTTTTTTTGTGAAATCGCAGACATGAACTACTAGATGTGGTAGTATATTTATTAATACTTGGTTTTTCTTCCGAACTGTTACCATAGTCTGTTTCAGGGGCACCATGACAGAACAGCACACGACAAAACAGCACGCAACAAAACAGCACGGTCAAAACAGCACGCGTTAAAACAGCACAGCGTCAAAACAGCACGGCGACAAAACAGCACGCGTCAAAATAGCACGCGACAAAACAGCACAGCCTCAAAACGGCACAGCAACAGAAGAGCGCATGCCAAAAAAGCACGGCGTCAAAACAGCACAGCGACCAAAACGCTCAGTGTCAAAACAGGATAGGGATAATATAGCTAGGGTTCGGGGTCTTCGGTTTCTATTATTTCGAAATTCGGCGGACTTTTTTCTGTTTTTATTCCAAACAGACGTTTTCGGTTTATTGCGGTGAATTTTTGTAGACTCATAAACTTCTCAGTTCTTTTCGGTTTATTGAAGAAAATCAGTATACTGGCGACAATTCAATATTTAAAAGCGTTTCTTTAAAATTATAGTAAATAAACTATGTATTGGTTTTGTTATTTGTTGCTGTCTGTGGCAGCAGACGTGACCTGTTCTGCAAGACGCACTTGCGCCCTGTCGTGATTTGACATTATCGTCGTATGCTCGTATTTGTATAAAATACGAACATGAGCTTCACTACCACTTCGAACGGAGAGGCAAATATCAAAATGCAGAAATTTGCAAGCATTATACTCAGCGCGTTTTCCCCAATTTTCACGACTGGCAGAGGTGGTAAATTTGCGCCGACCACAGAAACGACAATAAAACATTCGGGTTTATGCCCTCCTCCAGTAGACGGAAGCTAGGGGTGTTATAAAATGTGCGGCAATTACGGATGCCCTTGATTTTCATTGTTCAGTTCACCAAAAAACTCTCTTTTTTTTGAACAAAGAATTCGGCACACAAAACTCAGGTGAAAGACCTAGATTTCGTCCTGAAGACCGCTGCACCTCCAGAGCTTTTGTTGAAAGTTGAACTGATCTGGGAGACAAGCTGAAAGCTGCGAAAGGAAGTGGTCATACGGTCATTAATAAGTCACATCCTCACCACCCACCCCTCCGTACGCCCTAGAAAATAATGACCTTTTTCAGTTAAAACCGAATTTGGAAAAAAATAATTCGGCGTACCATTACCGGTTTTATTCGGTTTTAGCCGAAAACGCTGAACCCTAAATATAGCGCATGGAGTTAAAAAATGCATGTCTCAAAGTAGGTACTGTAATGGAATGAAGGGTTTAGGCCGATTCGTCGAAAGCCAACATGTCGGCGATCAATTTCTCGAATCCGTTCTGTTGGGAGCAAGGTCGGTGTGGGGACTATACTCGATGGGGACACGAAGGCTCCCCCCCCCCCCCCCCCCCCCCCCCCCCCGGGCAAGTACCGAAGCCTCCGCTGGTTAGTATTCTGGCTATTTCTCGAGCAGTTCTGCTCATTTTGGCGCGCAAGATTGCTGGTGCTGTCGTCTACAGTAAATGAATCTTTTGGACGGCAATGCGCTGTCGATAAATAAAAAAAAAAAAAAGCGTTTGCGGCAACAGTGCGCTCAGCCCATGCTGTAGGGCAACAACTTAAGGCTGTGGCATGTTTCTGCTTCACCGGTTTTCACTCGATCGAGGCGTTCGGCTGCAATAATCTGTGAATTTAACTCAAAGTAACTTCTCGACTGCAAGCTTCAGCCGCGTGTTTCGGGGACATTTTATTCACGGCGAATGAGCCCTGCAGAATCGGTGCCCATGGTCCACCTTGAATACGCCCGACATTGAAGTCCTTTATCTTACCGGTTCTATTAATGCATCTGCAATTAACGCACCTCCCACTTTTTTTTTTCTTTTTGGGGTGGGGGGGGGGGGGGGAGCGTTTTACGCTTAGGTGGTATAATTACGAAACAACGAGTACTATGGAACCTCACCGGACCTACGCAAACCAGACGGTTCATAACTTGAACTTATGGATTTCTCTTTCCCAATAACGTTTCCTCTTGCGCTGGCTCTGCAAAAAAAAAAAAAAGACAATGCGGCTAACCTCGCAGCGAAGATATCACCTCTAACTAACCAATCTCTTCAGAGATCAGCGTAGTTAAGTAGTGGTAGTAGTAGGCTGCCATCCTTTACAACCTAGCGACAATAAATGAAAGGGTCAAGGGTCAAGGAGGTTTGAAAGCATTCGCGCGGAGAGCGGTGAAGAGCGCGCTCGAAGTTGCTACATGCGTGCTGTTTTGTCGCCGTGCTGTTTTGGCACGTGCTCTTCTGTCGCTGTGCCGTTTTGACGCTGTGCTGTTTTGTCGCGTGCTCTTTTGACGCGTGCTGTTTTGTTGCCGTGCTGTTTTGACTCTGTGCTGTTTTGACGCGTGCTGTTTTGACCGTGCTGTTTTGTCGCGTGCTGTTTTGTCGTGTGCTGTTCTGTCGCGTTCCCTGTTTCAGGATAACAAAGGCAAGACAAGCTCCTCACACAAAGTCCTCCACTCCTTCCACTTTAGTAGAACGAATGCTGGAGAGGAGGCCAATGGAGAGGAGGAAACCACCAATCACGGCGAGCAGAGGGCTTTCTGGGAGGGGCTTCGGCCATTCTAAACCCCTGCACCAGACTATACCTGTGGACCATTTTTCGTGTAGTTTGGCACCTTCTGTTCAGAACTGTTCCGCGATTCTTGCGTTCCAGGCGTATTTCACTGGCGGCTGGATAGTATAAACTTTATTTGGTTTATGAATTATTTTATAGTGCTTCGGTCAGCATCATTCACTGTGTGAGATATATTTATATGTGAGGACACACTGCACGGCGAACGCAGCGACGTGATCGACCAGATAGAGTCCTACTGGCGTGTACCCCAAGTAACATAAGCCGACAGCGTCTCCTCCATTCACACGACAGAACTGAGGGGGAAAAAATAAAGAAACAAAACAAAACCCAGAATAATGTCTCGTTTCCATGGCACCCGGGCGCGCGCTCTTTTCTCTCGAACCCTCTGCTCTCGCCTCGACAAACACTGGCTTGATCACTGGGCCAGAGATCTCTCCGCTTCAACGGGTGCCTAAAGGAGTTATTGCCGCCGCTGAGGCACGAAACCGGAGGTGGTGACGAATCACTGTCTAAGCGGCACGCGTGTAGCAAGTGCCAACGTCTACATGACTTTGCGCACCCGGGATCGGGCTTTAAAAACATGCATGTCTCCCATAAAGAAGCGTGGGAAACCGGACCCGCGACACGCTGCCATTAGCCGCATATCGAGGAGCCATCAAGTGGTGTCGCTTGCAGCAAATCTGGCAGCAGCAGTCCGCCCATTCTAAATTATTTAAAGATATAGTTCGTTTGCAAAACCGCTCTTGAAGCAACTTCTGCTAATTAAGAAAGTAACGTTTCTTTTTTTATTTCGGCATGCTTACGCAATTTTGTCACCTATAGCAACGGTATCTTTGCAGCCATGTTTTGCGAAGCTCTCTCCAGCCCCGAAAACGGACGTGTCATGCCCGAGCGCTGTCTGATTCCCAGCGCGAATCACATCGGAGCAAAGTGCTACTTCCAGTGCAACAGCGGGTTCCAAAGGAACGGCACTTTAGTGAACACTTGCACGAAGGTGGCCAAACGCAACGAGCTCGCATGGAGGCATGGTCCAGTTCACTGCCAGAAAGGTACGTTGTTGCCAAAGGCCTACCAACATATACATTAGAAAGCCAGGAACAGCATGGAGCCGTGTCGTATTTTGCTCACCTGCAGCGACGGGGGTGAGTTATGTCGTACCTTGTTGTTGCCCTGCTCGAAGTGCAACCGAGACGCATTCAGAACTGCCCTCCCGTGCGCACAGACACGCTCAGCTCCATTTCACACTAGGCCCGACCTCAGCTGACGTTACAATCCAATGGAGGCAATCAAGCGGCGACTGAAGTGCATCATCACGGCGGTCGTTCTTTCTTTCTAATGCGAAAGCATTAGCTGTTCCATAGAGCGGAGCCGGCAGCGTCTGTGACCGCGAAAAACGGCACTTAAAAACCCGTAGCTGCCAAAAACGGCACTTAAAAACCCGTAGCTGCCAAAAACGGCACCTAAATTGGCTGCGACGCGTCATATGAGATGCTCTGTCACGGAAGCCGCCGCGGCCGCTCGAGGTCAGAGTGGACGCGCCTCGGAAATAAAACACAAAGAAAAGCACAGCAACGCAGATGCCTCGTCACGGAAGCCGTCGTGAAGGCGGCAAGTTGGAGGGCGAGATGTCACCGCCGCAGCGCCGTGTGCGATAGGAAGACGTGGCGCGCTGCTTGTAGGAATGCGCTGCCGTGTAGGAATGCTTTCGCATTCCTACACGTGAGCAGTCCAAGTGTCTCTGCCAAATTCGTTTGTTTACGTCTGCTGTCACCGGCTATACCAACCACGCACGGCAAACGAAGTGTATGATCATGGCACATTCAGCGTCTGTGATTGGTTTAGTCGCGGTGACAGTGAACGCAGAGTGACGACGAGCACCGTGTCGACGCCCTTTTTAGCATTGCTCGATTGTCTCCCCCGGATCGATAGCGCATCAGCTGCGCATCAGCCTTCAAGCGAAACCTAGTATATGCACCGACACCCTGTTTACTGACAAGCCCGCGCTTGGCCCGCACCGGGCGTGGGCACCGCGCGTGCGCAAAAAACAGATTCGCCTGAGGTGTCTGCGCATGCGCAGTGACGACAGCAGCGCAATCGCAGTGGCGTGACCTCAGAGGGTTGATTTGGTCTACGGTCAGGCACGTAGCCAGGGAGGGGGGGGGGGGCAGACGGCCCGCCCCCCTCCCCCGAAATCTTCCATTTTGCTGGGACCTCCTCTCCCCCCTCACCCTCATACAGCATTTTGTCATGAATGCCCCCCCCTCCCCATCCCCCGAAACGAAATCCTGGCTACGTGCCTGTCTGCGGTCATTGAAGGGATGCTGAACCGAAATTTGGATTTTGCAAAACAAGGCCACAGAAGTGTTTAACGGAACACTACGAACTTTGAAGCAACACTCATACATCGATACCTTAAGCGGATAGCCGTATTTTTAGAAGAGAAGGTCGCGTGCAAGCGAGGAAAGCGACGTCACGATTCTCTTCGAACAGTTGAGAATGAGGGGAGGCGGCCTCGTCTCTCTCCTCTTGGCTTCGGCTCACCTGCTTGAGGGAACGGAGCGGAAAGTAGAGGGAATGAGAATCGCGACGTCACATGTCTCGTCGGCCTCGTCGGCCTCGTTCAATCGAATACTTTGTTTCCAAGAATACGGCCATCCGTTAGAGATTTTGCTGTATGAGTTACATTTCTGGGTTTTGCAGCGTCCCGCATATCGCCCCAGCCTTGTTTTGTGAGCTCCAAATTTCTGTTCAGCAGCCACTAAACGTGCGGTCGCCAAAAAACGAATCACGCCTAAATAAGCGTGAACAGAGAGTTGAGTTGGTCTATAGTCACCGACACCTTAAGAAACGCAAAGCGTGGCGAGGTCCTAATATCTTACTATAATTTTGCAGCCAATAAAAGCAGACACCAAAGAACGAATCACGCCTAAATAAGCGTGAACAGAGTTGAGTTGGTCTACAGTCACCAACAACTTCAGAAACGGAAGGTGTGGCGAGTTTGCAACATAGTATTACCAATCCACAGCCTATAGAAGCACAGACGCCAAAAAACGAACCACGCCTGAATAAGCGAGAACAGAAAGTCGACTTGGTCTAGAATCACCGAAAACTTAAGAAACGCAAGGTGTGGCGAGTTTGTAGCATAGTATTACCAATCTGCAGCCAATAAAAGTACAGACGCCAAAGAACGAATCACGCCTAAATAGCGTGAACAGAGAGTTGAGTTGGTCTATAGTCACCGACAACTTTAGAAACGCAAGGCGTAGCGAGTTCCTAATATTTTACTATAAATCCGCAGCTAATGAAAGCAGACACCCAAGAAAGAATTACGCCTATATAAAAGTGAACAGAGAGTTGAGTTGTTCTATAATCATCGAAAACTTAAGAAACGCAAGGCGTGACGAGTTTCTAATATCTTATTGCCAATGCAATGCCAATAAAAGCACAGACGCCAAAAAACGAACCACGCCTAAATAAGCGAGAACAGAAAGTCGACTTGGTCTAGAATCACCGAAAACTTAAGAAACGCAAGGTGTGGCGAGTTTGTAGCATAGTATTACCAATCTGCAGCCAATAAAAGTACAGACTTCAAAGAACGAAGCACGCCTAAATAGCGTGAACAGAGAGTTGAGTTGGTCTATAGTCACCGACAACTTTAGAAACGCAAGGCGTAGCGAGTTCCTAATATCTTACTATAAATCCGCAGCTAATGAAAGCAGACACCCAAGAAAGAATTACGCCTATATAAAAGTGAACAGAGAGTTGAGTTGTTCTATAATCATCGAAAACTTAAGAAACGCAAGGCGTGACGAGTTTCTAATATCTTATTGCCAATGCGAAGCCAATAAAAGCACAGACGCCAAAAAACGAACCACGCCTAAATAAGCGAGAACAGAAAGTCGACTTGGTCTAGAATCACCGAAAACTTAAGAAACGCAAGGTGTGGCGAGTTTGTAGCATAGTATTACCAATCTGCAGCCAATAAAAGTACAGACGCCAAAGAACGAATCACGCCTAAATAGCGTGAACAGAGAGTTGAGTTGGTCTATAGTCACCGACAACTTTAGAAACGCAAGGCGTAGCGAGTTCCTAATATCTTACTATAAATCCGCAGCTAATGAAAGCAGACACCCAAGAAAGAATTACGCCTATATAAAAGTAAACAGAGAGTTCAGTTGTTCTATAATCATCGAAAACTTAAGAAACGCAAGGCGTGACGAGTTTCTAATATCTTATTGCCAATGCGAAGCCAATAAAAGCACAGACGCCAAAAAACGAACCCCGCCTAAATAAGCGAGAACAGATAGTCGACTTGGTCTAGAATCACCGAAAACTTAAGAAACGCAAGGTGTGGCGAGTTTGTAGCATAGTATTATCAATCTGCAGCCAATAAAAGTACAGACGCCAAAGAACGAATCACGCCAAAATAGCGTGAACAGAGAGTTGAGTTGGTCTATAGTCACCGACAACTTTAGAAACGCAAGGCGTAGCGAGTTCCTAATATCTTACTATAAATCCGCAGCTAATGAAAGCAGACACCCAAGAAAGAATTACGCGTATATAAACGTGAACAGAGAGTTGAGTTGTTCTATAATCATCGAAAACTTAAGAAACGCAAGGCGTGACGAGTTTCTAATATCTTATTGCCAATCCGAAGCCAATAAAAGCACAGACGCCAAAGAACGAATCACGGCTAAATACGCAGGGACGTGATAAGCTACGCTTTGTGTATTTTAAGCTGTCAGTAACCGTAGTGAAACGTGAAGCAACCAAAATCAAACAGAACCGATAGGGAAGGTCAGTTATGGGCAGAGTTCTGGCACTTCTGCCTAAAAGGCGACTGTGCCGACACGCTCTCTGATACAGGAAAACTCCGGTGAAATTTTCATTGTTTCTGATTAACCTCAAAATTGGTTCAATATATTAACAGACTTATGTAAACGAGTAACCCATATTACGAGTCTGTCTATTTTGTAAGGTTGTTGAAGTTTCAAATTTAGTCCAAGAAGGTAAAGAGGCTGCACTGGCACGCTGTAAATGTGGCGTCAGATTTTGTGATATCAGACAATCTGGTGTCAGTATAGCTTTTCCCGACGAGTTACAAAGAAGTTTCATGCTCTGAAATGAATGCTGCATGGTTAAGATTGCGCCCGAAAACACATGCGCAAAATACTGTGTTTTCTTAGGCTGTCTGCGGTACTTGCGAATTACGCAAGATGTGACGTCAGCCCACCGGAGAGCGCGGGTTACATTAAATTTTGGTGTCGACATTAACTTAATTTGCCGTTTTCTCAATAGCTCTTTTGAATTTTGAACCAATACTTATAACCTACAGAAAAGAGTAAAGCCTGAATATTCCGAAAATAGGTTAAATTAAGGTAGCTAAAAAAAAAAAATCCGAGCTTTTTCGCCTTTACCACCTAAATCATGCATGCGTTTTGGAAATTCAAAGTTTCACGACCCTGCATGTCATTTTTGTTTCTTTTTTTTTTTAGTTTAGCATTAACGTTTTTTTGCCTCCCCCTTCCTTTCAGTTAAAATTGCGCCAATCATGACGTGTCCTCAAGACGTGGTCCAGACCCTGCCTCCAGGAGCGAGTGAGACTTGGGTGACGCTTCCGCCTCCGAGCACGAACCTGGACCCCAACTCGATCAGGGTGTCCCCATTTTGGGTCCAGAAGCACGGCGGAAGTTTTCCGTATGGAGAGACGGTTATAACGTATTCTGTCGATGACACAGAAAATGGCTACAGCCTGAGCTGCACGTTCAAAGTGGACGTCAGAGGTAACAAGTATTTTCTAGCGTTCTGATTGTCGTGATCGTTGATCTGTCGAAGGATAAAAGCTGGTTCACAGGTTTGCGTTTGAGTGGGCTTGAGTGTGTTACCTTCCCTCTGCATGCATGCATGGCAGATGTTCTCTTTGAATCGGACGGTGGCTTGCGCCACCTATAGCCAAGTAGTATTTTTATCTCCAGATGAAACTGTGTTTAGGTCTACTTGAGCTGAGTTATCCTCCATCTGTCCCTTGATTTTAGCCAACGTTCCTCTGAACTTTTGTTAGCGAGCTCAATTTCTTGAAAATATTTCGCTTCATTATTCTCATCGAATCCCAGGGCCCTAAGAGTCAGCCGAGTCCTTGACAATCAATAACATCTAGTGGCACATTGGCGCCATCTTTTGGGTAGCCCTGGAACGATTCCGACTTGCATGCACCTAAACTCAATGTTTTGCAGTATTTTCGAGATCAAATTTAGGCATCATCAACGATAAATCGTCGTTTATAATATTGTTCATAAGTATTTCAAACCCATGTTAAATGAATGGTGCAAAAAAACATTATCAAACTTTATACGCAGCTCTAAATTGTGGTGCAGAGCTATCCGGTACACAAAGTAACGCAGCGCACTAGAGCGCAATCGAACGCAAATCTGGGAGCAGGCCTTAAAAAAAAAAGTGAAAGCCGTTTACATTTCCCTGTAACGCCGAATTGGAGCGCAGCTTTTGAGGAGGAGGAGGGAAGGGTACTGAGGGGTGGGTAGACCCCTGCTCTTCCTCCTCCTCCTTCTCCTCCCCTTATTCTTGAATATGCTCCGGAGGGGTCACCTGACCTCGGGGGGAGGGGGTCACGTGACCTCGGGGGGGCGGGGGGGGGGGCTGTCACGTGACTTCGGGGGGGGGGGGGGTCACGTGACTTGGGGAGTCATGTGACCTTGGGTGTCACGTGACCTTGGGTGTCACGTGACTTCGCGCTTACGCCGACGGCGACGCCGATGCCGTTCAAGCCGGAAACGGGCGCCTAAGAGCTGCGCTCTAAAAAAAAACTAAATGAGAGGCTCCGCCTCAGAATTACGACAAAGATAGTGTCACTACGGCAACCTGTAAAAACGTATCGCTTTTTCTGATGTCACGGGAAGAAAGTGCCTTACATGAACGCCCTGTTTTTCACGATTGCTGCCCCTAGAAATGAAGGTTCATTTTTTGTCCAAACGGTCTCGTCAAATAACGCATTAAACAAAGAGCTGTCTTTTTTGTTGTTGTTGTTGGTGTCTGTTTTGGTTTTTTTTTTTTTTGCTGCTTTTTCTGCAGTTTTTATGTAGCCACAAACAATATGTCAAAACGGTGTTGGCAAGATTCCAACAAGTTTTTTTTCGCTTACATTCTTATAGTGAACGTGGTGCGTCATTTATTTCGACCTATTGAACGCGTTAATCGAAGTTACGACTACAAAAAAAATGTACCGCTGGGTCATTTGAACTCGTCAGCCGGTTAGAGAAGAGGACAATGGCGTTTACCATGGTCATTATCGAAGTGCAAATTATGGTTTAGAGCTAATATTGTTACTAGCTGATTGAATTCTGTAGACCACAGTTGTTCGCCGCTTGCATGAGTAGACTTGCAAGGCATGTTCAGACCGTTATGCGCGCCAGCTGTTCTGGTGGTATAACCTTCGCAGAGGACGGCAGGGTTCCTTGAGATCCAAGGTATGTTGAGAATCGATGAACTGGCCCATGCCGCTCGCAAATCACGGGGCCACATTCGCGAGTCGATTCGCCGATCGCCGCTTTGCCAAACCTTCATTGAAACTACTGATGTCCCTTACAAAATTACACTAAATCACTGACATCCAACTATGAAACGTCCAAAGATCAACCTTGCGTACGATTAAGATTAATGGCAAATCTGTTAACATCTAAGTTTTTTTTTCTTTCTTTCTTTTTTTTCTTTTTAATTGAGGATCAGTTCGACGTTAGCTGAGATGGAAAAACGCTCCAGTAGTATTGGTAAGCTCCCAGGATTGCTGCCCGTACCTGGCGGATTTTCTCAACGGCATACCAGTCGCCCTAAAGAGCACGAGTTTAGCTACATCCCTGGAGGAAGTCCACTTATATTTTTGCGGGTGTTTTATTCACATTGGAAAATTCTTCTAAACGCCAGAAACGCGTCTCCGAGTGGTGTTTATCGAGTTATAAAATTCATTCCTCGATTTCCGTTTGATGACGTCATAAAAGCGTAAAGCTGTCGCCGACCGCGACCCTGTTGGTGTAACGCTGCGGCGGTGGACGTGACAGAAGCCTGTTCCGCTGCAGGTCGCTCTCCAATTTGACAGTGCACGGAAGCTTCATCGGAAAGGAATTGGGAAGCCGCAATGACAGCGACACTCGCATCCGCATCGTACGTTTTGCCGAAACTTGTAGCGTCAACCGCCAGGATTGCAACATCCGACAGCGTGGCACGACGGCTTCTGCGACGCCATTTGTCGCAACTTTGGGACCCCTTTTCATACGTGGGCGGGATAGTGCGCTGAGCACCCGTCGAAGATGCGTTCCAAGCGCCGTATCTAAATGAGTGACATCTGTCTCTTTCTGTCTCTCTCATTCAGACAAGCAGCCTCCCAAGGTCGAAAAATGTCCGGACACAGTGTCCGCTTTGGCCACGACGCTGGACGGAGTGTTAGTGACTTGGGACGAGCCGGAGTTCTCGGACAACGTGGAAGTGACCGAAGTCAGAAACACCCTGGTACGTGTCACTCGACGCCACGCAAAAACTTTCAAAACTTATTGGGCCTCGGTACTTAAACTAAGGCTACAGGAGGTATTCGCCGGACGCCATATTTGAGGGCGGTGCTTCGAGCGCATGCTCAGAACGAGCTGCTAAGACCGGCAATCTTGACGGCGCGCAATGCACGTAGCAAAAAAACTGTAGAAGACCGCTGTCATCACGCGCTCACCAGTCGAGCACACAACTATGGCCGCCCGCCAGTGAATACTCTCTATACATGACTTGCGTTGACGTGAAATCCGCGTCCATTGTGATGCCCTTGCAACTGAGCGAGTACGCTTCGTAGCGTACCTTTCCCACCCCATAACTACAACCAGCACCGGGCAATGAAGTCGCGTGCAAGCCACGTATTGTAGCGGGCGTTAACCTGGCCGTGAAGTGGTTGACACCGCGTGAGGTTTTTTTCTATTTAATTTATGTGCCGGGGCAGAAATTCAGGGGCAGAAATGCAGGGGCAGAAATGCAGGGGCAGAAATGCAGGGGCGTGTGTTATCAGGATCACGCTTCTCGCATCGTGATTGACTCTTTGGCGTGCTTATCGAGCAACGCTGCACTCTCATTGGCTGAGGAGCGATAATGATGTGCTCGGGACGCACCACGCCCTGCAGTTTCTTAAGCTGTCGGTAACTACGGAGGATAACTCAGAAAATAGACTTCTGCGTGTCGCCATCCTTGTCTGCTGGACTGTGGGCGCGTTCTGAGCACGCGCAGTAGCTCTCTTCCGCGAGAAGTATCAGACGCGGCGCATTAGTTCCCCAGTGTGACTCGGCATTTTTTTTTTTTTTTTTGTTCAGATAAACGGTACAAAGAGGTGTAGCAGGCCTATTCCGTGGCACACCAGTAAAAGCAATAGACCCGATGGACGGACGCAGAGCCGTGTATTGGGAGAGTTTGGCCAATAGGCGGAGCAAAGGCCGCCGCCAGCGCCGAATATTCCCCCCACGCTTAGAGCGTAAACTAAATTTGTGACAATGCGTCGACCAATCAGGAGACCTCTACTCCATCTCACAAACGTCTGCAGTGAAGATAAAAGCACAGGCGCGTGAGCCTAGCTCAGCGAAACGCTTTTGTTTGTACGAGACCTCGTGCATAGGAAGCACTTTCCAAAGCCACGCGCTCGTGCCCATGCCTTTGTCTGCACTGCTAGAGCAGCGTCCTGAGACTGGCTGAAAGAAAACAGTGCAAGGGGTGGGGTGCGCGAGCGTCTTGAGACGCGGAGTTCCGCTCGGCATGGCTCAAATTATACTTCGTTTCAATTTATGTGCGAGCGAAGCCAAAGCTAGAAGCGCGAGACCAGCGCTTTTTGCATTTCTCCCCAGCTCGCGCGCTCGAGCAAAGCCTGAACGCACGGAGCTTCCGTGCTCGCGCTTCCAGTTTTGCCTTCGCTCGCGCATAAGGTGAAACGAAGTATAGTCGTGTCACAAACTTAGAGCACACGACCACCGCTAGGGGCTGTTTCGCGGCCTGTGGTTGGCCCCGAGATGCTCGCCTATTCAAACCAACGTATGGCCAAACTCTCTCGATAAACGGCTCTGGATGGACGGATGTGGCTGAACACTTTGAATCGGATGGCGACTTGCGCCACCTATCCAGTGTTTTTTTTTTTTTTTTCTCTCTTTGTGCGTTATCTAGTGGCTGCTGCGCCAACTATTCGAGTCGGCCATTGCATCGGCACGTACTCTCGGTAAGTATTAGACGCGAGAATTGCGCCACCATTCGGCGTAAACTCTTGATCCAATCGCACGCTTCGCGCCCAACAAATGGCGAACGTCAATGTTGCTTGAGGAACTTTCGGAAAGGGTATATTGCATTGAGAGGTACATTTAAATCCAATAAGTAAAAAATAAACACAGATAAAGAAAGTAACAAACCAATCGCAAGAACAATAGGCCCTTTCCAAAATTGCGAAATTATGCATAGATTATGCGCTGCCGACATTAGTTGGTCTCATCGCTTCCCGCGTGAAGCCCGTGATTGGTTCCGAGTTCGCGTCGAGCACTGGCGCAGCACTCGCGTGGAATTCGTTTCGAAACGAGTACACTCCGAATGCTGACGGAGCGCTCGTGTCCAATGCGTGCTCCTAGTGCATGACCAACTAATGGCTGCCGCAGATAACCTATGCATCATTTTGAAATTTTGAAAAGGGTCTATAAAGCAAAATGTAACACGTCAGACGTACAACAACAAAGGTTCTCGAGACACCTGTCGGGATAAAATAATGAGATGATAAGATAATAATTACTCGACGCACTTTAACGTAAAACGAGCCTAGGTAAGCTGAGTGACGTAATCGAATTGTGATTGTAGGGGAAGTAGTGACGGGCGCAGAGTCCCAACGAACGACATTTAGCTACGCCATCTTGGCTGCACGTTCTAGCGTTGATACATTCAGCGAAATAAGCACCTTTGGCTAGACCGACAACTTATTCCGAGCTAAAGTTGCGAGCACAATCGAAACCCCAAGCAGAAGTGAAATATTAATCCATATTGAAAATTTTGTAGGTCGTTAACTATATGTTCACGCGAGTAGAGGCCTCAGCACGGAGATTACACGCAGCGTGCGTACCTCACCTTTTCAGCAGCTTTGTATATATTTCGTTTGCTTTTCTTTTTTTTTATGTCAGCCGAAGTTAATAAAACAGGTTTGACTTCTATAGACTTATTCAAGGTTTTCGGTGCGAGTGTGTATAGTGTATTTTTTTATTAATTTTTTTATCGGACTATAATAGAAGTGCCAATGCGAAAGGTCAACAAGTGTATCGATATGTGATACCTTACCGTTCACTGAAATGGCAGAAAACTACGCGCCCCAAACAAAATGATCGGAATCTTCTCATTTTTTTTATGCCGTAAAAGCTTATACGTATCAAAAACATAACAATGTAAGTCAGATGTATACAGTATACAAGTGAATATCGAGTGTATAAATGTAAGCGGTATAGCTCCCAACTAGGCTAATGCCAACAAGAACTCCATAAATTATTTTTCATTCGCAATGCAATGTTTTCATGGTTTGTTGAAGTTACATATCGTGGTCTACCAGTAATGCACTGAATTTTTGTTGTTGTTTGTTAGTGTAAATTAATTTGCATAGTTGACGTCGCTTATGTTTTAATTACGATAACTTTGAAATTGTGTAATGTGGCGTGTGTGTTTTTTTTGTGTGTATGTGTGTGTGTGTGTATACATGGCCCCAGCAGAACTTCACCGCTTATATTTCAGCAAAAATATGTTTCGGTTTGTCTTCTGTCTTTTATGGCAAACAAAACAACCTAGACACATAATGAAAAAGTAGTCAGTAAAATCTGCTGTGTAAGTTCATTTAAGTTATCTAATTGTTACTTGTTAAAGGTTACGTGTTACTCTAACGGCTACAAAATGATAAATCTACGACTTGAGATGTGCTTTACCGCTGCTCTATCTTGGAGGCAGGGGTTCAGTCAATTCGTTTCAAACAATTCCTTACCCTTGTCTCCAGTAGCGTCGTTTTTGTTGCTGGAAAATAAATAAAATATCTTAACAATTATTATTTCTGCAATTAAATGTTTCCAGTTTTGATAAAGTATTTGAAGTATTATGTTCAACTACCCATTAACTTAACTTATAAGGGATCGTGTCTTTCCGTCTTGAGCAGTATGAAAATTCTTGTCTAGGAAGACAAGTTCAAAAAAAAAAATTGTATGGTTCCTGCATTGTCTTCTTAGGACTCGGGAACGAAGTTCACAATTGGGGTGCACACTGTTCATTACACTGCAAGGGATCTATCCGGCAACGAAGCTACTTGCAAGTTCCAAGTTAACGTGACACGTGAGTTTAAACGTTCTCAACTTTATAATTGTTAGTCTTCTTACATTTGCTATAGCAACGAGTATTTGAAGTTTTGTTGTGTCATCTTTTCAAACAATTTAATGTCTTGCATGCCCGACTTGGTTCAGCCAATGCAGCATCCAAGAAACGTCGATATGGTTAACAAAATGTGAATAACTATGCAGATGCGTATAACAAATGGAAAATGTACCACACGTGAGCACATCAAGCACTGTTCGTCTTGTAGAAATAAATGAACTGCGCAAAGGACGAGAAAAGAGGTAGAAACGAGTACGACACACGGAGCGCACTAGCCCGCCAAAAGGTATCACTGTTCGTCTTTCTTGTTAGTCTTTTGTCTCCTGGGGGTGCTCTTTTTCCAGTTACCGAATTCCAACAATTCAACATATACTATATTATCTACAATGTGCGGTACAGTTCACAAAATATCCAATGTTCAAAATATAAAAATACAAATTTATTTTACATTACAGTCTGTTCTAGCAAGCCCAACGTTTCTAACCATGCGAGAGGTGTTATCAAATAAATAAATAGGCTCAACTGCGAACTCCGGAAGACGATTCCTGAGGACCCTACACCCTAAAACAAACCTGGTCGTAAAAGAACCCCTAGGGCTTCCTCGGCTTGTCCATATTTTACACCCTAAAACTTCTTTTAAGCACCCCTTAAAAGAGCTCTTCGTGAAAAGCCTATATGGTGTTCTTTTAAGCTCTTTTTTGATGCGAATGAGTTCTTCATTGCCCAGTTGGCTTTCTAGTGGTCCAGCGTGCGAGAGTGCTTGGGGTGAAACCGTTCTTTACGAGCTGAAAGAGTTGTTGGGGCGCAAAAACCTCTCAAAATCTTTTTTTCTTTTTTTTTTTTTTTTTAGTGTGCTACTTTGCCATTTTCAGCAGGGTAGTGGGACCTCGCCAGGCAGAGCAAGTCTGTCTTTTGGTTTGCTACTCTAGACTGTGTCTGAATACAAAGAAGCCAACAAACAATTTGTTCTCGAAAGCAATTATCATTATATTTTTGAACAACTGCATTACCCTAGTTCTGAAGTTACCTGAGTTAAATTTAGTAGCCAAGGCATGAATAACCCTTGATGCTAACATGTTTATCCATCCTACCCTTCTTCCCCATCTGTAACCACGAATGCAGAAGTAGCCTTAGAGAATTACGCGAAAGCTTTTATCCGATTAAAACCAAGAGTTACCTACAGCCTACTGAGCACCGTAAATTAACATAATAAGCAACGACCCTGCGTATCAAAACCTGTCAGTGATCATAGCTTTGCTCATTCCCAGCCCTCCCAAGTGTTCTTTCTTCTCGCAATAATCAAACTAACAAGGACTACCTCCATGCATGACGTGATTCGGCGTCCCCATTCTGCCAACCCTGTGCCGCGCATGCGCTGTCGCCTGCACGGCCCGCCAGGCGAGGAATGCAAGTTCCCCGCGGACATCGAGCACGGCAGCACGGAATGTTACCCCGTGCTTCACGGTGTGGTGTGCGAGCCCGTCTGCCACGAAGGCTACGCCTTCCCCAGTAACGTGTCTCTCTTTTACTCGTGCGACCTGGACGGCGTCTGGGAGCCCAGAAGCTGGATACCGGACTGCCAAGGTGAGTCATCCACAGTCTCTGCAGTCCACTTTTTGTGCCGCTTGTAGCGCTATTCATCACTTTTTTTTTTTTGACACAAGCTTGGTGGCGTTATCTATTAGGTGGCCCTGGCACACTCACGGTCCGCAGATATGTTCGATTTTTGTACGTGTCATTCTTCCACCATAAGAGTAAATTACGTCTGACAGCACCGGAAGCGACACTTTCCTAAAGATTGCGCGTGCATTTAATCTTGCCGGGAGTGTTTTTAAGGGCTATCTGCATACTAGCGCCACCACGTCCCGACTCATGCGAGAATGTATTGTTGGGGCGCCAATCTGACCACCATGTGCACGCCTTATCGACAAAGGGGGGGGGGGGGGGGGGTGACAGGAGCAAAACGCGGCAAATTCTGGGCGCTGACATCGCGGCCATCCCGAAAGAAAGAACGAGAAAAAGATCAACAGAAGAGCGGAGAAAGAAAGCACACGAAATGTTAGGCGTGTTCGTTCTGCCGCGACGAGTTGAAATCAGACTTGTGCCTACCTTAAATACTCTACTCAAGATACTATATTTTAAATGCTTTTGATAGCATTTCGGTATATTGCAGATACATTTCGTTTAGAGTATTCGCTACTCTGTCTTAATTACATTTTTCACTATCTTGTACTCGGATCTCAAATACATTTTTCAACCTTGGAAAATATTTGTCGTCAGAACAATCTGCGGAACTAGGGATCGTCAGACTCCATGGCGAAGCTGAACCGATTGCAGACTTGGCGGCAAACGACCAAACACGGGACAGGAAACAAGGCGTGAGCAAAACGCAGTTTCCGAATCCGAACAAAAAACGAAAAGGATAACCCTAAGTACGCCCTCCTTTATGCGTGCTCTTGTCCGCTCTTTTTCTTTTTTCCTTTCAAGTTATCTTTTAATGACCAGTTACGCCTGGAGCTAGCAAAGGGATGGCGACATCATCCGGATTTTACATCTTTTGTCTGAAACTAGAGTGGTTGCGTCAGCGGAAGATTGTGAAGTCAACGCTGGGTAGGGCCACAATAAACTATTTTCGGAAATCGCCGGCTCAGGGGGTTCTGGTATGAAAATGCCCCAGTACGTTTTCAAGTGAGCGCGAACACTTCTCCGGCCAAGGAAGCTATATCCTGCTCGCTTCAGTGAGCTGCAGGGACCTAGATTTGACTTCCACAAACCCTCGTGCTTGCCTATTGTGTCTTGACTTTGACTCCCAAGTTCGTTCAAAACCGTTTCATTTATTTACTTCCGAATACGCAAATTGTTTCATTCTTAGAATCCTCCAGCGCAGTTCTTCGCCGGGTGGAGACAGGGATTGAGAGCGGTTTCGAGGACACTCTCATGTGTTACTTGTGTTTCTCTCTCTATCTTCCTAATATATTTTGACTGTTTGAAAGTACAGGCATTCCTCTTCGCCCTTCGCTGGGGAGACAAAGTACTCGCTCTTGGATGTTGTTCAGCGAGAGAGGCTGCTTTTCTCTAGACGATGTTTCTACTGAGGTGGCAGATTTCTCGTTCACTCGAGTACTCATCATCAAGTCTGACTGCCTGATCAACTCCTATTTTGGCTGTTAGGGATATGCAATCCCGGATTATGTGTCTAGTCCCCCGAATCGCGTCAAAGCATATTACGAACTTCTTGAGGAATTCGTCATGAGCCGAGCCCGCTGCCAAACTAAAAAGCGTCAGTTGCCGTGCCTGTAATACGGTAGTGCCCCTCGTTCCTGAGATCTTTCGGTGCTCATTATTTTTCATGTTCCGAACTATTTCAAAGTAAACTTCTTGAAAATCATAACGATCGCAGCAGATTGGGATTTTCAGAGATTTCATCTCAAGTAGACCACCCCCTTTTGCAACCTGCTTTCCGAGCATCTTCGAATGTAAATTAATTACTTACTCAAAGCCTTTGTACCCTACTCCGAATAGTTCGTAGTAGAAGTAACTTAAAAACTACTCTCAACATATATTCAAATGGGTATTTAGTATGTTATCTTAAATACATTTGATGATTATTTGGCTCAACACTTGTTGAAAATGATCGATCGCTCGTCAATATTTTTTTTTTTTTTATACAATACGCCATTCCGGTGTTTGCCTGCAAACTAAGCTAGAAAGTAACAAGGTACAGACCGTAGAGATGATGTTTTGCTGCTTCCTTGTGCATATTAAGGCATCGCCAGCGATTTGAGCCCATCGGCACCGCTAACTGTGGCCGCCGATGTTCGCGTTTGTACCGTGCGATCTGCAAGCGGTCCAGATGAGTGGGATCTCTCCCTCTAGGTCAGGGTATGGTGCCTGGATCGCGTCCTCGACTGGTGTGCTTAACGTCCTATCCCGCCCATGCATCAGAAATGGTCCCAGTGTGGCAACGAAGGACGTCACAGACACCGGAGTGTCGTGGTGTTGCCTGTCGCGATCCTGGCGGTTGGCCGTAGATATGCTGGCGAAAAGCACGAGCGAACGCGGGTGTCGCTGTCGTCACGGCGTCCCAGGTGTCCCAACTTCCGGCCGCTCTAGCTTCCGTGGACTGTCACAGTGGAGAGCGACCTGCAGCAGAACAGCCGTCTGCCATTTATACCACAACTGCTGGAACGCCGCCAGGGTCGCGACCGGCGACAGCATGACAGTTCTATGACGTCATCAGGCGGAAATCGAGGGACTACTTTTTTGGCCGCGGTAAACACACCAGTCGGAGACGCGGTCGAGGCATCATATTCAGGGTCTCCAAACGTTTTGGCTACGGGGTCGGATTGGGGACCTGTTGCAGTCTCGAGGGCCGAAAATTAGATGAGACAATATAAACGATGAAATACTAAATAAATAATTAGATAAATACAAAGCTTTGAACTAGAGCAAAAATTCAGAAAGAAATATAATGCATATAGCTTTATTTTTAAGCGCAATATTTTACTATTTATTACATTATAAAATAATCGTGACCCCGTGAACTCACCAGACATAAATTAAAGCGCATTGGAACTTTGGCATATTCTCCCAAGGCGGGAGATTAATAAAAAGGATAGATCAGATAAGATCATTAAACGCGATAAACACGACAACGCAAAATAGTTTTTTGTATTTTTTTTTTTCAGTTACGCAGATGTGAAGCAGGAAAATACGAATAGTAATTGTGGTGATAACAATACACAATAAATAATATGCCGGGGGAACAGGTGTTTTGACGCAGTTTTCTAGGCCCGTGTAAATAGTGAATTTTGAGTTTTAAGCTGAATTCGAAGTGACTAGTGGTTTAGGCCAAATATTTTTTTTTTTTTTTTAGTTTGTTTATTTCTCTCGAAACAAGGCGAGGAAGGGAGGTAAGAAAAAAAGCTGCCATTGCAGCTTGACGACGCCTCTACCACCCTTTACAGTACAGCGCAAAACAGAACATCTGCCAATGCACATGCAGAACCAAGCAAATTCATAATAAACACTTGTACCAGATTTCACACGATTGGAAAAAGAATACAAGTTACATCAAAAAAGGACATTTTCACATTTGATTTTTCACTTGAATATCGGATAGTTTCTCCGAGCATTTCACTGCTGCCATGCCTGAGCAAAAATTCATTTGAACTCGTAAACGTTGTTTCCAAGCTTCCCCTTGTTCATATCAAAGTTCAGTTAATTTTATTCTAACTGTATTTATGGTGTGTGACCTCAGTAAGTCCATTGCTTAAATGGGATCGGCAAGTAAGCGATGCATTCGACATAAAATTAAACCTGCACAGATGCCCAGCTATACCTAATCGAGAGTATTTACAAATGTGTTTTGCTATATGCAAATAATTTTTTTTATTTAATCTAAAATTTGAGCAAATAAAAAAGACAAGCATGAATGATGAACGTAGGTTGTCAGGACAGCTCTGCCTAACACATACTCTCGCATAAAAGCCACCGTTTAATTTTGGAAATTTTCCTGTAGTGCAGAAATCAACATTCACGAAGATTTCGCTTCTTTTTACACGCGCTGCGCGCGCCCGTGCGCCATCCCGCTTTGAAAGTGAGCTTTCCTCTGAAACTGCCATATTAGTTCTCTTCGAAATGTTGATTGCGGCGTGTGAGCTCCGTTGAGAGCGCTTCTTACCGAGCACCGGGGCACTGCGGAGAAGCAACACCCGCGGAAGAGAGTTTCGTGGGTGTTGCTTCCCGCAGTGCACCGGCAGTTGCAACTCAAGAAGGTAGGGCAAGGAAAGGAAGGCCAGGGAGGAGAAAGCAGACGGAGCTCTGGAGAGAGGACGTTTCCCGCTTTCCTCTCCGGCGTTCCGTCTTCTTGCTCCTCCCCGGCCTTCCTTTCCTAGCCCTACCTTCTTGATTTACAACAGATTATATACAGTTTTCTCTCATTCTTTCTAATAACTTCGTTTTCGCTTGAAAAGCGTTTAGCGGCGCCATTTTTTTTTCTTTTTTTGGACGAGCTTTTTATTTATTTATTTATGTTTCTTGCTTTAGCGGGTTACGGGTCGGGCGTCAGTGGAATGACCCTGGCCATCTACGGGCCGCCTAGAATGCCTCCACGGGCCGGGGTTTGTAGACGCGGCTTTAGATTTTTAAATCAATTTTATGCTTATCGAGGCTTTACATAGCTGTCAGACGATCTACGAATGACAGCAGCAAGATGGCGGCGCACAGGGGGCGTGTACATGCAAACGTCTATATTAGCAGCAGGATGATCGAGCGACGACGATGTCTCTTTCCAGGTTGAAGGTGGCGCCACCTGTAAACCATGTTGGTTATCGCCTTCTCCGCGGTGCCATCTTTGTCTACTTAGCTGCAGAACGCGTTCTGGGCGTGCGCACTAGCTATTTTTCGGCGGAATATCGTGTCCACAACCCAGTGACTCGGCATTTTCAGCCTAAACAATAAAAGCTGGAATTGAGTATATATAACTGCCAGTAAATATGTATATTGTGAGTGTTTTCTGGAGTCTTCTGAAGAAGAAAAATCTGAATGAATTCACGCCGAAGTAGACACGGACAATCGAGTGGTCTTTTTATAGCCTACTTCTATTCTCGGGTATAAAGGGACTCTGCATAAGGTATGTGAACAAAGACACCTGTCATGGTAGCTCTGCTCTTTCGGTTTCCCATTAAAAATGTTGTAATACTTAAGCGAAGTGGTGGCGGTGGTGAAAAACTTTTATTTTAAGCGAAGTGAAGTAGGTTCACTACGTTAAAGGGACACTGACACCCCCCCAAAAATTTTTTTTATTTTTTGCCGGGCGCTTCATTATGGTGTCGGAGGACTACCCAATTAATATTTTCCAACAGAGTAGCGTATTTTTTTAATAAAGCCAAAAGACGCAACTGCTCGAAACCGAAACCCGTCGGAGATCGGAGAAGTGGAGAGAAGAGAGTGAGTGGCGGAAGTCACGTGGCTACAGCCGACCGTGCGTTTTTTTTTTTTTTTTTCTTCTCCTCTCCGGTAGCAGACGACACGACATGCGGCGTGCGATGCGGCGTGCGGGAACTGCTCGCCGTGCGATTCCTTTGCAGTTATGTTTGTTCCGCTCGTTGTTCTGTACTCCAAGATGAGTTGTTTTGTACATTGAGGAGTTGGAGATGAGTAGTGAGAGCCCGTGGTGAATTTCCATGATCGGCTCCGAAAAGAATACACCCAAGATGTTGCGTGAAGAGCTGGCTCACATGTCCTGCATCCGAAAAAAAGTGGCATTGTGCGACAGAGTTTCCGAAAGATCAACGGGATCGGGACCAATGGCTGGCTGCAATTCCTGTAAAACATATACGGGCACCTCGAAAAGCGGACGCTACCTGATTTATATGCTCCTTGCATTTTGTGGAAAGTGATTACATTGAGTTCGCAGGTGTCAAAACGGAAATCCCATACCATTTAATTCAGCGAAGTACCGTCATAACATTTGTTTGTTATTTTTTTTTTGTTTGTTTCTTCAGTGATGATTGTAAAAAAAAAAAGAAAAAAAGATATGTAAACATCGGAAAATGCTTGAAAAAAAAAAGAAAAAAGATGTAAACATCAGAAAATGCTTGAAAAAAAAAAAAAAAAAAAAAGTTACACCGGGATTCGAACTCGGTCCTACCGCGTGTGAACCGGACGTCTTTCCCACTGAGCTACCGGGGCATCTTTTTTCAGGTTGATCTCTTTCCTTAGTATAAATCCAGCTGGTAAACTGCAAGTTGGACAGTTTGCTGTCGATTTATCTCTAGCAAAAGCACTCCCGGGTCGAAGTCGGGAAGCACCACGCTTTGGGGACATTCGCACCTAGTAAAGAAATCGTACGCGTGCATATTCAACTCGAAGTAGACACGTCGTGCTTGACGTTTGCGCGAGCGATGTCTTCAGCCACGAGAAGGGAGCGACGGCTCGGCGACGTCTTCGTGCAAATCGGGTTGGTGGCCGGGCGTGTCGTACGGGATGAATACCAATTCTTTTGATCAGTCCCAAATTTCTCTTTTAACGGTAGACAGAATTCGCCGGTACCGCGAACGACAGTTCTGAAATAGAGGTCCCACGCCCGTCGTCCGCTACCATCGCCGTCCCCGCGAGCCCCACGATACGCGAAACGACGAACGCACAGAATGCTTCCGGTTCTCTGTGCAACTTTTTTTTTCATTCAACGTTTTTACAGCTCTTTAGAAGCCACAAAAAATGGGTTCCATATTTTTTTCTATTTTTAATATTGAGTGTGTGCTTTCAGTGACCCACGACTTTGATTAAATTTGGTGGTCCCATCGATACCTTAGAAAACGGCCCGTGACCGCGAAAAAGAGAGTGAGCGAGACTCGAACCGGCCAGTTCTTGATCGGCGGTTTTCGGGCGGAAAGAAACCGAATTTCGAGCCGCAAATTCTGTTCTGGGTAGTTGAGTTCTCATATGTCACGTACAACTAAAAACCTCGGCGAGCACAAATACCCTGTCAGTGTCCCTTTAAGCCCTATCACACTTTAGCTTGTTTTGATGGTTAACGTTTGGTTTGATCACTTACAGTTGAGAGATACGTTTGCTGGTTGTGCATCTACCTAATAACCCCCCCCCCCCCCCCCCCCCCCGAGGGCCGAGTAGTTTCATCTATGAAATATGTTTTCGATCGGTATACTTTTCTTAAGGCGAAAGCCTTATATGTCTCATCGTTCACTCCTTGGACGACAACACGTCGGCGACACAAATGGTACCAAAACCCACGGTTTGCCACTGGACCACGAGATGGCGTTACTTGTGCCAAATCGGCGGAGGCGCGCGCGCGGTGCAAACTCAGCGGGAAAGGCGGACACTCTCGCTCGGTTAGCGGTGAAGAGCATGGCGTGTGACATGCCGTGAGATTAACGGCGCCAAAGGTGCGTCGTCAGAGAGCGCGCTGTCTTCGGAGGTTCGCTATCATCGAGATCGGCGCATGGCCTCTCGTCTTCAAGTTGTCTCAGGGATAACATAAAAGACCCTGTGAATTTTTCCCTGTAGTGAGGTGTTTTTTTCCAAAAAGTTCGCACTTCATTTTTTTTTTTTAGCAGATTCGGCGATGTTGTTTTATCGACAACGCTTCAATATTTTGTATTATATCGGTTCGACTGTGCGCCTGCTGATCGCGACCTATTCAAAATTTCTGCAGAATACTCCCCGACCACGACGCAGGACTGTCTGCCAGGGTCGGAGTTCTTTGACGAACTCGATGGAGAAGCCAACGTATGCCGTAAGTTCATTCCTACCATCGACCCCGATCAGCATATTTTGTCTCGGAGATCTAAACATGTTTCCCTTCGTTGTTTTTGAAACTACGAAAGTACGTAAATGGTGTTATGAATGAAGGGGGTCGCTCTTAAACCAACTAGGAAAATCGGCGCCTGCACGTAGCCGCCTCATACTTTCACTACAGCTGTCCTTTAGGGGTGCATTGTACCTTAAAAAATATCAAGGCTAGTTCTCTTCCTGTGAAATATTAAAGCAACAGTATTGGCATTTGAAACGGGGAAACCCGAAGCAGACGACTAAGTTGACCGTGGGTTTTTTTGTGGTGCTATCTCCCAATATGCGCAGCAATCAGACAAAGGCACTCGATCGAAACCAGACGACGCCGTCGCCTGCTTACTGTACCTATTAAGAGATGGCGCCACGACTCCCGGTTAACTCGGTCGTCTGCATCGGCGGCCGTCATTGAAAATGTCAAGAGTGCGGGTTAAGAGAGATTAAAATTAAGCTACACCTTTAAATTTGACATGGTAAAATGCGCCAGTATAAACCTTTGGTAAACTTTTGATATCACTACGTGGTGATACAGTCTTTTTGGGGGGAACATTAGACAGAGTCCTTATAGGCCCTTTTGCTGTTTACAAACATAAACTGCAGCTTTCATCCCAAGCGACTTCCGATCGCTCCGTCTTTGCAAGCCTGCCGAGCTTGCCTACGTCACCAGTGCTAGAAATGTTATAAATACTGCACGGACAGCGAAGTTGGCGATTTAATGGGTGTCTTCAGCTGTACAATGTAAAAACCTGTTCAAACTCTTGCGACCTCTTATAACTGGAGCCTTGAAACCTCTTAAGGCCCGTTCACACTCTTGCGACCGAGTACGACTGAGAGAGACGAGATCTCTTACAACTTCTTAAATGTTTCTAGAATGAGGGAACACACTGACATTGTGGCGCCATCTATGCGGTGACCCTAGAACTGCATTTCACAAAAGCGAAGGTTTTGCGGGATTTCCGAGGTCAAATGTGCGTAATACCCATAGAAAGGCTCGTTTATAACATTGACAAAAGTTTTTCGAGACAAAAAAGAAAGGATATTGCGCGAGAAATTGAAAAAAATATGCCGGACCGCCGAGTTTACACTGCTTCCCAATAGATGGCACCAGTGTGTTCTCTGGTTTAAGAAGTTTTAAGGAACCCAGGTTTAAGAGGTCGCAAGCAGTCGCAAGAGTGTGAACGGGCCTTTACAACGAGAGGACACACGGGCGCCACCTATTTGCTAGCAGTGTAAACTTGGCGGTCCGGCATATTTTTTATTTCTCTCGCGTATTATCCTTTCTTTCTTGGCTAGAAAAACGTTTGTCAACGTTATAAACCAGCTTTTCTTATAGGTTTTACGCACATTTGACCTCAGAAATCCCGCAAAACCTTCGCTCTTGTGAAATGCAGTTCCAGGGTCACCGCATAGATAACGCCTGAATGCCAGTGTGTTCCCTCGTCATAAGAAATTTTAAGAGGTTTCAACAGGTCTCGTCTCTCTCGGTCGTACTCGGTTGCAAGAGTGTGAACGGGCCTTAAGTTCTCGTAGGAGGCAAGTTGGTTTTCAAGAATACACTGATTTCTATTGTATGTAGTAGGCTAGATCGCGGACCGCCGCCTCGGAGGCGGGGGCCGGATGGAGCCGAGTGTCGCCACCGGCGGCCATTGATTGACACCAGCCAATGCATAGGGCTGTATGGGAAGAACGAGAAAAAGTGCCGTCTCCCTCGTCTCTAAGCTGTTGTCGCCACTGAAACTTTTTGGGTGTTTTTCGATAAGCCCGGCAAATAGCTTGCGCACAAAGATTAATACTGACAGCCCTCGCCGTTCCTATAAATAAATATTTTGTGGTTGAGAGTGACTCCGCTGTAGTGCAGCTCATTAAGGCGAGATTTACCTAGCGTTACCGCGGAGTCGGTGGCGGTTTCGTGGAGTTGGGCTCAGCAGACGACAGGCTCGAAGGCTTTGCTACGCGAAATTCGCTTACTCCCGGAAAGCCGCTGTCGAGATGGAACTTCTTTGTCATTCATCAATTTCTGGGCTTCCCCGAGGACGGTCTCATTCGGCAAGTTCCGTTGTTTACTCCACTACGTCAGCAAGCTTGCCAGCTCAGCCGTAGGTGCTCCGGTACGTTTGATTTTTTTTAATCGGCTTTCGAACGTTTGGCAAATACCGATTCGATTTCCGAACACCCGACATAAGGATCGCAGCACAGCATAAAATACTCGTTTCCGAGCACAACGTACATGCTTCAATATTTTTACTTTTGTGCGTTTCTCTCATAGACTTGCGTGTATTGCCTGGTGTCAAGCAATGGCCGCCGGTGGCGACACCGCGATCTAGCCTACTACAATAGAGATCAGTGAAGAATATTAGAAAAATATGAACAGATCTCACGCTTCTTCGTTATTTTGGCATTCACCTGGATAATCGGTGGTTAAGCGTTTTATTGACATTTCAAGCAGCGGTGTTACGGTGGGGCTTGTTCGTTCTTTTGAAACGGAAGTTCTTCTGGACGTCAAAGACTGGAGCACCGCCTGGTGGCGCTTGTCATGAAAAGGGTCTATATTCATAACATCCTATGCGTCCCTTTCACGAGCTCTCCGGCAAGGACCTACTTGTGCTTCGACTGAAAATGCGTCTTTTAATAAGCCTTACATCTACTCGGGCGTTTCGCGCAGTGGAGTGCCCGGCAGGGATGTATCGGTCGGCGGAGATGGCACAGTGTCTCCTCTGCGAGCGAGGCTACTACCAGGACCAACCTGGTCAGCCCGCTTGCAAGCCATGCCCAACCAACCGGACCGAGGTTCCAGCACAACCGGCGCTTCTGGACCAGCAATGCTTCTCCTAACCACGGCTCTCTGCCACGAGCCTGATTCCTAGTTATCGGGTTCTCCTCGCAGCGAACATGGACCGGGGTCGTAGCGTCTAAGGTCCACCATCTACAGTTTCCACCAATACGAAAGACCCACTCGTAGCGCGCGCTGCCGAGATGGTTACTGGTGGGGCCGCGGGGCGCGCTGCTGACAATGCCGTATCGTTCTGAGAAGAGCTCACTCGATACCCCCTAGAAGACAAGGCCTGAGCCTGTCCTCCCCACACGTCATCACTAGGTGATCCACGCAGCGTCGCTGGATAGATGGATGTTAACGGCTGTACCCTTTGTAACGGGCGGTAGCTTGCGCCACCTAGCCTCAGAATTGTTGCCAACTCGTCTTGCAGCATCTCGCAACAAGCGCGACGCTAGCGCGCATCGTTACCGAAACGAACCTGCTGCGCGGCGACTCTCGTGGAGCTTCAGCGTCTTTGCCACTGGAGGCGTCATGACGTCCTGAGCTGGCCTTTTCTTCCAACTCGATAACGCAGTCAAACTAAGTCCGCGAGCAGTGTGACGAAGCGCCTTCTCTTCCCTCGAAGTGGCGTGGAATTTCCCAAAGCGCGAGCAGCGCCTTCACCGGCCACCGCCTCGGCCACGCCCTTCTCCGAGTGGGTCTTTAATATTGGTGGATACTGTAACATTCTGCCGTGGAGGGTACATTGACGTGGTGATTTTTGAGCTGGAAAGACTGACGAGAAGTAAAATGCGGAAAGCTCTGCGTGCAATGTATTGCTGTTTTTTAAAGAGGGCATTCCTGCCACGACATCTTTGAGTGAATTGTTCGCAAGAAAACGCTACAAGGCGGTCAATTTCTTAATAATAATAAAGCTCATTCTGTTGCTTAATAAGATATCTGATCAATTTTTCCGTGAAGTGTCTCGACGAAATTATCTTTTTCTTTTTTTCTGTTTCCACCTGGAGAGATTTCAATTAAAAACAAGGCTTCTACAGAACTTAAAAAAAGACGGTTAGATAACCGCAATTATATATTTGTTGGAACCTTTAAAAAAAGCATAATTTCAAAATCTATTTGTCAAAAACCTAATAAACAACCTTTCGAGTCACTCTTTCGGCAAAGTAAACATCAAACAGAAACACCGATCGCCCTTTCTCTCCACATCAAGAGGTTGTGTTTTGTTTTTGTTTTTCGAAGTAATTATTATTGCACCCCTAAGAGAACATCATTTTGTTTTGTGTGCGTTTAAGCTCTCGTTTTGACAACGATGGGCTTAACTCCGCGGGAAAAAGATCCTCGTAGTTTTAACGTTTGTTTCTTGAAACTCTGCACGATATAATTTAAATGTGTTTACTACTTACTTCCTAACTGCTTCTCTGGAAAAGTAGAACGAGTGACAATTGAGTAACCACCATGACAATAGTGCACAAAACTCGACCGTCCTGCGTAATATACAAGAAAACCGTACAGCGTCTGACGTGGAAATACTGCCCTGAGTACGCTTAAAAAAACGAATCCACAAACAAAAAACAAACAAAAAAACATTCGATTTACCAGACGCCGCGGAGAGAAGCGTCTCCCTTCGGCACTTTCGCTCGTCACGTGCAGCTACTACGCAGTTCTCGCCGTCAAGAACAACGTTCCTAAAAAACAACTGCAAAAAAAAAGCTTAAACAATATAGCTACAAAAATACATAGCTATAAAAAAGCGAAACTGCTGCGTCACCGCGTGACAAAGATTACGAGCGCCAAGAAGGCAACGTGTGGTCTATCCTCCTCCACTCTTTCTCCTTACGCCGGAGCCACAGTGGAACCCGAGCGCAGCCGGCTTTACGAGCTGAAAGACCAATGAGTGAACTCCGAAATTGCACCGTCATGCCCGTTCGCCCGTTCGCCGTCTTTCTGTTCGGGGTTACCCTCCGCGGCTCATCCAATCAAGCACACGCCGTGACTTTAAGGCTATATTCTGTGCGTGCGTTTGTGCGTTTCTCTTGGTTTTGACCAGTTTGACAGCCCCCAGACTTGAGATTAAACAAAGTAGAGATAAAAAAAAAAAAAAAAAACGAAAAGTATCGCATTGTGTGTGCAACCGAAAGCTTTCGATCTTCCGTAGACGCCGACGACTTGAGTCTGGACTCCACCAACTCTTTACAGACTGTGCTCGGCTGCGTGAGGCTACACTTGCCTTTTGTGTAATAAGCTGCTCAGTTGTGGTTTGCTGGAATTTTGCAGCGTGTGTGCATTGCAATGTCTACGCGCGTCAACAGCCGAACCAACGGGCTGGGATGAAAGGTAAGTTAAGAAGGAGATTGAACGACAAGATATGCTTTTATAAGCAGAATCGGAGACCTTTGGAGAAGCTCATCTCCACTTGTCTTCTTTTACCTTGTGGCATGTGCTTGGTATCTCGTTGTCCTTGTCCGTTAATCAGTTTTGTTGTTTTGCTGGGTTTTTCTTTTTTCTTCTGGCATCGTTCGTGGTGTAGTTTACACTCGTTTTCGCTTTGGGCCCCATTTCGATGAAAAATATATATTTTTGAAATTTATGTTTGACCGTGTGTGTGTGTGTGTGTGACTATGCGTTCGGTTTCAAATTCAGTAACTCTTTGTAAACTTTTTTTTTTTGCGATACAGCAAACGTGAGAGCTTTTTGCGGTTTTACGAACACGACACCGGGCAGAAAATATGGCGGCATCTAATACAAACCTTCCAGTGACAAATAAACTATATCATTATTCGTACTACTACAATCCATTTTATACAGCATCTCTTAGGCGCCCGTTTCCGGCCTCGGCGGCATCGTCGGCGTCGGCGTAACCGCGCGTTGCATTATGGGACGTTTCCCATAATGAAGTCCCACGTGACGTCACGTTTGACGTCACGAGGGTTACTTCTGTGAGGGTTACGAGGGTTACACTCAAAAGAGTCACGAGGGTAACGTTTTGACGTTTCCCTCGTGACGTCACGTGTGACGTCAATATATGAAACACGTGACGTCACGTGACGTTACACGCATCTAACATTGTCAATATTCCCGCTAAATTTAGTGGGGAAGGCAGAGGGACATATACTTCCCCTCCGTACCCGGCTCTCCTCCTCAAGAGCTGCGCTCTAATTCGGTGTGACAGAAAATTGTAAACGTCTTACATTTTTTACATGGAACATTTAAAGTTAAAAAGCAGATTACAGCCAACCTGCCTTATACGCGCAGCTCGGGTGGTAGTGATGGAAGTTACTACCACCTGAGCTCATTTCAAGCATTCCCGACGACACTGTCGATATCGGGTTACTTTACCGGCAGTTCTCCAAGAATGTACGCTGGTTAAAGTCTAGATATTTTTTTTTTGCGCCTTTCAATCTTGTGCTTTTCCCTTCAATCGAAACTCTATTTTTCTACCTTCGTCAGCACAATTTATTCCTCCGTTTGTATCCCCACCAACTTCCCCATATTGTTCCGCAGCGCACTGGGTTTCCCCGGGATGGTTCACTAACCTGTCTGCGGCGTCGCGGCTGTCCCAAGTCGGAATAAATACTATACACCAACAATGTTCATAAAACAAGCCCAGTTTGCCCTGCTACACCAGGTGTGGGCACTACGCTTGCGCAGAAACCAACTCTAGAGGAGTGAAGTTTCTGCGCATGGTCAGTACTGACAGCAGCGCCACCAGAGTGGCGTGACGTCGGGGACTTGACTTGGTCTATACTCCTTTGTCTCAGCTTAAGTCCAGACGCAGCCGACGCTACGAGCAAACAGGATCAATCGGACAGAGTTAAAAGCGCACCGTCATGGTGTTCGTCATGCTTCTGTACGTGCCTGTACGTGTTCTCTATCATCGCTGACCCAATCATAAACAGGAAAGTCCTAGTGACTTGGGCTTTTAACGCTGCTTGATAAGACTCAGTACTGAGTAACTAGCAGCTTCAGAAAGGCAGTGCGTGGCTTTAGTTATTACGCTTACGTTTCTTACGTCCTGGTTCGATCTTATCAACTAATGTCGCAATCACATTGACTTCAGGCAGCACCACCTAGACAGAAGGCCTCCGCACGCGTCATCCGAGTGCTGTGTAGCGTTTGGCTGGGGCTGGTGTCTAATCAGCGCCTCGAAGGTCGGGCTCGGGCGCAGTAGCCGAGTTAGCGCAATATGACTCTAATGACGTTTCACAGAGGGAGAGGAGACAATGCGGAGGCCTTCTGTCCAGGTGATGTTGCTCCAGGGCGACAAGGTGCTCGAGATTTGCCATGCCTTGCTTTTTTTTTTTTTTAATTGTTACCCATTATAATTTGTGTAACTTTGTGTTACACGTGTGTTCGATGTCCTTAGTAAGGTTACTTACGTCACTGAATTACCCTTTGTCCCCATACGGCAATAAATTGGCTTGTTTGGAACCGTTGCATGCAGCACATTTCGGAGCACATTTTTTCGTGCTTTTACGAACCCAATGTCTAGTTGTATAGTAGTTTGAAGCATTTATTGTCACGAAAATCGCTTACAACAAAACATCTTTTATACACTTCAAGCTTGTAAATAAATACGACATCTCGCGCTCGACGGCACGTCCGTGCGCTCCGGTATGAAAGGCGCGAGCGCTGGCGGTTCATAAAAATGGCAGCTTGTTAAAGGGCATCTCGTTCCCAAGAAAAAGAAACAAAAAAGCTCATTCTTTATGTACATATAAAAGGACGTATTTTGCCTAAACTGGACATTAATTCACTATGAAAACAGCACGGCTGATGAACATACAAGAGACGAAACCACACGACGAAAACGTCTCACATCAGAAGGCAAACGAGGCACAGTGGCATAAAATGAGTAATGAAACAAAGGGCATCTAAAAAAATAGTGCACTAGCTTGAAAGTAAACTGCCCGCAACGCTTTGCATAATCTTTGTACCTTTTCAGTGTCTACGTTCTGTGTTCCTTTTTCAGTTTCCTAGATATCTACATTCTCATCAATCGTTTGGCCCGGATGACGGTAGACCTTCTTTAGAACCTCTTCACTATTCTAACGTCTGTCATCTGTAGCGTCCTTCTATAAAGGACCTTGTCCCTGTTGTCGGCTTACTAGTCGCGCATTGTTATGCTATGTAAGTTATTGCGCATCCTTAATTTGAACGACTGTTAGACCCAGAAACATTCACATTGAACAGTCGTGTTTATCAACCAACAGGTACTGTGAAAGCAAAGGCTCTAGTATAGATCCAAGCTTGAACCTTGAGCAGTGACGTCTTTGGACACCCACAATTTGGACTCCCAGCGAGTATCATCATATACACATCCTAAGTGCACTGATCTTTGGATTACTGTAGTGTAATGACAAATGCGTACACGTTCGACTTCAAAGTCATCTACACTTGATTGTTCTTTCATTCAGGCGTTAGTTTACAAAAGGATCAACGTCGTAGCAGGCGGTGGGGGGCCCTCAAGACTCTACAAATACTGGGTCCGAAAAACTCTAGATCAGGAGTGCGCATCTTCCTAGAGAGCTGACAGCAGGGACAGCAACTACAGCACTTTCACAAGAACGCGTCTTGTCTAACTCTCCTCCCTGACACAGTGAGGATGTTCACCTATCCACTCTCTCTGCTTGCAGTACAGCGCGTCCGCTTTCTCGTACTTGAACCGGTAACCGAAAAGGCACTTATACCGCGCCAGGACATAATGTGAGTACGGCGGCTTCGTGAGCACTTTGCGTTCGTACTTATAAACGTAGGCGTGCTTGACCTTAGGGGCACTCAGGAAGGAAGTTCCTTGTTTTCGGTCGCGTAGGCACGTCTGGTCGTAGGACGCCTTGCTGGATGTAAAGGTAGCCGTGGCGTCCCTCGTCGAGTTGTCTTCGCTCGATTCGGATGACGTGTCCTCCGTGCTTGCTGTGGTCAGCGGGATGTCTTCTTCCGGCTGGTCGTTCTGGAGCTCGTCATCGTAGTCGTCCTTGTCGTCGACGTTGTCTTCGTTCGAGGCATCATTTGCCGGTTCCTTGTCAAGGGCTGAAAAAAATATTACCACAGTAGTTAGCAAGGATAGTGTTGCTAGCGAGCTGGTGAACTTTGAAGACTGATAAACACTCAAGGCCATAAGGATATTAATAAAAAAAAACTACTATACTCGTTTTCCCCTCAAGCAAAAAGTATGTTTTACGCATTGTTCATACGGCGCGCGAAGTAGAAAATGACAAAACTTGGTTGTCAGAGTAAGAAGCGATGCTTATGACGTTTGAAGTGTGACCGTATTGATAAGATAACATATATTTCGAGAAACATTAAAGCATTCTGTTGCTCTGATGAGTTATTTTCGCTGGTATATTTTTAGAGGACCTAAGCCTTAAACTTTTATTTCATAGTATACGTTATCGGTAATCAAGCGAAGTTCACCCCGAGACACACGCTCTGCAGCGGAACTCGTGTAATAAACCTGTGTTCGGTACAGACACAGATAAAAACAAAAAAAGAATAAAAATATCTTACACTTTGTGTGCTGGGACGCTCTACTCTTCCAGGTGTTTTGGTACCGGCTCAAAAATTCGTTCGCTCTCACGGGATCAGTCTCTTCCTTCATTCGGGCCTTGCGCAGATCCTTCAAGTAGCTCTCTCTGACATCTGGCGTAAGCTTGCTCATCAACTCCATGTCCTCTTTACTCAAGCGCAGACTTCCACTCGTTCCTTCCGCGGCTGGTCCCCTAGACTCCCTCGAGGACTCGTAGTCCGTGGCCTGTTCTTGCCCGTGGTTGTGTCGGTGTCTGTGCTCGCGAGGAGACCTGTGCACTTCTTCGACGGGCCTTCTCCTCGACTCCTGAATGTTCCTACTTGATTCAGCCCTCTCGTACATCCGTCGCAACAACTCTGTCTGTTGGCCGGCTTTCTCTCCAGAAAGCACCTGGACTGGTCTTCCAAAATGATCAAATGGCGACGAAGTAACCTCTCCCGAAGATGGCTGAACGGGCCGCCTTTCAAACTCTACCGGGCGTCCAACGGCTTCCTCCTGGTTTCTGTCTCTCCTGCTGTTCAACTGCTGCTGGTACTGCTCGTACTGTCTCCGAAGCATCTCTTCAGCCTGCGCCGCTTTTTCGCCAGTCAGCACCTGAACTGGACGGCCGAAGTAATCGTAGGGGCGGGAGGTGACAAGCTGGCGCGGTGATTCACGCGTCACCTCCTCCCTGTCTCCCCTCTCCCTCAGCGGTATGTCGCCTCTCTGTGGCAATTGGGGCTGCCTGTGGAACGTCTGCTCCTCAGGGGGTCTTCTAGCCTCTTGCAGTCGCGTGTTTTCCCTCATCCTGCTCTGAACCCTTTCGTACTGCTCCCTCAACAGTGCCTCCGCCTGAGCAGCCTTCTCTCCAGTGTGTACCTGTACTGGCCTTCCGAAGTAGTCAAATGGTCTGGACGTGATTGGCTCGTTGTCGCCTCTCGGAGGGGGGTCGAACCTGATTGGGGCCTTTTCTTCGGGACGTCCCCTAGCTTCCTCTTCTAAGATGTCCTGTTCGAACGCCTTACGCCTCTGTGCCCTCTCGTACTGCCGCCGGAGCAGTTCCTCTTGCTGATGTGCTTTTTCCCCGGTTAAGACCTGAACCGGCCTTCCGTAGAAGTCAACTGGAGAAGACGTCGAAAGCGAGCGGCCCGCAGAGTCGTATGGATCGCGGTCGCCCTTGATAGGCCTCGCAGGAGTGTCGCCACGGTCGTCAAACCTCACCGTAGGTTTTTCGTCACCGTATGGTTTCCGGTCGTCCCTGATAGGCCTCGCGGGAGTGTCGCCACGGCCGAACCTTGGAGGTTCATCGTCGTCGTCGACGTCATCATCGTCGTCGTCGTCTTCGTAGTCGGCGTCGGTGTGCAGGTAGCTCCTCTTGATTGCGCGGCTCTTGGGCTTCTCCGTAGTGTGTTCGGTGACTACTTCTCCGTGGGACTTCCTGTTTTCGCTATCCAAGGGATCATGCCTCTCAGAGCTGTAGCCGCCAGAGTTGCTTTTCCAGTAGTCTGAGATGTCGGATGGACTCCTCAAAACCTCCCGCGGGCCAGACTGTTTCAGCCAGGAAGACGTGTGGACAACCGGAGATTCCGTGGACGTCGGTATGTCATCGTCTTCCTTACTCTGAGCCTGTAGGATCGAGTCCGACTTCACCGAAGATTCACCGGATGACTTCCGGGTATGAGCTAGTCGAGAAGAATAGTATCTTGCAGCATGGGGCTTAGGCTCGTCTTCTTTCCATCTGTAGTACCTTCTAGTCCGCTGCTCGTTACTGCCGTCATCCGAATGTGACGTGCCCACCGTATGAGATCCACTGTGTGCAGAGTGTTTTGCATGGTGAGGTTCCGATGTAGACGATGAAGGACGCACGTCATTGAATTCCTCGTCTTCGTCACCGGCGACGTCAGCCGTTGCGTCATCAACTCCTCCTTCCGTGATATCCTTGGCCTGATTCCTGCTGCTAAGAACATGCTGTTCCTGGTCATGCCGCATCTCGGCAATTTTGACTTCCTCCTCAATGAGTTGCTGCTCCAGCATTGACTTTTGAGGCGTGTCTTCCTCGCTACTGGAGCGTGGGCCGAGCGAGAAGACCCGGCTTCCCCGATGGTGCGGCCGGCGCCACTGACCATTTATCAGGGGGAGTTTGGCGTCCTCACTGCCGTATAGGGGACTCCAGTCGAAAGGCTGTCGAGACGCAGTGTTGTGCTCTGGCTTCGTCTTGTCGTGACCAGCGTGAGCTGTGTCACGACGTGTTCCTGCGCATAAAACACACATTTTTATTAATTCAATTTCATGGATATCGCCGATAAATTCTGAATAATTGACCAACAGCAGCGTTCACGACAGGAATCTCAGAAAAATGACGTCACTAAAATACGGCTTATGTGTCCTAACAAATACAATTCACCTTGCATGTCTATTAAGGTTGAGTCCTGCTTGTTAGGATAAATTGTTTTATCGACATATCAACTTGTATATGTATTCATATTGGACACAAATACAACTTGTTTCTGTATTCATATTGGACACAAATACAACTTCTGTCCTCAACTTCCTGAGAGTGGGCATAATTTTGTTCCCGACTGCAAAGAGCTAATCTTAAATAACAATCTTATTAAACTCTTATTCTTAAAAAGTGGCGGGATTCGCCTTAATTGCAACTTGAAGAAATCTGCCACCTTAACGTCTTAACTCCTCTTAAAATATTGCCTACACAACTTCATACCCTCGCAACTTTCACAACTTTCCCAACGTTAAGAGGCCACCCTATTGAAAATTCTCATTTGTATGAGAAATTTCTGTGTCCAATTAACACATATGAATCATAGAAGATATATAAGAACATAAAGAACCTTATAAGAACCATATAAGAGCTATATAAGAACTATATAAGATATATGAGAACATACAAGCACCATATAAGAAACTAGTGGGAAGTTTCTTATAAGTTTCTTATGGGGTTGTTATATATCTTATATAATTCTTATATAGTTCTCATATAATTCTTATACGGTTCTTATATGTCCTTATATGTTCATATATATCTTTTATGATTCATATGTGTTTATTGGAAACAAGAACTTTCTCATACAAATGATTTTTTTTACTAGGGCAACGAAATAAAAAACCACAAATATAAAACTATCTCAGCTAGGGACAGCATGACTTTCTATAGCCTAAGCTAAAGCAGTACCGCTGTACACCCTTTTTCGATTGTAGAAAATCTCTCCTTGGAGCCGACGTCGTGCGGCAAAGCCGCTATAACTAAGACAAGCTAGCTCAATTTGATTTAAGGTTTGTTGTTAAGGAGGTAATAATTTACTCAATGTTCTACCATCGCAAGTTACTTCACGCCTCTGTAGAAGGTTGAAGAGAGTTTAAAAAAAATAAAAAGTGGAGTTTTTTTGTTTTTTTTTAACATGGCCATGCAATTTCGCCGCATTTAGAGAAACTAGTTGCATTTCTGCATTAATAACGTAACTACAGTCATGGATAAGCATGTCCTCTTACATAAAATGCACTTAAAAATGATAATTTTGATATATTTAGCGTCGCTTTATATGATGTAGTTCCTTGGTAAATAATTTGTGAATCTCCTTGAAGCGTGCCTATTTGACGTGTTTCTTTTTTTTCATAGACATTTTTTATTGTAAGTTTTAATATTCTGTGTACACGTTGCAAACCTTTTATAAAATAAGTAGAAGAAAATATTACTACGTGAATGCTTCGATGCAAAATTAACGGCTGTGCAAAATATTATAGCGAAACCTTGGCAATCTCTACGCTTCGGAATGCCAAGTTTTATATCTCCAGATGAAATAGAGCTACCGCGTTCGCATATAGCTAAATACTGCTCCCACAAACATAGATTTAACATATATATTAATACATAAATGTCGAAAATTTATGACCCGGGCCGTGATTTCACAATCTGACATGGAAGCACCTTTGAGCTGCCGGCAGTAAACTGTTAAAATAAACGGGTATTCTTCAGTGTTAAAACCAGATCGGACAGGGGTATCTCAAGGCAATGTATTAGGGGCATTGCTTTTTAACCAGTTTAATAATGATATATTGATAACACTAGTCTTTTTTTTTTTAGGAAATAAAAGTGATAAGTTAGTTCTTGATGCCATTTGCTTAGAAAAACATAACACGTGGACTGCCTTAAATTCTTTAAAAATAAAATAAAATAAATCATGGCAATTGTTTTTAAAACAAAAGATACAGCGTGTCATGCCACCGCAAAGTTAATATTCAACTCCTCCGAGGTTGAATTTCTAACTACTGTTCAAACGTAAGGCGTGATTTTTCACGAACCTATGTAATGGGACTCTTATATTCAAAACATCACTTCTAAACTCGCGAATATCATAGATGTTCTATAGAAGCATCACGCATATCCTGCCAGCTAGTGCTACACTTCTAATTCGTAACGCATTATTATATTCTCGTTTATCTACATGTCACCTAGTTTGGAGAACTATGACAAGTACCAACCCGAATAAATTGTTGGTGTTGCAGAAGAAAGCAAATCGGATCGTCCAAATGCGTCGTATTGCGCGCATGCTGAACCGATTATCTTTTTTTTTTTCACATAGGTAATGGCAATAAAAAATATTTCAAGTATGCGCTAGCGACAATTGTACGCGGCATCGCTTAAAACGTCCAATCCTCCATTACCACGAATCTCTTAACTAAGTGTAAAAAGTACAGTGCCGCGGATCAGCGCAGCGCCGGATCACTGAGAGTGCCGCGTCCTCGAATTAATTACGGGCTTCAGACGACTCAGCACAAGCTAAATTATGTACTAAATTTTCTAAAAGTTCAAATTTTCGTAATGCGATTTTTTTGTAGGCCCGTTTGTCAGCAAGGGCTAAGGGGCTTCATCAAGCTGCACTTCTGCATCTTTTCTCCCTGCCTCCATCGCACGTTTGTAACATAGGAGTAAATAAGATGAACTGAAATAAATTGAATTGAAAAGACTGTGTAGTCTGCGCTGTTCAAAATCATCAATGTCTTTATTGATTGTGCACAAAATACCGCAATCACCTTGAAGCAATAAGTTACAACAATAATACACTGCAACCTCTAAGTCAACATTACAACGCGATGAACTTTGTCGCACAAAATGTGCAATTGACTCAACTTCCCCTTTTAACTATTGCACATTCCAACTTTCCTCCGCTTCGCTAAAGATAGAACAGCCACTTTTAACGCCCCAAGTTGTTTCACCAGAACCTCGAAAACCTCAACGCGAGCAAACCAGAACGCTTACTCTATTTATAACCGGTTCCACCGGATGGAACTACTACGGCAAACCCTCGCCGACGCCGCCGCGTGCTTCTTGCACCTGCGAGTTACGCTTACGGGGTGCGACTAAACATATCAGTCCCGGCTGCGAGCTTCTGATTAACGACATTCCAGGCACTGTCTAGACTGGCTAAGAGTGCCGGACCCCGCGCTGAGTAGGGCCATCCGGTTATCAGCCCGCCTAAACACTTGCAAACATCTTTCCTTGCACTTTTTTTTTTTTTTTTTGCAGTGCTGGAATTTGTTTTACTTCACACCTAGAAAGTCCCGAGATCCGACCTTCTACGTAATGCTGTGTTGTTGCTGTTGTTGTTGCTTTAGTTCTTATTTAGCACCTTACTTTTATTACTTTTGTCGAAGCTTCGTTATCTGCCCCGTGTTCGCGTTTTACAACTTGACGTCACCAGCGACACAAAAAAAAGATTAAAAACTCGTGGATATAAATATGTACTTTGGCAAGTCTTACAAAAACTACAGTGTTGTGTGCGTTGCTGCCCAGCCTGAGGAGCAGACAAAATGAACCTCGATCCCTTCTGAATTTTCTGAATCTTTTGAATTGTGTATTCTTTATGAACCGTCGGTTTACTCTTTCATAATATGGTATTGTCTATCTCGATAAGGCGCAACATTATAAGTGTTTTAATTGCTTGAGTCGACAAGATTAACGCGTTCCTTGCAAAATTATGGACTATGTCTTCCAAGCGTTATACCTATAGACCTTTGTGAGTAATTGCAAAAAGTAATCTGTAAATACTTTAATCTCGCAGATTTTGTGCTGTATCAGATGTTCTCAAACACCAGCGTGTTCAGCAGTAAGGCTAGTAACTGAGGCTCCTCGCTTATTCTGTGCAACTTCCACGTTCTGGGGGAGGCTCACTTCTTTTCGCCTTTCCTCTCTAATCGCGCGGACAGCTTCAAAGCCGCAGGTTGTGGCTGTTGTCAAAGCTTCCTTCTTTGTAATTAGTTTTTAAACGTTATCGCATAACGCCTAAATCTGATTGGCTCTGGGACGATAATAAGATTCCCGAAACGCACCCCGCGTTTCCTAAGCTGTCGATTGCTGTGCAAAGTTAAGGGTTTGAATAATCCCGAAGACATTTTTAGAACACGCAGGGCAACGGGTCAAGAGCCCCCGAGACCGCCGTTTAAATTGTTACGTCATGATTCTAGGCGAGAGAATCAAGCTCGTTCATTGGGCGGACACGGATCGGGTCACGACAGCTACGTCAGCGCTCGGCAGGAACTCGCGTCCAATCACAGCTCAGCACGCACCTCTCATACAGTGCCCAATTCCAAGGGCGCGCCCTTCAGCAACGTACCGTTCTTGGCCAGGCACAGAGGCGCCGGTCTGTTCCAGTGGCTGTTTGTGCAGACGGCGTGGGGATGTCCCCGGAGCTTGTAGCCCGGATGGCAGCGGTACCGGACGATCCGGCCCTCGTTGAAGATGAAGCTCAATCCGTTGTCCGGAGATCGCGGCGCTGGACAGCCGAGGAACTCCCGCGAACTTAGCTCTGGAAGAAAAGAGGGACAATAGATGTTAAGCTTCCCCAGAATTGAAGGCTGCTTTTTAAAAATCCCGTTGTATCTTGGCACGCGTATTTGTGCGACGCTTTCAAGTAATTGAGTGTCCTCGTTCAAGGACCGGTCGTAAAAAGAATATTGCCATACTATGCGTGTCGAGGAAATTAACTCTGGTATTCTTTTATTCCGCGTGGAAGGCACTCATGTAATAACAATATGTAGAGTGGTATGACACTACCAAGCTTAACCTGGTAAGAACTGTACGCCTTTTCATATTACACCCAAGCGAAGGGGAAGCTACAAGCGCGATGCTGTCGTTTCGAAGCGCGGCTGCACTGGGAAGCATCGTAATTGAAGTTTAGTCGTATGGCTCATATGCCGGAAAATGTTCGCTTTAATATTAGACCAGAATTATCTCCGTTTCAGCTTCAATCCATACGCAGCCGACGCTACGACATAAAGGGACCAATCAATCAACGTCGAAAGCGCAAGTCACTGAGGCTCTTCCGTTTAGGATTGGTTCAGCAATGATAGATCCTTTGTCACGGGCTTAAGCTGAGCTGGTTGGTTTATTGCTTTCGAAGGGCCAGCAGAACAAAGATTACCGGCACACAAAAAACACCATCCAGCAGTGTGAATGGTGTTTTTTGTGTGTATGTAATCTTTGTTCAGCTGGCCCATCGAAAGCAATGATAAAACACTACAGAAACATGATGAACACTACGATAGTGCGTCTAGACTTAAGAGGAAACAAAGTATAAAGCCTTCTATTTATGCGACTAGGAGTGTTCTATAGTATTATCTTTTTTTTTTTTTTTAAACCATCATCTGCATTCACTATCGTAGTACCCGCAGACTGTCGCGACAAAACAGATTCATGGTACTCCACGTTGTGTTTACGCGATTTTTTTCCCCTCTTTTACGCCTTCTTTTGTTTAGGTGTCTCTGCGCGTTCGCTTCCGAACGTTTACGCGTCCTCAGCTGCGTGTGTAGTGGCTGGCTGGCTTCCTTATTGTCTCCCCCCGTTTTGGGAATCCTCAATGCCACGCGAGCCCCCGCACGCTTGCGACAACCCCGTCCGTGGCCCTGACATTGCGTGGACTGCAAGCGAAATCCAGCCGGTGACTCCGTCTTCGCCGTACCGAGCATTTTTGTCTCGTTTCTTTAGTGTTCTTGCTTTTGTGTAACAAACGTTTTTACGGCGGTAGCCGTCGAGCAGCCTATCTCGCGTGTGTGCCTACGTCGGAGCTTGGTAAAATTTAGCGGGATCATTCCTCCGCCAAATTTAGCGGGGAATCGCAGTGTCACCTGACGTCGTGTCACACGGCGTTACAATGTTCGCGCGAAGTTTAAGGGAGAAATTTCCGCTTTACATTTAGGGAGGTAAATACCTCCGCCAAATTTGTCGGAGAATACAGACTTTTCGTAAATCGTTTCGGAAGAGTCTTGCGATGCTGGTGGGGAGCTCCTGCCGTCAGGTTGAACATGGATTGAGGGCGCGTCCGCTGGGGCCCGCTATCCGCAGCCTATGATCTACGAAAAGTTCCTAATTTATCTGCGAATACTAGAAGGAATTTTGTGTCACGTGATGCCACGGTGTCATGAGAGCACCATCCGCTAACTTTAGCCGGATGTAAGTCAGTTAAATTTAAACGCGACAGTAACGGCGTGCAGCGATGCGCTATAATAAAAAGACTCGGCCGTCGCCTCACCCCAATTGCCAAACGCTAAACATGGATTGTTTTTTTTTTCGTTTGCATCTCTGCTTACAGCTTTCTTTGGAACTAAATTTCAAGAACGAAAAGCACCCAAACGCTTTTAGGAGTTTTTAGTGTTGGGAAGTACTTTAAGTCCATTGTACTGAAAGCACTATTTCAAGAAGGTTTAGAAAATTTGACCTTTACTTGAAGTACTACAGTCTGGGTGCGAACCTGTACTTTACTTTCTATCCCTCGAAAAAATGAAACTCCAACCTCTTGAAGTACATTCACCAAACAATTGGTATTGATAAATTTGTATCGTAAAAGAATGCTTCGTCAACAAATAAGTGTCTTACAAGTTGACTGCGTTATATAGTTCGTCAGCGATAGTAAAACAACTCCTCAGTGGTTACTAGACGTTATCCAATATTCGCCGCCATTTCCGAAATTAACAGATGCACTCCCGATTATACTTAACCAACTGCATGCCAGTTCAAAAAATAGAAAGGCCATCATGATAGACTGTGTTAAAAAAACTATTTGTACTTTACCATAAAAGTACATTGTATTTAGAGTATTTTACTTAAATTACATTCTGTCCTGTGTATTTACTACCTTACTTGACGTACGTAACATCTAATTTACTTTTTACTTTACTTCAAGTGCTTTTTAGGTGTACTTGAAATAAAGTCTGAAACTTCCAGCACTGGGATTTTTAGTCGCGCATTAATCTTGACCTCAATCTCCGAATACAACAGAGTCGAAGGTTGGCATAAGCTTGATTAGCTCCGCGTAGCCCATGTTGAGCTTGCGCCGCGAAACCCCCAATCGGTATCAAACTTGATAGCGTCCAACACCCCCTGGAAACTAGACTACGCGCTTCGTTTTGTTAGATCAGCTCCGTCATTGCTCCTAAGCCCAAGCGAGGAGAGTCAGTAGAGTGTTTTTCACCGCCGAGCATCTGCAACGGTGACGCTGACGAAGCACTCGGGATGACCCAGGTAAACACTTTTTTTTTTCTTTCTTAATGCTTCGCTTTCTCCGCTGCGTTCAGTCTAAGCATCAAAGATGGAATTGTGTTTAATAACAGGTTGCATTTGTACCGACTAAACTTAATTAAAAAAAATAATAATAAAAAAAATAATAATAAAAAAGAAGATAACGTGACGTGACGACGCAGTTTTATAAGACGGCAGGCGGCTCGCAAGCGAAGAAAAGCCAGACGTTAGGTGCGCGATCGGGCAACGTAGGAAGCCGTTGGAAACGTGGAGACGAGACGCCTGCGTATTCACTGCCGCCGTCGGCGACCAGAATCTCTGTTGTTTTCATGTTAGCGAATGTGAGGATCAGTTCCTTATGCGTGTTGTGTGCCGGGGCGTCGGGAACATCAGGCCGGAGAATCCCGAAGGTTCACATGTTCTCCTTCACAACCGACGAGCAACGGCGTACTCAGTGCATTAAGGCGATTCGGAGAAAGTGGTTCAAGTTGCGAGCTCTTCGAAGGTAGTTGGTTTGGCAGCTTTTCGTTTGATCCTTGCACTCTTGTACTTCCGAATTGTCAATGTGGCCAGAAGGACAATAATATAGTAAACAACTCCGATCTTTATCAACTCCAAAGTGCTTTGAACTCCCAAAGTGCTTTGAAATATTTTGTTGGTTTTTCTATGCAAGTCTCCTGCGAAGAGTAATGTGCTTTGCTTTCTAGCTTTTGCATTTGACACCGTGCACCGACAATGACTTAGCAGCGCTGTCGTCCAAGACTTCCATTTTGACCTACGTAGCTGGATAGTTCGCCTCTGAGACTGTCAAAACATTCAAGTACGAATACTGCAGAAAACATTTGGTTTTGAAGAGGCACTTCTTCGCGATAGATACCGTGGTTCATCATCTGACAGATGCTTTAAATTGAGCGGGACTGCACCTTTCAACACAGCTGGTCATCAGTGTGGTAATGCATGCTGAGGTTGTTGCGAACAAGCTTATGACGTCCCAAAACGTCGCTGAGTTCTCGCGGTTACGTGATCAACGAAAAGTTGCCAGGGTCCTGACACTAGCTATATGCTACCAGAGTTCAAAGAGTTGGACACCTGTGCAAGGGAGTCGACAAATATTCTTCTTAACAATATCTGCAAATAGAAAAATGACTCCGTAGGCAGGAGGCAAGGTCTGTTGCAGTCAGAAAACACGGTGTGTGTTTTTTTTTTTTTTTTTAAAGTCTGCATTGTTTTAAAAATGAAGTGTGAAGGAATCACGACATCTCTGTCGATTGACATGCCAAAAACCTGAAACGGGGGCGAAAAGTAAGCTGTCACACGAGATGAACTATACATTTTGTGGCGTTCATTTATTACATGGCGGCCTTCTGATAGGTAGTCAATCAGTCACATTATCTGTCGCGTTTGCTTGTTTCACTCCATTAAAACTAACTTTTTTTCTGAATAAAACAACTGACTTTTTTAATTCACGAGCCGTCACATATTTCCTCCTTTTTAAATACAAAGTGGCCGTTCAACCTGTGTTGGGAGGTCGAGAGCGTGCTGTTAGTTTTATTTTATCTTCCAGGAAACTACCTGGAAGGTGCTAGGCGTAAATACTACTTCACATGGTAACCATGGTCATCAAAACTATGTTTGAAATTAAAATATTTGTGATTGTAGAGCGGTGCTTTAGTTTTACAAAGACGGTTAAGTTAAATAATTGTGAAAAAGGTGTAGTCGCTAATACGTATCACGAGTGTTTTCAATCGCTGTAACTTAATAGACAAACTGTAGAAGTTTGAGTTGTTATATGATCTTCGAATCAAAACTCTAATTCTATTAATTACGTCGTCGTCACGCACGCGTAAGTGACATTGGCGCATTACCTCCAATCAAAGCTGCAGGCCGACCCATCAGCGCATCGGCACACCCGAAACCCAGCGCCCAACCGACTGTCAGTCGCTTTTCCGCTCCCTGGCCTTAGCTACAGTGACGTCACGGAGTGGGGGCGCGCAGGCTTTAGTTTCTAGAAGGTGTCGGCCTGTCACATAGGGTGACGTCACGATTGCGTTACGCGCACCTTCACCCGCAGAACTTGTCGTTCGACGGGAGCAATCAAGCCTACGCTAAGCAAACCTCTCTGACGCGACGATCGTGATGACCGGTGAGACGCCACGTGCAAAGCTTGTATTGTGTACGCGTGCTGCTCGGATGTCGAAGCAATTGCGTTGCGTGTATGTTTCGACGGCGGGACGTGAGTCAGCCCCCAGTGGACGCGCCAACGTGTGTGGTTCATTTTGTAATAGATCCGTT